CTTATCTACTTCCCTCAACTACAAATATAATTATAATAAGTAAGGACTATTACTTTGCAATACATTCAAAATAAAGAAGTAGGTATAAAGTCCTTTCGATTTGTCTAAATCCTCATATTGATAGGATAGTAATTGCAACATCTTGGGTATTTCAAAGGTTTTATTTAGTCAACTTCATCATAGAGCTATTTATCATTTGGGTTGTTGGCGATAAATATATGGTTGTGTGTATTTTGTTATTTTTTTTACCTATTTTGATTTGTTCACATTATTGTCGTCAAATTTGAAATAAGAATTAAAGAAGATATAAAATCGCTTAAAATTAAGAAAAATAGCCTCTGGTTCTCTTATTTTAGTGATTTAGTGATGGGGAAAGTAACATAGCTTTGCGGTTATTTGTGAACATTTTTCAGTATGTTTAGCCTCTCAGTACTTTCAGTACTTTGATTTAATTGACATCTTTATTCAGTTTTTCAAAGTACATACATGACAAAATCATAACGTATTCCACAGCACACTCATCCATAGATCTAAATAAAGACATTTGTATACCAGATATCTGTATACCACCACTCGTATCAAACATTTCACACATTACATACATTCCTAATTCATGTTTTCAAATATCTTAGTATGATGCATCAGATTTCAATCGATTTAAGATGTCAGTTTAGAACATTGGAATAAAACTAGTCATAATAGTCATATGCTGTGTTTTTTTCTTTTCTTTTTTTTTTTTTTTTTTTTTTTTTTTTTTTTTTTTGTTTTGTTTTTTTTTGGGGGGGGGGGTTAAGAAAGGAAAAAGAGTTAAACACAATTTAATAGTAGATACGTGCACAGAGGCAAAAATATCAGATCCAGTAAGATGTACAGACAGACGAATACAAAGACAAATAAGCACAGAGACAATTAACACAGGGACAAATGTCGACGGATTAGAGACAGGATTTCCAGAACTCAAAAAGTATCAAATCAAATGGACAACTGTTTTATTGAAAACATTAGCTCTTAACCAACTATCAGAGTTGCGAAGACTTCAATAGATAAGAATGGGTATAGACAGAAATGCAAATAAAAAACTGTTCAATTCAAGTCTAAATAAGTAATTGTTTCCCATTTTCTCAACTCTCTTTGAAACTTTCAAGGGAAACATCATCCTTAGCCGTTGCCGTGTCCAGGAATCTAGTTTTGTAAATGTAGTGTTTAGTGATGATGTTTTACTGAGCTCGTTTCTAATTGGCCGGAAACCAAACTTTAATGATTATTTATAAGGAAAGGAATCAGAAGTGCTTCTAAGAGTATTCCCCAGCTCTGTAGTCAATCTCGAACTATTTGACGTTTCATAAATATATGAGTTATGGGTATTTTCTGATTTTCAAAATGTACAAAGTGGGCATACAACGATGGTTGCCTTTAATAGTAGTCAATTTGTAGGCAACATATTAGGTACAATTTTATGCTGAAATTAGACTGAGGTTTATAGAATCATGTGTTTCTTAAAATGGTCAATAAAATATTGATGTCCATTTGGAGTAAAAAAAGTCAAATTGATCTGCCCGCTTTTCCGACCTGTTGGTATTTTATCTTTTTTTGATAAGATTGTATATGAATATTTTCTCACCTGAGTCTTCCGGCGTCAGGGCAAAGTTCAGATGAATGGATGCTGCAGGACTCTCATTCAATGAAGTCGTCCTGATCTGGGTAGTGTTGGAGTATTATTGGTCTGTTGATAGCTATGATACCTGTACGACCACATTACTCTGACTGACCATCATGATGTAAACATATACCTCGCACAATATTCCTTAAATGTTAACATGTTTTGTTCGCCGAAATTCATTAAGACACCCCCGGAAATGTAAAAAATGTTCAAACTTTTCGTTGAATAATTTACAGAAAGCAAACGTCAGAATTCCGACAAAAGTCGTTAATCAATCAGTTTTAACATAACTTAAAACTCTGTGTGATCGGGAAGATAAGATGGCCGACAGTCGACCATCTTGTATTTTGATAATTTCAGATTGTAGCACTGTTTCTCGATGTATATGTCTCCCTTCGTCGAAATCGTTTCCTCAGAAGATAGATCAACGGATGTCATCTTGGATTTCGACGGTGAAGTTTCATTTCTAGGAAAAGTTCTGTTAAATTTTTCTATGATAACATATGAATGATTATATTAGAATAAAAGTTCTTATTACTTGATACCAAATGATTAAAATGAAATAGGAAACAAAGTACAGAAAAGATTATTCTTGCATATAACTAATAAATGTCATTCAATGGTGGGCATCGGGATCTGGGATCTAATGTTGAATACAGTAACATACATCGATGTTTTCACGTGGAATGTCATGCTTTCACACATTAGTGTCATTTAAGCACCAACAGCAATCTTTAAAGATTCTGACGAGCTTCCTACATAGCAAACTAACAATGACTGAGACGGTCTGAGAAGTTCGTAAATAACACGAATGGTAAAGCTTTATCGAAATATCATCGGATTTTTTGCAGAAATGTGTAACGATATGAAATGAAGAATATCAGGTAATTTTCGGAAATTTGACTCCATACTCGTAATTGATTGTGAATATCATGGCCTGCCGAATTATCTCTTCTTTTTCAGTCATTACTCCAGTAATTCAACTCATAATGCGAATTACATCTGTTTTAAACAAATCTATAATCTACAATATCAAGTCGGTTGCATGTTGAAATCTCCTTTCATTCGTCAACCTTACCATAATTGTTTTACCTTGAGCAGTTGTATCTCCTTTGTCTACAGTTTACAGGAGATTTTTAAGAAGAATAAGTCTCCAACCTGATATCAAGACCTCACTTCTTAACTGTGTAGATGAGGGTGAGGGGTTGGGTAGATCGAGTGTTTGAAGTTTAACAACCTTGGAGCAGAAAGGATTATTTATGTAACCATGGTAAGATACTAATATACTATAATATGTTCGATTTGTGTGGGAGTCTCATTATATAGCAAGGGTGACCTCGCATTAACTTTCGGTCCTAAAACCAAACGATGAGTATACTCATAACTGACCTTTCTATAAAGTTTGACCAGAAACTATCAAATAATACATTTGAGTGATACTTACATTAAATCGGGACGAACTTGACTATGTCACTCTTTCCCATATTAAGACGCAGACATGTATTTGAATGTGAATCCATTTTAGATTGTATATAGGTATTTCGTATACAGTGGTCTTATCATATGAACCAATAAAGCTAAGATGATGTGAGTGCCAAGATACCATAGTCATATTTGTTCCTTTTTATGTTCATTTTTACTTCAATAAACAAATATATGTCTTTTCAATCGCTTTTTACTGTGACGGTAGGAATCTATCAAATAAAGGAATCTATTAAATAAAGGAATCTATTAAATCTATTAAATCTAGGAATCTATTAAATCTATCAAATCTAGGAATCTCTCAAATAAAGGAATCTATTAAATAAAGGAATCTATTAAATCTATTAAATCTAGGAATCTATTAAATCAATGAACTATCAAATATAGGATTCTAGTAAATCTAGGAATGTATTAAATCTAGGGATGTATTAAATCTATTAAATCTAGGAATCAATCAAATGTAGGAATCAAATAAATCTACGACTCTATAAAATCTAGGAATCTATTAAATCTATTTAATCAAAAATATATCAAATCTAGGAATCTATTAAATCAAAAATATATCAAATCTAGCAATCTATCAAATCTAGGACTTTATTAAATCGGGCAGAAATAAGCCCTTAGCTATCACAATAATTTGACAAAGCGTAATTCATTTGTTAGAAAAACTAAACAATGTCAAAGAAATGTATGCTCACCGTGTAAACCAAAACCTGATCTGGTGAAGAACTGATATTGTATAAACCAAAGCAGTTATAGAAAGGTTATCTTTACTAAGATACAAAGGCTCAATACAGCTCCCTGTTTATAAATAGTAATAAAAAGTTGCATCAAGACTCTTGTTATATAAATTAGTACTAATACAGACTAAAACTTGTCTGGGTTTTATATTGTTCAACATCTTGCTAACAGGTATGGCCATTTAAATTACGGTGTCCCTATGTTTGCATCTATTGAGTGTTTCTGTTTGCGGAAGACTGCAATATGTTCATATAGGTTTCCTTGTGCAACTGTTTGGAAAGACGTTGAAAAGAAATATCTCGTGCAAAAACAGGCACTATTTCATGAATTTGGCGAAACACATCACTCAACACCTGATCTTGTGAACACGATGCCGAATCCGACATCTTTTGTCAAATACCCAAATCCTTTGTTAATATTGGTTAATGTGCATGACAATGACGTACAAGAGATTTCCCCCGAAACTGAGAAAGGTAAGAAAACGCGCGAGAAACATAAGGAAACTATTCTTGTGAAAGTAGTTTTTTATATCTCATTACACATACCAAACCATATCTAGCAATAACATGCTATTACAAAAACATGTTTCCTCTTCTGGCGAAGTTCGGTGACTTCTGAACAGGACCACGTCTCAGCCAACTACAGGGCCAGTAGCTGTAGCAGATAGATTAATAAACAAGTTATCAAACAAGAACACAATGTACTGTCACTGGAAGTGTTAGATTCTTAGCAGGGAAGTTCATGTACAAAAACAAGCTGCCAGACCCTGTAGTACAGCTCGATGTATTGCCTTAATAACGCTACATTCACACAAAAAAAATGTTCTTTCTTAATTATTATTTTGAACTCCAAGGTCCGGCATAACGCAGTGACAAAACCGAAAGCAAATTAAGACATTTGTAATCATTATAAGCTTTCCTTAAACATTAACGTTGTAACAACAAATTTATGCAAATATCATTGATAACTATGATGGCTTGCAATGGAAAGCCTTGACGAATGACATCAAAAACTTCGAATCATAATTCCTGAGGAGCGATTGCCTTATTAAATATTTTTCAGATAAATTTAATGGGAAAACCAAAAGAAAGAGGAAGCAAATAAACTTATCAGTATCTCAACCTGAGGTTTCGCATGTTTTCCCCGTGTATCCAGTCGCACATTCACATTGACACGTATTAAGGTTGAATTTGCCGTGTTCCGTACAGTCAAGAACAGTGACACAGTTCCTACATTCTTTGCCAGAATACAGAGGCTTGCATTTGCAGTTTCCACCAGTTTGACGATCGTTACACGTACATTGGCACGTGTTCTTGTTCAGGGGTGCACCGTTCAAACAATACTTGTTACACCTGCTACTACACGTGTGACCTAAAGCATTTCAATACAATTAAATTATTCCCGCAAATGTTGCATATAAATGTCTATCAGAAATACTCGTGGTGATTTAGAAAATTCATTGGTGCAAGTAAGATCTTTATTTCTCTTACACATATTATGTTTGAGTTTTAATGTGACAATATATCTATTTCATTTTACATTCGTTAGGGCAGAGATTAGAACATCTCCAGATACGATGAAAAGTAAAATATTATACTCAGCGATGAAGGTTCGTTAAGCTAAATATCCATTGCTTTTTAAATACTTCTAATTCAGTAGTTTGTCTACAAAACACGTACATCACTTTTACACCTGAGGCAAAACTGTACTTTATTGGAGGCAAGGAAATGAAAATTTTACCATAAAAATGGTCCGGACAATCGCAAGAACACATAGTGTGATTCCAGGTACCACCGTGTTGACAGTTTCCGGAACAGGAAGATACTAAATCAACACAGTCAGTATCTTAACTCAGATTTATTGAACTGAATATAAAATATGAAGGTTTACACGATAATCCTGAAAGAGCTCAAGAATAAGACAATGTAATCCGGCAGAATAAGGAATACACTTATTACTAAACATGACTCCGCTTTACAGACCGGGTTTGATAATACAGGTATGGTTGTAGCGACAAGAATCTAGATTTGTTATAAAAGGCAAAAATCAACTTTACCTGACAGGGGAACGGAGTAGGCGTAATGGATTCCCATGGTGTGGTTTGACAAATGCTGAAATGCCTAGATTAAACATTTAGATTTTGTACAGTGTTAAAATATTATATTACATAGTTATTCATACACCAGTTGTTTCATCTACTCATTTCATATTCTTGTTGCTATCAGCACTAATTTCTGACAGTGTTCTCGTAACACATCATGTTTAGTGGTGACATTTGTTGGAGTGAATGTATTGATACCGAAGGCGAATGAAATGATAGCATTTGGTATTTAGATTATTTTCCGTAACTTGCTAGAAATCGAACTGAATTCTGCATAAAACGGTTTCGGTATTTAAAACGCAACAGAAACTTATCGAGACCGGCCAAAATGAAACAGTCCGTTTCGTCGTAAAAAAAATGATTTACAAGCACACTCAATTTCTAACAAATGGATACATAAACTCTGGGGAGCTGTTTATTTGTATTTTTCCGATGTTCGATTAGCTCGGACACGGCATAACAATTACAAGTGTATCTTCTATACACTTGCTTACAACACACACTAATAAAGCACCTGTATCTTACGTTTACCGCACACGAGTCACGAGTCAACACACCAATAACTGTATACATTTCAATGCGACATGCATCAGAGCAGAACAATGGTTGTTAATATTAAATTCCAGAGATAATAACTAGTGAATGGTTACACTTGGATTGTCAAAGACTGAGGAAAAACACAAATAATCTGTGCATAACGTATTGATCTATTCTAAGTGTAATTCATATCGCCAGTATTTGGGTAATACTAAACAGAAATTCAACTACCACAGTTTCATAGATGTACAATGCTATAATATATAGTCTTACTTAATAAACACAAATTTGATAAAAGAAACAAAAAATAAAACCGATTACAAAATAAATTACCAAACAATGAAAATAAAAAGCAACAATCATCAAAGAAAAAAATAAGTGGACTAGGCAAACACTACACGAAGTAAGAAGAATCAGGTCATCTAAATGAGAGACCTGACGGGGTCTTGATGTTCATCATTATTTGATGTTTATTAGTTCTTAGTCCTTCTCTTCACTGTTCTGTTCTAAACTATACGAGATCTTAATATTCTTCTGAAGAAACAGCGATGATAATATTTAACTGCTAAATACAACAGGGTCGTCTCTCCGTCATTTTGTTTTCTGATCATTCCCAAAATGATATGGACACAATAAGGAACCAAGGGGAACCGACATATCAAATTCGCGAGAAATCCATCCAGTCCTTTTCACAAAACAGTGATAACAAACTTCATTATTCAAATCCAAGTTGGCCGTCTGTCGGCCATTCTTGTTTTTCTGATCTATCTCAAAATCACACGGGCTCAACTAGAGACCACTTGGAAACTACATATGAAAAACAATTCTCAAGAAATAGAGATAACGATGATTGTTGAAATCCAAGATGCTGTCGACCATTTTGGTCTTTTGATCAGTCATTTACTCGAAAGAGAACAACTATGGACCAAGAGAACCTACAGCTGAAATTTGAAAAGATCAACCCAGTGCTTCTCAAGAAATACCGAAAGCAATATTTCATTGTTGATATACAGGGTGGCCACCTGTAGGCCTTGTTTGTTTTTTTAGTCTTAAAATCAAACTGGCCTGGCTAGAAACCAAGAGGAAATTATGTAAAGTACTTCTCATGAAATAGCGATAATATATTCTCATTATAAAAATTCCAAGATGACTGCTTGCCGGCCATTTTATTTTTCGAATTAATCTCAAAATCCAAACAGGAATATCAAGGTATCTAGGGAACCTACATTTGAAATTTGAGAAAGTTTCATTGGGCACTTCTCGTGAAAGTGATAACAAAACCTGTTTACGGACGGACGCATGGACGGATCACTGATTTGAATAATCAATATGGTGGACTAAAATGCCTTGATGTACCTTGATGACAGCTGGTGATGTAATTGGTCCTTCTGTGTACAAGTATTGGTCATAAAACAGGAAGTACCAGTATGTGCCGTCGAATTCTACAGGGTTCGCCAAATCATCGAATACCCAACTACTAACCACGTAGCTAGCTAACACAGGGACTTCGTCTTTACTCCATAACTCTACAAAGCATGGGGGTGCCACTTTAATTATTTGAGATATTGAAAGAAAACAAACATCCTTTTGTAAAAATAAATATGAAATGTTGAAATTAATTTAACTAGATGGTTTTGAGGATATTTGTTTTACTTCACTCTATTGACAAATTTGCAAAAATAACACGTATTAGTGTTATTCTAAAACGATCAGAATGGAAGTCAATTTTCTTCTCTATTTTACCACGCCTCATATAAGGCATCCGTACCAGATAAACAGATGCTGAAAGGATAATTTATGGAAGTTTTTAAACCAGAGTGAGTAATTAGTATGGGAACTCAAACATCAATTTTTACACCAAATCATTTTCTAATCAACTTTATGTCATTGGATGTTTTTCTTAAATTGATTCGAATTGAAATGAAACACCAACGTTGACTAGAAATCATTGAAGGTAATCATTCATCCTTTGGGGACATCAATTATGTAGCACATGTCATGCGTCATTACGTTCTGTGAGATTTATACACCTTTATGTTGACTTGTATTTGGCGACAGAGAAATGTTAGGGAAAATTGATAATCTTCTAGATGTGAACTAAATTGTCCACCTTTAGGATACAAAATCATATATACCGGGACGAGATACGTTTCTTTGTCAAAGACAAACGAACAACCTTTCCAATGATTATATATATATATAATATATATATATAGTGATAGACTCCGAAGCACTTTCCTGTTTAAGGATAGAGATAAAATATTAGAAATCATCATCATTAATGTACCGCCAATTAGAATATTGCTCATGAACAAAGGCTTACTATGATTATACTTAAGACATGCAAAAGACCCATGCTGACACAAATTTTGTATTTTCGATTTCATGAGGAAACAAAGATCTGTCCAAAGTTTTTTTTCAAAAATCTACAAAGGAAGTAAAATGCAGTACACTATGACTTATGTAAGCCTTGGAAAAAAGGAAAGCAGGTTTACTGAGTCATAATTGTCGGTACAAAAATAACTGTAGTAGCATGACTGTCTAGTATCCTTATCAGATGTACAAATGTTTGACATATCTTGATAAAAGAAGTAATATTTGACCCAAATCATCTAACGTATAGGAACACATAATCAATATTTACCGTACATTTAAACATTAAACAGACTGAGAAATCATACTTAAAATTAAATAACAACGGTAGAAACAAAATTTAACCTGAAAAACTGCTTTAAACTATTTTGATATAACCAGTGGCGAATCGCACTGACTTACGTGATGGCTAATTAAATCATAGTTTATTTGAAATCCTTTAGTAATGAAAACTGATGAATATCATTAGTCACGCCTTATAACTGCAATCGGGCACGTAATCTCTTGAATTTTCAGTAGTTATATTCCTTGCTAAGAAAGTTTAGGTACCTTTAACCGTTCTATAAAGTAACTTGCAACATTTTCTGCCTATGTCAGCATAAAATTTAAGTATGTAACATATTCATTATATTATGTTGTCTGTCTGTCAAATAAAATCTCTGGGTTTAGTTGTGCAAAAATGTAACGATATCATACCTACAAATGTTTGATGTGTGTGGGAGTATTCTACCCAGAACTGGATGTTATATGCTCCGGTCGGCAGTACAGCAAGCGTCTTTCGATCACCTTGAGGTAAAAAAGGAACCAATGACAAATAATCGTTTGAGGTGATTTAGTATTAAATAGAATTAAGTCAACCGTGAACTAATCAGACCATCATGTATAAGTCATACAGAGTGACAGATAACGTCTATCGGTTAACGTTAAACTATGGTGGTATGACGTGTGACTTAATTGTTCAAACAGAGTATTATCATACATCTAAGAGTTTTATGAAAACATCACAGTGATTTGTACATTATAACCAAAGACAGATTTGCATTATATTTTAAAACAATACTTGACACTGGGGGTGATATTCTCAGAAATCACCATCAAACACTTTAAAAACAATGAGGACCAGTCGTATATCTTAATCATTTGTTAACACACAGACAGTACACAGTAAAGAGACAAATGTATTTCTTACTTGTTTTCGACTTATGTCGATCTTTCGTATTATTATAATACCATGATTAAAAGCAATTGAAAGCTGTTCAAAATGTTTGTCGTTGAAGCTGCGTTGAAAGTGGTAATTGTCTAAAATACAAGGAAGTTGTGTGAACAATTCCAAACTCGGTATTTTAAGCTATGTTGTCATACAACACTGCATTGAACCTAAAAAGTGATTCCAGATGGAGGCCATTGTAAATTTCAGTTTAGATGAAGTATTGACCATAAAAATGTACTGTTCTGTTTCGATTTGTTTTAGTTCAGTTGTTATACTGATAGACTCAGTCTAACAAAATATATAACCTGTACTTAGTGTTGCCGTCCTTTACTAAAACACACTAAAATACAACGCCAATTACTCGCCGTTTGTCAATTACCAATACGTACCTTTAACCAGGTGGTCCTTATGCTAAACAAACTATTGTACCAAGCGCTTCCACAATCTTACCCTTAATCGCGTGGTTCTTATATTAAACAAAACATTGTACCACGTGCCTCCCTAATCTTACCCTTAATCAGGTGGTCCTTATGTTTAACAAACAATTGTACCAAGCGTATCCACATAGTTACCCTGAATCAGGTGGCCCTTATGTTAAACAAACTATTGTACCAAGTGCCTCCCCAATCTTCACCTTAATCATGTGGTTCTTATGTTAAAGTATTGTACCAAGTGCCTCCCTAATCTTACCCTTAATCAGGTGGTCCTTATGTTTAACAAACAATTGTACTTAGAGCTTTCAAAAGACTTACCCTTGGCCAAAAAATCCGAATAAACGCCGCTGTATGTCCGGCATGTTGAGTTGTCTCCTCCACAAACACCACAAGCATCGAATACTTTATCACCCATTTTTCCATCACAGTCGAATTTCTGTCAATCGATTGAATAATATGATCAGTTTAACAAAATGTTGAGGAAAAGGCTAAATGATAGAAACGAGATTTTTATTTTCATTTTTCATTTTCCTTATCTCATTCTGTTCCCACTGAATACTTTTTCTTCCAAATAACAATTAAATATGATATGTTTTCATTTCTTTCTTTTTCATGTACGGCATATGTACAAATATTGATTAGATATAACACGAAATAAAGTCACGCCAACGCTTATGCATACTCTTGAAAATATACAGGATTGGCTGGGCACTAAAAAAATGGAGAAAAGGAAACCATTTCTCAAGAATATGTTATTAAGCAAACAAACACATTTGATTTGATAAAATAATAGACATTGAAGATCTAATTTCAAATATCTATAAAATCTTTTGTTTTTACTTACGAAACAACGACCTTGAAGACATCGACCGTGCAAGCCCGATTTTCTAGGCCAGTTATTTTTATCCCAGGAAGATTCTCCCGACGTGTCACATGGTGTACCATCCGGCATGAGGCCAAACCTAGTGAAAGCCGGGGTCTTGTACCCAGTCACGTGATCACACTGGACTTCACACTGACCAATTTCTAGAGGTTTAATGGACAATTTAGATATATGTAGACATGATGTGTATAATTTACATGTTCTGTATATTCATATCAAACTGAGAAGGCACAAAAATAGTTATCACATGTATCTACCGCCAAAAGGAGCAATGTCTTTGTGTTCTGAAAATCTAAAATCATAAAACTGAAAATCTGAACATCACAATACTGAAAGTCCAAAATCACAATACTAAAATCTAAAATCACAATACTGAAAATCTAAAATCACAATACTGTAAAATTACAATACTGAAAATCTAAAATCACAATACTGTAAAATCACAATACTGAAAATCTAAAATCACAATACTGTAAAATTACAATACTAAAATCTAAAATCACAATACTGTAAAATCACAATACTGTAAAATCACAATACTGAAAATCTAAAATCACAATACTGTAAAATCTGAAAATCTAAAATCAAAATGAAAATCACAATACTGTAAAATCTAAAATCACAATACTGTAAAATCACAATACTGAAAATCTAAAATCACAATACTGTAAAATCACAATAAAAATCACAAATACTGTAAAATCACAATACTGTCTAAAATCACAATACTGTAAAATCACAATACTAAAATCAAAATCACAATACTGAAAATCTCAAAATACTGAAAATCAAAATCACAATACTGTAAAATCACAATACAAAATACAATAAAAATCTAAAATCACAATACTGTAAAATCACAATACTGTAAAATCACAATACTGAAAATCTAAAATCACAATACTGTAAAATCACAATACTGAAAATCAGAAATCACAATACTGAAAATCTAAAATCACAATACTGTAAAATCACAATACTGTAAAATCACAATACTGAAAATCTAAAATCACAATACTGAAAATCAGAAATCAAAATACTGTAAAATCACAATACTGAAAATCAGAAATCAAAATACTATGAATCAAATTTGCCTTTATTGCAAGATGATTCAATCAAAATAATGCCTCATTAAAATTTTCAATTCCCTTAGTTATCAATGCTACATGAAATTTTTTTTTCTAAAAAAAAATGTATGACACGTTTAAATTTTTCACACACAAGAATTTGACTTTCTTTGAAATCATTCAACATTTAAAATTACATTGATAGCAATTTTTGGGTTAGTGTACTTGTTGGTGTTTGATCGACATTTCGACCACTTTTGATCTTCCACAGTCGCCTCCAAGGATTTACCTAGAATTAATGTCGTGTGCTGGATACAAGCAGCTGTATCATGCAGTTTAGTTTACATATCTTAACTCTTGAATTTGTTTTTAAAGCCGCTATAGACTTGTTCTCCTTTTGTACAATTTCTACAATATCACATATATTTCAAAATCACATCTGATAAGTAGCTTACCTGCTTCATTGTTCAACCTTGCTCCAGTTGGCAGATGATGCGACCCATTTAGATGCCCTGCAGCTATCAGGCGAGCACAAGTCTCTGAGGCTCGTTGTTTGATCAATGCCTGTTTATCATCGCTGTCGCCTTCACAAGGCTGAAATATCAATGTTAATTATATGAATGAATAGCATGTATACATTTACACTGTTGCATTGTCATCGGAAATTCTTAATCGTATGATTTAACAGATACGTACTGATAACAATTGAAGTATTTTTGTTTCCATTCAGACATTTACAAAAATCATAATTTTTCAAATATGTCTACAAACTTAATATCACTATAATTTCTTTGGTTTTTGTGATCCAACAAACTGGTGCATTTGTTTCTCTTTTAAAATAAATGTTTTAAAACAGGTCCTACCATTGTGTTACAGGTTACTGCCTGATATGCGTCTCCTTTGCACGTTGCATGATTTTTCGGCCTAAAGATTATAAAAATACATCTACACCGGAAGTACTCAAAGTGACAATACTGTGGAGGGTTGGAAGACAGTGATCTACATACAATTAATGACATCAATTTATTTATTTATTTGACGAAAATTTCCTACTGAATAGCAAATATACAAGTGAAAGTTATTTTATATAACACGCAAATGTAGTGATTAGCAAGATTTAAATATGTCTTTGTCGTCAATGAAATAGTGACGATACTGTATATCACTAATCGTTATATAAGATATCCTACAAATGGAAAGTAAAGCATATTCTTTGCGCATTGGTTTACAGAAAATAATAAGAAACAATAAAGTAGACTCGGCTCTGATCAGCTAGTGTAAAATACCGCCACTTGTTTTAATGCATGTGTTAACATACGCTGGATTTGTACAGCTACGCATTCGATACGATAGTCCTGAACCACATGTGCGCGTGCACGGTAGCCACGCAGTCCACTTTGACCATCCTCCGGCCTGCACCGTGAGGTTGTACTCCCTAGCATAGTCCCACGTGGCACATCCGTTTTTAAAACAAATCTATGAATCAAATTGTCAAAGGTTTAAATTAAGCCTCTCACAAAAGCTGAATATGGAAAACAAATGAAATTAATCAACATTAGTATTTGGAAAAAAAGACGGACAATTATAGGTATGCACAAATGACCAACCGAATTTTATCGCTTTAGTTGACGCTGTTTGTACACTCAAAATTATCAGCTGTCAAGACAGATATCAGTATTTAGAAGGCTAGATGCTCAGCACTATTTCGTCCATGGGTAATTTGGATATTTTTTTTTTTGGTGGGGGGGGGGTATTGATGTTACATACCTTTCCATCGTCACAATATTGGCCTGGGATATTGTTGTTGTGTCGGAGCATGCGACCGTACAATGGACCATCATTCATGTCTACACAGGTGAATAACTGACAAACCTGGAGACGCAATAAGACGAATTCTAATTGCATTTTGCAGAGAAAATAAAGATTAAACTACACGTGCTGAACACCAATATTTCGCTTAGACTTACACTTCTTTAAACGCAGATGTCTCACTGTACAAAACCTAAATAGTTAACCAAGGGAAACCTTACAGATTATTTTGTATAATTTTTTCATGATTTGATTTGTTCTGCTTTATGACGGTATAGGCAGGATGCTAGATTCGATGCACTTTTATTTTATTCGTTCTTAGCTTGATGTGTTTGGTGCTCATTATGCGTGTTGGTTTCTTTGTTCTCCTTTGGAAATGCGACATTATTTATTTGGATTGACATGGCAGGTGACCCGTCTACAGAGTCTGATATCGTTATACTTGGACTTTCCCGAGAACTTTTCTTTTGTTCTCATTTTGCCATAATCTCAGCGAGGAAGTGTTTGAATTAAAATTTTATAGATATTTTTTCGTATTCTTTATTGATCTTTGTACCATTTCTAAAGCTACTCGCGTTTAAATGAGGATGTTTCGTATTCTTTATTGATCTTTGTACCATTTCTAATGCTACTCACGTTTAAATGAGGATGTTTCGTATTCTTTATTGATCTTTGTATCATTTCTAAAGCTACTCGCGTTTAAATGAGGATGTTTCGTTATTCTTTATTTCTAAAGACCTTTGTATTTCCATTTCTTTGTAAAACTACTCACGTTTAAATGAGGATGTTTCGTATTCTTTATTGATCTTTGTACCATTTCTAAAGCTACTCGCGTTTAAATGAGGATATTTCGTATTCTTTATTGACCTTTGTACCATTTCTAAAACTACTCACGTTTAAATGAGGATGTTTCGTATTCTTTATTGATCTTTGTACCATTTCTAAAGCTACTCGCGTTTAAATGAGGATATTTCGTATTCTTTATTGATCTTTGTACCATTTCTAATGCTACTCACGTTTAAATGAGGATATTTCCTGAAACGAAATCCAGTCCCGTGTAGAATTTCACAAACTTCGTCTGGAGTGTACCGCTGACCTAGTTCATCAAGTAGTGTTATAAATAAACAATAGACAATGGAAATACACACGTGCTAGTAATGTATAAATAACAGGACGAAAATAACATACTTATACATTCAATATTTACCATTATTTTTGTTTGCAAAAGGTTAAACGTCCACTTAAAAGGTAAAGTCATATGAAAGCGGGTGTCAATGTTGACATTGGATGAGAAAGCACAGAAAGTTAGAAGCAATAGGAAAGAAGAATATTTTAAGTCTATTTTGGTCTCTCCTATGTCCCTTAAGATCATAACAAAGAACAGCTACGATTCTGCTGAGAATTCGCTATAAGTCATCCCATCAATGTGTTAATAATTTAGTTGGTGATGACTGAAACACTCGAGCTAAATTTATGTAGTAATACAGAACAGCGTGTGTTAATTTTGAAGTTGGTCACATGACAAAGATAAAGTAAAATGCTCACTCGTGGAAATGACAATAAGTTATTGTTTAATTCTTGTAAAAGGGACACTAATACAAGCAGAGATATTGTCTGAAAGAGGTTTGGAGTTATAATGGTCTGAAAGGTAGTAGAAATGGCAAAGTATGTATGACGAGCGTTATAAACTGACCATATTTTTATAAGACGTTGAACAATACAGAACTATATTTCAATTACAGAGAATATTTAAATTTCACTCATCATCTGACTATTTTCAAATCAAGGTTGAACCTCAATGCTGTTGATATCTGACGAATACTTACCTAACAGTTCCTCCTTGAAGTGGACAGCTTGAAGAGATGAGGTTACGTTGGTCAGTGGAACATCTTCTCTCCACAGACATGAAGCGCGTCCAGAGCTGTACACAACAAAAGTACACGTATTATAAAAACTCATGTTGACAACTTATTTATTAGTTCCTTTACAGCATTATTTATATTTGTTGGGAAAACAGGACACGATCTCTTCAATCCGGTCATTACATACTCTGGTTACTGGGGCTTAATATCGAAGTATGATTTCGCTTTACTTAAGATCTGCTTAGACTGTAATAAAGTTAAATCCGCTGCCTTCACAATGAACTAAATGTTATTCTTTTTTTTTTTAAAAAAAAGGACAGAAATTGATCAATACTTCATGAAAGAGTCCATGTCGTTTCTATTGCAGCTGCTCCAGCCTGCTCCGTACGATCCCATTATTCCTACATCAGGAGTTTTACAACCGCGGTCTACGTCGTGGTACATACCAATACTATGTAGATGTGGATGTAGAAACAGACACAGGTTGTTTTATCAATATGCAGGTGCTTTGTTTAGGGTTTACGTCCGTACAAAAGTAAGAGACAATGAATGATTAGGATGATATAGAAAGTGACAATCTCCTATACTAGTTAAACTATATCACATTGTATTACATTATCATTCAAACATTTAATGTCAAGTAGTTTTAATCTATTTCTGATCTACATCATCTCTAAATAGTAATCCTAGAGCGACAGTTCATCATCCCTTCTACTTGTCCTTAGGTCTGATTTTTGGAGAGTTTTATTAAGATTTAAATGCATTTGACAAAAATGAAACACATTTTGAATATCGGTGGAGTCACCAAACTTACAAACGGGCATCGAATACAATTAATCAATAAATCAATACAATTCTAAATCACGGTTCCGACTATGCAACTTTCCGATGGACCTCGTCCACTCCAACCCCCTAATTGATTCATATAAAAAATGCATGGTTCTTTTCATATATCATAATCCTTGTCATATTTTGGTCGTTCGAAGGCAATCATGGCATCAAAAACGCTATAGGAAGGTAAGTTTAATTTATCACCCAGCCATCATAGACAAAACATTGACACAACGTCAGAAATCTGAAACTCTAACTTACGCGTGTCCAATTTCGTGAGCTGTTGCAATATATGTGATGATATCACGGCTACTCTCAAACCCACAGCGGTAGACGGGTTGGCAAATCCTTGACTGGTACGATACCCCCAACAAAGTGTTGCCATGGTATCTGAAACAATTCTGTCCTCATCAATACGTTTCGAATTAGTCTTTAGTTCAGTGAAATCTCCGATTCGCAATTTAGAATTTCAAAGTGTTTATGTAGGTTTGCAATTGTTTGTCTTTTATTAGTTGATTTATTGAGGTTTTGAAATCATTTTCATAACGTCAACAAAATATTTTCTCGATATATTGTCACTAAGTCAAAGAAAACGTAAGAAGTAAATGTCGTGATTAGTTCCAAGGAGAAGGCAACTTATAATACTTTTTGCTTTTTGTTTATATGAAGATCCCAAATCACAACGCCTCCTTGATATACACAAAAGTTAACCAACCATTCCCCCTACTCCCTATTCGAAAACGAACCTGCATGTTCAGCGAAGCCCGAGCGATATGTCTATGAAGACACGTATATGTAATTTTACAAAATATTCAACATTTTGTGTGGGAACACTTTTTGAGACCTGAAAGCCTCTTCAGCAGAACTAAAATAAATTCTAAACTTACATGTTATACCAGGGTTATAAGCATATAAATCTTCGCCTTAGCTGTAATATTGTATTTCCAATACATATTTACCTATTAACCCCACTTTGGAAAATGTTATGTTAAATACGGCTATCGTTATTCGACTGGATTCGTTCTTGTAAAACTTCAAATTTTAATCAGTATCATCAATCATACTCTCCATTGTCCACCATTTTCTCATAAATTTATAAGTCGTGACATTAATATATGCACATAACTTACCCTGTATGTATGAACGCGTGGTCGTGTGGAAGATGTTGTGTTCCTGTACAAAAACTGCTCAGCAATCCGGCATAGTTATCACCAGATACTGTATACCAGCTCTGAAACAGTCAAAAACAAGTCTATAAAATAAATGAAAAATAAATATTCGTATAAGTCAGTATGTTTTGCACTGATTGGTTGATTTTATAATTCATGCCAAGATATATAGATACTGTCCTAATAAGACAATGAAACAATTCCACAGCAACTTAAAGGTTAAAGTGGCATTGTCCTAAAATTGATTGTCATAGGCACCTTAGTTTGATATAACTTATGGTCATTTTATAAGGAGATTAGAATGGGGGAAAACATATTGAAATGTTACTTACTGGATCAGTCTCAAAGAAATTGACATATTTGATCTGGAATGTCACATTGTACCCAAGCATCTGAGATCGCGACCACTCCATTTGTACCTAAAATATGACATGTTTGCTAATCAGCACGGTACGTTTTTCTTTCTTTCAGAATATTTTATTGTCATGGTGGTATTGACAGTAGGAATTGGGCAACAGGCAGATCCTATGAAAGACCTCTCCTTACAGTGCATAAACAAGTATACAGACACATCAATCAAAATTAGAGATAACAGATAATAATAATATTAGGAATAAGAATGTAGAAGATAGATTCAAATGGATGATTATATAACCGAAATGCAAAATAGGCATCACCATCGTTTGTATTATAGGGTTCCAGAACAGTAACATAAACTAAAAAATACAAATTAGGTATCACAAGATATTACAAGACTGGGTCAAAATATGTCCATTTGTGGTGGGACAGGCTGCAGGTTCAAACAGTCCATTTGCACATAATCCTGAGCTGAGTCCCTAAAATGGACAGGCGGACCCACACTTGAAACATCAAATACAAATGAGAGATAGAAAAGATAGAAGTATAGAATGGGATGTACATTTGCTAAAATAGGCGACCAGTGTCAGTTATGAATCTCTGAACTATATCAAGAATAAATTTATTCATGTTTGCATCAAGTATAGGAGAACCTTTGAGAAATGTATCAATTGTAGGAGGTATAGAATCACTAAGGTCAGAAAGGGAATTAAAGAGGAGTTGTCTCTGGTTAGTAAAGAAGGGACAGTGGAAAAAGAAGTGGGTACAATCTTCAACTGGGTGGCCACAGTTACAGGCAGGGTTATCTTTAAGGTGGGAATTGAATAAATCAAAATTCAGATTACTTGCAGAGTTTCTTAGTTGACATAAAATTATGTTAGCTTTACGTTTTTCTATGATAATGTAATATTAAACATACAATTTTAACAATTTTATTAACCTTTCATATGTTTATAGGATCACACAACAGGCTATGCCTATGTATGTACTATCCAAATTGAGTGCATGAATACAATACATATTCTCTGTTACATTACATCGATCATTGGGTTTAAACATGCAAGGGGAGGTAGATCCAATTTGTTATGGAATATATAATTATGCAGTTAATAAACATTACTGATAATGAATTACACATTGATCCTTGGGAACAGGTCACAAAGTCCATTTGTATATACATCGCGGCCATCTATCCATCGGATATGTATATTAATGCACAACAACTTTGTATCTAATGGTATGGTCGGATATGGTTTATTTTTTGCTTTTTTTTTTTTTTTTTTTTGGGGGGGGGGTGTAAATTGTTATTGTTTATCTATACTGAGACGATCAACTGAACACAATATATGATATACAATATATTATATAATATATAAGTAAAATACACTTACATTTAATAATTATAAAATGAGATAATATAAAAAAAATATTATCAATTATATCAAATAATTTGTGTATCTTACAATAATTTATCATGACTTACATATGACCAGCAGAATGGTGGTTCTAAATGTATCAGTTTATTGACTGTGCTCTTCACGAAAAAGGAAGTCTCTCAGGGAGACGACACTTATTTTGGCGGAACAGACTTAGGTTATACCACTCAATGAATTGATAATCCATAATTGTTTGATTTGTTGGAGACAAATTCTTACAAAGTTCCCATTACAACACAATTCCTTACCATACTGTACTTCAACATCAAAAGTTCTAGCCGTTTCGCTGTATCGTTGGTACCTAATAGTTTGGTAAACGGAGCGTCTGTGAAAACGGCCATCTCTATCGTAATGTCGTGTGATGGAACAGCTTTCTTCTGGCGAGTCGAATGTTGAACTAGATGACTTTCAATAAATGTTTGATCTGTGAAAGAACCATTTGTTGTTACTAAAACGAAACCCGCTTGGTAATATAAACAAAAACATTAATATATTATGTCGGAGATGATGTCATACACTCTGTGTAATCCTTTCACACACGTAGAGGTTATGTTCTGGTGACCTTTGCTACCTGTGTGACACACGTAGAATGTCGTTAGAGGTTATGTTCTGGTGACCTTTGAACCCTCTGTCACACACGTAGAATGTCGTAAGTGGTTATGATCTGGTGACCTTTGCACCTTTTGTCACACACGTAGAATGTCGTAAAGGGCTATGTTCTGGTGACCTTTGCACCCTCCGTCACACACGTAGAATGTCGTAAGGGGTTATGTTATGGAGAACTTTGAACCCTCTGTCACACACGTAGAATGTCGTAAGGGGTTATGTTCTGGTGACCTTTGCACCCTTTGTCACACACGAAGAATGTCGTGAGGGGTTATGTTCTGGTGACCTTTGCACCCTCTCTCACACACGTAAAATGTCGTAAGGGGTTATGTTATGGAGACCTTTGCACCCTCTGTCACACACGTAGAATGTCGTAAGGGGTTATGGTTTGGTGACCTATGCACCCTTTGTGACACACGTAGAATGTCGTAAGGGGCTATGTTCTGGTGACCTTTGAACCCTCTGTCACACACGTAGAATGTCGTAAGGGGTTATGTTCTGGTGACCTTTGCACCCTTTGTCACACACGAAGAATGTCGTGAGGTGTTATGTTCTGGTGACCTTTGCATCCTCTGTCACACACGTAAAATGTTGTAAGGGGTTATGTTATGGAGACCTTTGCACCCTCTGTCACACACGTAGAATGTCGTAAGGGGTTATGGTTTGGTGATCTATGCACCCTTTGTGACACACGTAGAATGTCGTAAGGGGCTATGTTCTGGTGACCTTTGCACCCTCCGTCACACACGTAGAATGTCGTTAGGGGTTATGTTATGGAGACCTTTGCACCCTCTGTCACACACGTAGAATGTCGTGAGGTGTTATATTCTGGTGACCTTTGCATCCTCTGTCACACACGTAAAATGTTGTAAGGGGTTTTGTTATGGAGACCTAGAACCCTCTGTCACACACGTAGAATGTCGTAAGGTCTATGTTCCGGTGACATTTGCACCCTCTGTAACACACGTAGCGTGGGGTTATGTTCTTGTGACCTTTGAACCCTCTGTCACACACGTAGAATGTCGTAAGGGCTATGTTCTGGTGACATTTGCACCCTCTGTCACACACGTAGCGTGGGGTTATGTTCTGGTGACCTTTGAACCCTCTGTCACACACGTAGAATGGTCTTATAGACATTTTATTTTGTAGCAATTTATTTCATCACATGTTTATCAACTCAGATCCCAATTCTTCCCCCGTTACTATCCACGAAGGAATGAGAAAAGGAATCAGCATTTTCATGATTGTCGATATGTCGAAACTAAATGATTGTCGACATGTCGAGACTAAATGATTGTCGACATGTCGAGACTAAATGAGACTAAATGATTGTCGACATGTCGAGACTAAATCATTGTCGATATGTCGAGACTAAATGATTGTCGATATGTCGAGACTAAATGATTGTCGACATGTCAAGACTAAATGATTGTCGACATGTCGAGACTAAATGAGACTAAATGATTGTCGACATGTCGAGACTAAATCATTGTCGATATGTCGAGACTAAATGATTGTCGATATGTCGAGATTAAATGATTGTCGACATGTCAAGACTAAATGATTGTCGACATGTTGAGACTAAATTATTTAATGCATAAATGGGTTATGCAAGATATTTTACTTTCAAGATTCGGTCAGTGGTTATTTGATGTGCTTATGCAATAGTGCCCAGAACACGATATCTTAGAAGATGCCGTATCCTAATACGGAGAGTAATTGTGCGAGAATCGGGATCTGCAGTACAATCGGATCGTAACCTGCAATACAGGTGCGAGTACGTAATTATGGGGCAAGCAGAGAAACGGTTTGGGAGTTGCAAGAAAATTTCTATGGTAAATATATTTTACAGGCTCAGATTACGTCACCTATATAAAGGCATTTAGGTAGTGCAGAAAGTAACTGCTTACCTCTGTCATGTGCACTGAAGTCACCCGTGTTGTTTTTGCGGGAGATAAGGATATTTGTCGCCACACCTGCAGGTTTCTCTGACGATAGAAGATGGCTCGGAATCGAGTCAATTCGATATATTTGTGTCGGAGTAGTTATCAATCCGTTCTGGAAAATAAACACTTCCTTTAAAAATCGATGTACTATGTTTGTGGTTTCAAAACAAACCAATAAAAAAGTTTAGTAAAAAGTAGGAAATAAGATATCAAGGTTAAAGAACACTAAAATATGTCCATTATACTTGTCAAGTCAGTTCTGATAACAAGGGCATTAACAGTCACAAGAGTTCTATAAAAACTGTCGTTTTTGTTGTTCAAACTTTTAATTAAGAATTACCTAAACAATACTGTTTATTTAATACAAATGTATAATGTGAATAACATTGAATTATCATGCCACGTCAATAATTCTGAAGGAATCTGGATGGAAACTGGGTCAAAAAATACATAATTCGGTTAAGTACCTGAGGAGACCTTCATCTTCATTTTCATTTGCCCAAATATGGAGTCTATTTAAACATAATTTTGGAGTTAACATGGACCTTGGGAGTCATAAAATTAAAATAAGAAAGTTGCAAGCACCTCAATATCCTTCCATCTATGGAAATTATTTATTTCCACTATTGTAGGTCTGCAGAAGTTTTATGTAAATGTTGAACCCCGGGGTCACGAAATTAATCATTTTGATAAAGGACCTTGGAACACTTGCAACCATAACGATGATTTAATTCTGCCATACCTGGGGTCACGCGAGAGCAGATTTTGATATTCCACTGTATTTCACTGCAAATTGTCATTGAAATTGGTTCTGTGTTTTTTACAAATGAAATTTGTTTTTTAAAGAGTCACGAAAGGACGACTTCGGACACGGGGCGACTAGAATAGGTTACTTAGGACTTCGTCTCAGGAGACCTAACCAGGCTGTTTCGACAAAATACTAAGTTAATGTGTTAGGTTTTGTTATCAATCAATACATATATTTTATATATTCTTATTAATTTTTCGACAGTGGTAATGTTATGAAATTCATCTTTATAATCTAATACAGTGTAATAAAATACACGATTTTTGTTGTATAAATGTTCTACCAACATCTACAGTCATTAACAGGTGTTAGCTTACGAGATTAATTAATATATTTACCAGCCCGTCACAGTAAGACAATGCAACCGTTCCATTGTGTGATGTCACATCTCCAGATAGAAAGCAGTCTGGATGACGTCCAGTCCAAACATTTTCGTGATCCCCATTTGTAACTAACACCGTTGCCAAGGGGTGTAACACGGTTCGGATTTGTCTTGTCCTTAGGTGCAGTTCCTCGCCAAATACTGGGATCTTAAACTCAATATCCTTGTTGGCCAAAGTGCGCTTGTGCAGTGCTGCTGTAGCAAGGTTATGTCTGGTGAAAGAGAATGTAATGAAATATGATCCATTTCCTAGGAATAAGAGAGAAAGAAGTCCTGACATAAGCACAGGAAATGATCGCTGCGTCTAAGTGAATGTCGTGACAGACTACTAACATTTTCGCTCAATGTATTTCACTGAATTCCTGTTTATTTTTTCAGTTGCGGAAATCACAAAAGAAGAGTATATTTTCCATTGTAAAATTCAGTTTCCCTATGACATTTCACCATCTATATTGTTTATGTGATAGACGGTTCACGTGTACTGCACTTACATTTTGTTATCTGCGTCGTTTATGGTGGACAGGCTGAAGTCGTTGTATCCAGCTAAAAAGCGGAAGACTCTTAACATGTATTGTATAGGACTATCAAATGCGTAAAAATAACCAAATCTACTATAGATATCATAACAATCAAAATATTGTAAAAACACACAAATAAATAAAACACTTAATAAAACTTTTTAATTTGAATTCTGGAGAGTCAGGTTGATAAATCAAACTGGATCATACAGCTGTTCCGTCCTTCTACGATTCGTCAGCGATGGTAAAGGCTTTAGTTTCTAAACACAGTGGGCAACTAAAGAAAATCCAAACTGACCAGAAAAGTCTGAAAATCAGTAATAATAAGCTGAACCAGCACCATAAATAATTAAACTCCATATTCTTTCATATGCGATAATTTTACTTATTAAAGTACATGTGTATATTTACGAACATCAACATGCAAGTCACTGACGGGTTCTAGAATGACAAAAAAACAGCTGTTTATTGCAGTTTAATTCATTATTTGTCTGTACGGCATATAATTCTTAATTGGTTATTAAACGTCCCTTGATGTCTTTGTATAAACCTTTATAACATAATACCTACTACTACGTTAACACCTACCACAAAGGAATAGAAATCTGAGGAAACATTGAAGCTTGTATGTTTAGGTTCAATACCATAAGTAACGAGATGTATAAAGCATAAATGTTGAAATAGTATATGAATAAATAACAAGTCAAATCTGATGATTAGAAAAAAATTAAGTACGTGTTGGTTAATGTTCCCACTTTTGTATTTTTCAGCTTAGTTTTGTACATGTAATAAAATAATGGACAAAGTTTACAACAAGTAAAAATTTCCTTTACACATTATTTTTACACTTTATCCCGTTAAAATCACATTTAGAGCATGCAATGCAATTATTTACCATCTTCTAAGTTCAATGAGTTGATAAATGATTTCAGTGGTTGATGTAGCGCCGAGGAGCTGCTGACCTGCAAATAGAATACACTAAGCTTTACATCTTGTCTACATCATGTTGTCGTTTACATTATCAATGACATGCCATGCGACACACCTTACCTGAAGTATTAAACAAAGGAATACCCAATGATTGCCCCTATTGCCGATGGCCGCCATAACTACCAACTGATAAACAGACCAACTGTCCACGTCACTCACAAAAATGACTATATATAGAGTTCTAAAAGGGCTGAGATACACATACAAAACAGGTTTTTTTAACTTTGAGTGTACAATTGCAAACATGCCGGGGTCAAACCGTGCATTTTTGTTTTAACTTAAGGATTCTTATCTAACATTAGACAATGTCTAGTTATCAATTTCATAACGTCCTCACCGTGTTATCGGTGCCTTGATAAGGGAGGTCGACAATTTATTTAAAAGCTCTGACCAATGCAATGAAAAGCCTCGCTGTTCCATGTCATGGTTAATCAATTTATCGAGATTTAATTTATATTGTGACGCCAAAGTGATCTGGGCCCAATCTTGGGTCTATAAAACATGGAAAGCTGTCACAATTTATATAGAGTTAAACCCAATAAAATAACAAATAACAATAGCACTCTTCATCAGGTTCTTAAACTCCTTCCCTCTGCCGTCAGGACTAAATCCAGGTTCCGTTCTGTAGCCTCCAGGTATTCCGATTAAACTGGTATATTTCTTGGTAATAGTTTATCCTTTTTAATTCAATCTGACCTTGACATTACATTGACCTAGACTTGACCTTTTTATGTAATCCAATTTTGGTTAACAAGGCAGTCACTCTGATTAGTAAAGAATGACTCAGTAGATCCGGACCATTTAACGATTCCGTGAACAAGTCATGTTTCTTAGATCAAACCTCAGTTGTAAAGAAAACTAAAATATTGTAATAAAATTCAATATTTAATTAGGAAATTAGTTACTTTGACAGTCTGATCAGACTCGCACAATCATTCACACATTAGTTCAATATTTAGAGATACTTTGATTACAGATTTTACAAGTAAGATGGCCAATATTATTGAGTCATTTCAGTCTTCATCAATTAACATTTTCCAGGACAGAAAATTTGGAACACATTAATCGGTATGCATAAAGCTTATAAGAAAAATAGACTAACTCTTTATATATCCAAGTCAATTTAATGCACATCCACTCTGATCTCTAGACTTCGTCTGTCCACATGTATGACAATGTAAGATCCAGAGGCTGACTTCTTCACGTATTTTTTCTTTGTCTTCTTATTTCCCTAAGTGACACCCTAACAAGTTGTTGTGCATGTGTATCATGACATTATCTCGCAACCCATGAGGTACTAACATCTGCAGGTAATGTCCTGTTCCATTTATTTTATTTTATTTTTTTTTTTATTTTTTTGCGGAATTCTCTACAGAGTACACTCTCCTGAAGAGTAAGACTGTGGAGTTTGTGCCAATTATGCCTGATTGCTGAATTACACTTAATAATTTGTTTATGCCTGGGTCGAGTGCCCTTTTCCACCAATTGGTATATATAGTAGAGATCATCATCATTCTGTTGTAGATAACTAAGGTTTTTGAAACTGTATGAAGACTGCCATGGGGTCCAGGTTACATTTCCTTTTGTTGCTTCTGGGTTGTTTTTAGCTTGTAATCTTGTATTCACTGTAATAACTTGCCATCCCTAAAAACTATCTGATATGCTTCACATTTACTGGTGTTGTCTAATATTTTCTTAACATCTGTATTTGGTTTGACCCCACTCTCAGATACCATCAAGGAATGGCGCTTCTGGAACAATTTTTCTTGTTTCAACTTTACCTCTCGCACAATCCAAACTTGTTGACGAAGGCAGTTTTTGGTGTATCTTTCTTCTTTACAGGGAATTGATGATGTCCCGATGTTAGGTTAAAGGCAGAGAAATATTTTTGCGCCAGTAACAGAGTCTAGACATTCTTATACGTGGGGTCAAGGAAAAACATCTTAAACTGTGACATTGTTGACTCTACGATAATCAACGCATGGTCTCACTTTTCCAGACTGCTTTCTGACAAGACAAATAGGAGAAATCCATGTAGATGAAGACTAAGATTTCTGGATGACGTTTTGCTGCGTCAACTATTCTATGGCCATCTGTTTCTCCCCAGCAAAAGCTTAAGTTCAAGGCATTATGCAGTATCTGCTGGATTTTTTAATCTATTTCCGGTATCAATACGATGTTCTACGAGATGAGTCAATCCAATATCAGTATCATCCCGAGAGAAGCTGTTTGAATATTTATTCAGTAAACCAGCATTTAACCAGACGTATCTCGTAAAGATTGTGTGTGACAAACAGTAGAAACAACAGAATGCGACACTGGTCACAATTTGACAGAAAAGTTCCAGTCCGTTGATGACATTAATCTATGTGTCATCTTTGATTGCAATTCATTAAGTTTAAACAACCTAGACATATAATTGAGGTAATCAACGAGTTAGAGCCGTACCTCGTGAAGTATGTGTGTGACAAACAATTTCTATCTCTTGTAGAACATGAAATCTGCTATTATCACATTTAACCTTTTTAACAAAAATAATAATTTATAAATAATTCCTCAGAGAGTTTGTTACAGTAGAGTTTTCCTATATAAGGACTTGCATATATATTTGTTCTCTTCCATTTACTTTAGTGTTGGTTCACAAAAAAGTATAGGTTTGTCTTTACGATTAAAAGTCTGTGTTGGTTCACAAAAATTATGGTTTTGTCTTTACGATTAAAAGTCTGTGTTGGTTCACAAAAAATATAGTTTTGTCTTTACGATTGAAAGTCTGTGTTGGTTCACAAAAATTATGGTTTTGTCTTTACGATTGAAAGTCTGTGTTGGTTCACAAAAATTATGGTTTTGTCTTTACGATTAAAAGTCTGTGTTGGTTCACAAAAATTATGGTTTTGTCTTTACGATTGAAAGTCTGTGTTGGTTCACAAAAATTATGGTTTTGTCTTTACGATTAAAAGTCTGTGTTGGTTCACAAAAAAGTATAGGTTTGTCTTTACGATTAAAAGTCTGTGTTGGTTCACAAAAATTATGGTTTTGTCTTTACGATTAAAAGTCTGTGTTGGTTCACAAAAAATATAGTTTTGTCTTTACGATTGAAAGTCTGTGTTGGTTCACAAAAATTATGGTTTTGTCTTTACGATTGAAAGTCTGTGTTGGTTCACAAAAATTATGGTTTTGTCTTTACGATTAAAAGTCTGTGTTGGTTCACAAAAATTATGGTTTTGTCTTTACGATTGAAAGTCTGTGTTGGTTCACAAAAATTATGGTTTTGTCTTTACGATTAAAAGTCTGTGTTGGTTCACAAAAATTATAGTTTTGTCTTTACGATTGAAAGTCTGTGTTGGTTCACAAAAAAGTATAGGTTTGTCTTTACGATTAAAAGTCTGTGTTGGTTCACAAAAATTATAGTTTTGTCTTTACGATTGAAAGTCTGTGTTGGTTCACAAAAATTATGATTTTGTCTTTACGATTAAAAGTCTGTGTTGGTTCACAAAAATTATAGTTTTGTCTTTACGAGTAAAAGTCTGTGTTGGTTCACAAAAATTATAGTTTTGTCTTTACGATTAAAAGTCTGTGTTGGTTCACAAAAATTATAGGTTTGTCTTTACAATTAAAAGTCTGTGTTGGTTCACAAAAATTATGGTTTTGTCTTTACGATTAAAAGTCTGTCTTGGTTCACAAAAATTATGGTTTTGTCTTTACGATTAAAAGTCTGTCTTCTCTAACATAAGTAACTTGTAACGAGGTGTTTTTTTCAGCATTAATAACCGTAAGGATACGTCTATATGGTAGTGTTATCTATCACTCTTTTTGTGTACACAATTCTGTACTGTTTTACCCTCGTTTCCTTAAAAACTGCAAAGTTTTCTTGATTCTTTTTTTTTTTTTTTTTTTTGGGGGGGGGGGGGGGGTTGTTTGTCTCGTAGGATTTCATTGTCTATAGATTCTCTAACAGTTGCACGGCTGGATAGCACTTTCTCTCTTACAACAGAGAAATTTACACTCCTCCTTTTTAGTACATTCAGTGAGAAACCCCTGATTTGTATACAATGTTTCCCTTGTACGTAATAAACGCGTCATTCTTCGGACCTCCCGAAACAAATTCAGATGGTAAATGCAGCAATGAATATTTACTGTTGTCGCTATGGTATACTTGTTCAGTTCTCGGTTTTGTGCTGTACATACATCAGATTGTCGTTCACTGTGTCAAAAGTCTACGAGTTCGAAGGTAGGGTATGTATTAATCAGAAATAGGACAGTTCACTCCCCTTGAAATACTTACATTTGACATACACACCTCTCTGTGCGAACTTTCCACAGAAATTGTTTAACTGCCGTTTAGAAACTGAGTGTAGCCCTGTGTTAGTGTGGTATGCTCAGGTTTTAGTTGTGGTCCTCGTTACGATAATACGATTCTATGCACTGTACTTTATTTCCTTCAGTGCTGCACCAACACTGCCAATCGCTGGTGTTGATGTATTCCTTAAATATAATTTTACTTTTGTCTTTAAAGTGATACATCTCATATAATTTGAACACATCGTAACCCATTTCAGTTGCTTTTAAACTTCGGGGATACAACACCAACTCAAAATGCATTGTTTTCGTTTGTGCGTGACAATAGTTTTTGATTCTCGTTTAATTGCACACGTGTAGCATAAAGGGAATTGGAGTTTTCCATAACGCTTGACAGGCAGAACGGGTATGTACAGTTCGCGCGAGGGCCAAAATTTGCTTTTACTAAACCAAAGTATTGCTCCAACGGTTTGAATTCGGGGGTAACTCTCTGAGGGTGTCCCGTATTTGTTAACGGAAGGATAGAAACCAGTATAAATGACGAAGCGTATCTTTCCGTCGTCCTGTACCCTGAGATGTAATTTTACGTCTAGTGTAGAAACAAAATCTACAATTCTCTCTCTCTCTCTCTCTCTCTCTCTCTCTCTCTCTCTCTCTCTCTCTCTCTCTCTCTCTCTCTCTCTCTCTCTCTCTCTCTCTCTCTCTCTCTCTCTCTCTCTCTCTCTCTTACAATATCTCGTTTTAAGCACAAAGTCTTAAAAGTTCAATATTAGAAGGTAATCAAATAACGCATCTAGGTCACTCAAATGAAAATTTAGCGTTTACACATTTTTTATGTACTTATTAAATATCCAACTCTCTTGCTATTTACCTTTCACTAAGGAAAAAAACAAAAACAAAAAAAAAACTTTTTTGAAAAGAAATATTGCCGCGAAAAAAAACCAAGAATGTGTCATGAATATTTAGGGGGGAAAAGGGTAATTTGTGAAAATGAATTAATCCCTGTTTCGCGTATTCAAATGACTGTGAACTTTCGATCAATCATCAGTAGAACAAAGGCTGAACACTGTTTGAAAGGGGCAGCATTTTGAGGGACGAACCCTCGACCCAATACAATTGTTACCAGCACATTTTACGCTGTATAGTCGGTATTCCAATCAGCTTTGTGTGACTTAGAACAAGAACATCACGTCGGTGTTTATACTCACAAATTTTGCCAGCTACTATATTTTTATTTATTTTATCGATTGGAATTACACAAATTCCGGAATGCCGGGCGAAATTTAGTTACCCACTGCCTGTTCCGGTGATAACGAAACTGAACAAAGATGGCGACTTACATGCGTCTGTTGTTGCTCTAGAAATGAAGTTTGCAGATAATTGCATCGTGTATCATGAGTAAAGCCAAGCGCAAGGTAACAGTGGACGCAGGAAAGCCTGTTCCAGACGAAGGCGAAAGAAGAAAGCCCAGTGTCTTCGAAAGACTGGGTCCAGGTGGAGCAAGAAAGCCGGCGTTCACCGAAGAATCAGATGTGAGCAGTTATGTTATAATTATCATTAATATGTGAATTTTACCTAACCTAATGTCCTTCTTATCTTAATTTTACAAAATCGTAAGACAAAATAAAAAAGTCATAAAGCTATAATTAAGAGTTGCATTATTTTCAATAGTGAAAAATAGTTTTAATATTACAGTGTAAAACAGGCTTATAATCGTATTTAATTTTATCGAGCATTCAAAGTTTGTAAAATTTAATCTAGCATCTGAGATTGATCTTACAATGAATTATGCTTTATGTTTGACCTGTTGGTAGAGGAGAGAAAGATACTATCAAAATACCCAAGAGAAATGTCGGTACTGGCAGCAAAATGAGGAATGTCCATTTGGTACCAAATGTAAATTTTCCCATGGATCTTTCAAGAAGGGGAAATCATCAAAGTAAGTATTTACTCTGACTTAAATCTGTTGTTGTGATTACTCACAAATGACTGCTTCATGTCGTAGTTGTGATACCGAGGCCTATTGTCAGTACCTCTGATGTATCCAGGCACTTTTTCTTGATCAAGACTCGGTAATGTGACCACACCTAGCCAATCAGTGCTTTATGTCACAAACTGCAGAAAAAAAATCTCAGTGTAGAAATAGGGGTCACATGAGATTCAAATGAGTAGAGCTTACCTTAAATATCAATATGTTGTTCAGTTCAAGATATGGCCAAAGAACATCCATTATTATAAGTCTATGTAATAATAATCTCCAATCATATTTGTCAGAGAATTTATTTTCTAACTAACCATATCAATATAGAAAATATACTGAGATGGATTTGAACGTAATGCTTCAGTATTGTTCATCAACTGCTAAATGATATGTAGATACTCATCATTATGAATAGTATTATTCAATTTTAGAACCATATTAAAATGCATATGACATCACTCACACGCTGTTCATTATTTAAATCATTTTAAGGATGCTTTAGAATTGTCCATCTGACTGAAAAGAAATGTGCTTGTCATAATTTTTTTTTTTAAGTGAGAACACAGACTTAACAAGGTATATCATGTAGACCTACATTCTATACATACATAGATGAACATACATCTAAGTATATAATGGAAATGTTATCAAAACTCAGTAAGGTGCTTTTACTCCAAGATATTGGTTTCCATTGAATATCAATATTAGAATCATCAATTGTTGAAATTCTTTGATATTTCTTAAGTGCTTTGTTAAGAAATAGTCTCCGCTGAATGGGTTCAATAAGTGGTAGCAGCCACTATGGAAGGAATAGGAGGTTGTCAATAGCCATGCTATGCAACATCAGATTTCAAATGCTTGTTTTATGATTTTGAAGAATTAGATCATTTAGATGATAATATTATGTAAACAATAAAAACAGTCATATAAAATTGCCATTTTCCAGTCAGTCAGTGATCAATTTAAACATATTTATTGTAAACCTTAGAACAAGGGATGAGACACAAGTTTTTACAACTTTATATCCTCATCTTCTCCAAATGTACATTTACATATTGAAAACAATTACTATCATGGAAACGTGTATATCTTCTAGTGTTACATAATTTTGTACATTCTGCAAGAATACATTCTGTTATTTCAATGTTTGAATAGGAGAGAGGATGACAGCTCTGATGAGCCAAGACCACGGGGAAAGAGTCGTAGGGAAAGAACAAGTGATCACAGTGACAATGAATCTGTAGAAAGGAAAAAACGTAGTAAGTCGAGAAAGGAGAAAGAAGCAAGAATAAAATCAGCCATTGTTGTTAAAAGATCCCGTGGAGGGGACAGTGACCTTGAGAGTGACAGTTCAAGTTCTTGGGGTCAAGAAGGGGAGGCCTTGACTGGTGAGTACTCAAAAGACCTAAAATTATAGATTTGGAACATTCTATCTTTCTCATCAGACAAGTGCTTCTGAATCGTATGTGTAAAATTTGAAATATCCCACTAACTTTCTATTTTGACGTTTAACTTAATTTACATACAGCTTTAGGCAGTAATAAATATGTCAGGTCTTACCTGTAGTTTACTTTATCATTGCTTATGTAGGCCTGGACTACAAGAAGGAGCTGGAACTGGTGAGGCAGAGACAGAAACTGAGACAGGAACTTAGCCAGCTGGAGGATACAGATGATGTCCGTGAGAATCTACACATTGAGAGAGAGGTACATATTTAAGTTATAGTGAAAAATCCAAAGATGATTTCCAGGCACATGCAGGTTTGATGGGAGCAGCGCTTGTATAAAATGATCTCTCTAATGACCTATTGCCTGGTGGAAACAACAAATCACTCACTGACCATTCATAACATGCTGGTCTGAACCCGGCAAGGCATTTTAGTAATTCAACAAGTAATAACAAGGATTTCCATATTCCTATAAATATTTCAGTATATTAATGTTAAAAAATATATATTGAAATCTACCATCCTCGACAAAGCTTGAAATATGGTTTGGTATGTTTTATTTTAGCAATGGAAAATTTACACTAAAAATAATGTTGTAAAATATAATGGAACTTTTAGTTTCTGTTTGTCATTGATATAGTGAATGCACAATTTCATCATGGTGCTTACTCCTTCACAATTGATTCTACACTTAACTTTGATGGAGCTAAAATAAGTATGTTTATAAGGTGATAAGAAATATTACATGATAGAATTATGGTTTACTACTTATAAGAGGACAGCTACCCCTTCTATATAGATAGAAACAACACAGTGACTCAATACCTCAACAAATACCCTCATATACAGATTACAGATACAGTAACTTTCACTCGCCCAAAGAGAAGACATCCTCATTTTGTCTCTTTTAATATATTATTCCTCACTTAACACTGACAAACATACTAAATCAATAATAAAAGAGGCAAAACTTGAACAACATACAAGAAAATTTAACAAAAAATTCTTAACCCTTTTTTGTTACAGGATATTGATGTTATAGTAAAAAACATGTTTTTATATGCAGTTATAATATTTGTGTGTAAACAAGCATATATCCATATTAGGTCCTTCATTATTATCCGTTAATTTCAAGATAAATTCAGGAAATAAGAAATAGAACAATCTATGTAAGAATATATTCTATTGTTATTTACCCCTTTCTAGTGTTGGCATAAAGGACTTTCCATAGCTTTAGAAATTAAGATGTTTTAAGTGTCACTGTCAGAAAACCTTTAATACCACGACATCCTGATGTACCTTTACATATCTGTTTAATATGTCATGTTTCAGATCAGCAGCAGTGACAGTGACGGGAACATCAACGTGGAACGTGGGCGGACTCACAAGAAAATGTCAAAGTCACCCAGGTGCTTAACTAATCATTCATTTGCCATACAAGAACACTTCTGTAACTCTGATTACTACTCACCACAATAAATGTCTCGGCTGAAGTGATTTTTCTAGATATTTTAGCAGGACTGGTTGATTGTAAGACTAAAAAGCATTAGATCCCAGATCGGAATCCTAGTGACGGGATTAGATTAGATAATGATTCGTGTTTAACTTTATGATTATGATTAATATTATGAAAATCTACATGTAGTTGATAATGCATTAGGTATGATTTTACATTTTGTCTGCTATCCAGTGAATTTGTCCATATTTCTCCATTTGTCATTAGAATGATATCCACAAGAGCATATGTCATGGCTAAGTCAATCAAATTCACTTGTCGTAACATCCGCATTGATGTTATATCATGAATAGTGAAATGAAGCAACAGAAGGACTGCCTCTGTTTGATGTTGCCCTCTATTCCATTTTTACTTAAATGACAATTAAAAATGTCTGCAATAATAAAAATTTTAAAATCTTGTCTCAGGAAAATTCATATGAAATGAAACTCATTTAAAATCTTACATACCGGGTATGTTGAAATTGGGTTAAGATAACAAGTCTATCAGAAATGACCTGCTGGAAATATTTCTTAGTTATAATAGCTGTCTTTTCACTGTATCGTCTAATTTTTACACACTTGTTAGCTATTTCTTCACTGTATCGTCTAATTTTCACAGACTTATTAGCTGTCTCTTCACTGTATCGTCTAATTTTTTCAGACTTATCAGCTGTCTCTTCACTGTATCATCTAATTCATACAAACTTATCAGCTGTCTTTTCACTGTATTGTCTAATTTTTACAGACTTATCAGCTGTCTTTTCACTGTATTGTCTAATTTTTTCAGACTTATCAGCTGTCTTTTCACTGTATTGTCTAATTTTTACAAACTTATCAGCTGTCTTTTCACTGTATTGTCTAATTTTTACAGACTTATCAGCTGTCTTTTCACTGTATCATCTAATTTTTACAGACTTATCAGCTATCTTTTCACTGTATCGTCTAATTTTTACAGACTTATCAGCTGTCTTTTCACTGTATCATCTAATTTTTACAGACTTATCAGCTGTCTTTTCACTGTATTGTCTAATTTTTACAAACTTATCAGCTGTCTTTTCACTGTATTGTCTAATTTTTACAAACTTATCAGCTGTCTTTTCACTGTATCGTCTAATTTTTACAGACTTATCAGCTGTCTTTTCACTGTATCGTCTAATTTTTTACAGACTTATCAGCTGTCTTTTCACTGTATCGTCTAATTTTTTACAGACTTATCAGCTGTCTTTTCACTGTATCGTCTAATTTTTTACAGACTTATCAGCTGTCTTTTCACTGTATCGTCTAATTTTTTACAGACTTATCAGCTGTCTTTTCACTGTATTGTCTAATTTTTTACAGACTTATCACCTATCTTTTCACTGTATTGTCTAATTTTTATAGACTAATTAGCTTTCTCTTCACTGTATCGTCTAATTTTATGGCTGAACTTTTTACTTGTTACTACTAGTTCTCATTTCTTGTATTTGGTAGTGAACACAATAATAATCTGTTGACATTGTTGGTTTTACAGCAAGAAAAAGGACAAGAAAAAACACAAGACCTCCAAATCTCCTGCACACAAAGGGAAAGCTCTTTCTCCAAGCCCCAAGGACAAGGCCAAAAGGTAGAATCTCCAGTTCTGTCTTTACTGTACATGTATTGGTATTGTCAGAAAAATACATTTGACTCTGCTTCAAGGATTGATAGAACAGGGAAAAAATGAGTAAACTATATGTTTATCATCATAGGGATAATTGACCGACAAACTTTGTTTCAGTTGTACTTCAGTTGTACTTCTGTATTTCTGTAATTACGGATAAAATAACATTACAAAGCATTGAACTGGAGGAGACTGGTGGCTGGGGAGATCATGTTTAAAATTGTTTACATAATCCCCTGAAAGAGGAATTCTCCAAGATTAAGTTAAAACAAAACTTGTTCCAATTTTCAGATATGATGAACCAGAAAAAGATTCAAGAAAAAAACACAAGAAAAAGAAAATGTCTTTGGAAAAAAGATATGCTGACTACTCTGATGAAGAACCCCCTGAAATAGACACTGTTAAGTCTAAGAAATTAAAAGTGGCTAAAAGTTCAAAGGTTAAGCATGCAGAGCAAAGGCCAAAACTTAGCTTCCAGTCTGATGAGGAATTTGATGAAGAGTTTGTCATCAAGAAAAACAGACAAAAATCATGGTCAAAATCAGTATCAAGATCTCCTTCAAGGTCACCCACAAGGTCACCTACACCTGTAGCTGGTTATGACCGTGGGCGATCCAAGAGAACGCCTTCAGATTTTGATCGATATGAAACAAACAGAACTCCTTCACCAGAGGTGAAAAAATCGAAAAAGTCTAGTCGAGACCATGCAGACTATGACACCTGGGAGAGAGATAAAGACAGGGAACCAAGTCGGGAAAAACCACGCCACAAAATTGCACAAGAACGCGATGATCTGTCCCCAGAACCTCGGAAAGAAAGGAGGACACATTCTCCATCTGAAGACAAGAGGGAGCCAGAGGAAAAACACATCAAAAAGAAGAATAAAAAAGAACAGAAACAGAACAAACATAAACAGGAAGCAGAAAGTCGTAGTGGTTATTATTCAGATGGTGGAGGTTCTCCATACAGTCAGGAGAGGGCAGCACCATCTCCAGAACGTAGTCGTAAAGGAAAGAAACATAAGGGAGATCAGTCCAAGGACCGAGGAAGTACAGGACGAGAGAAGGACAATCGGCGAGATATGTATGAGGATCCAGATAAAACTGAATCACCAAGAGATTACAGGGAACAACGTAGTAAAGGATATAAAGATCGTGGGCAGATTGTTAGTCCAGCTTCTACCTCACGTGACAAGGAAAGACAGGGGAGGTCACTGTCAATTGAACCACCATTAAAGACATCAGAGTCACGTAGGGACTATTCGCCAGAGTCACAAAGGTCAGGCTCACAGTACCAAAGGAATCGCAGAAATATGTCTCCAGTGGACAGACGCCGTGATGAGGAGCGTTATGAGAAGGAGAAGGATGTAGAACGTTCACGTGAAGGGCGGGGCAGAGAGAAGGATGATCCTCATCGTGATCCTAGGGCGATGTCCCCAGATGATCGTAGATATGGCCGGGGCCCACCACCAGGAAGACCAGAGTTTGATCCTCGACAACAGGGCAGGATGAGCAGGTAGAAATCACAAAAATTCTTAAATGAAAATATTTCCCCTAAGTTATATTTTGTAAACTTTTATCAAGTATGGATTTAATAATCTTTATTATCCCCCATGAATTGCATTTGCGGGGAATATTAACATGGGCTCCGTCTGTCCACTGGATTTTTCTGGCTATAACTTCAAAACCATTCAACTCAACTTCACAAAACTTGCTGTATACATCATGTTTGTGCCCTGGTTGTTCCTTTTGTTATTGACAAAATTTCATTTTTTGATATTTTTTTATGGTACCATGGAAACATAGTAAAAAAAAACCCACAAAATTAGTGTTAATTTTCCTTTCCTTTGAAAACGTTCAACTTGACTCCACAAAACTTTCAGTATATATAAGGTCAGTGCCCAAGAAGTGTCTTTTCTTATTAAAGACATTTCTATCATTTTTGTCTCTTTTTTTTTTATTTTGGTTACCATCAATTTTTATGCGGTCGTATATTTGCGTCATCATCGTCATCTGTACGTCCGTACATCCATTTCTTGTGAACGCAACTCCTCCTAAACTAATGATCAGATTTTCATAAAACTTGCTCAATGTCACTAATACAATGGTTCAATGTGCATGAGGGGGCGATTTTACGGTTCATTGATTTTTGTAAGATTTATGCCATTTGATCTTGATCTTTATATTTTGTGGCGGCATATATTGTGTCCACGGCACTCTTGTTTTCAATTTCTTAAGTACTCCATAGCTTATAGAATGTTGCATAAATTTGTTCATGAACAATACCAAACTCTATTCAAATATCAACAGTCAAACACACAGGATCTACATCAAGATATAAACTCTTACAATAAGGTTGATATATAAGATATATATAAAATGTTGATGTTGAGGAGATGTAAGGAAATTTAATTGATAATTGACAAAAGAAGACTTTACATTTTGCACTAGCGCTTTCACTGTATTAGATCGTCAGGTGATAGTAGTGGTACATAATTGAGTGACGTCACAAAATGTTATACTGGTATATATATGTTTGGGTTGTACACCAACAGCTGGGTAAGGGGGTACTGGTATATATATGTTTGGGTTGTACACCAACAGCTGGGTAAGGGGGTACTGGCATATATATGTTTAGGTTGTACACCAACAGCTGGGTAAGGGGGTATATATATGTTTGGGTTGTACACCAACAGCTGGGTAAGGGGGTACTGGTATATATATGTTTGGGTTGTACACCAACAGCTGGGTAAGGGGGTACTGGTATATATATGTTTGGGTTGTACACCAACAGCTGGGTAAGGGGGTACTGGTATATATATGTTTGGGTTGTACACCAACAGCTGGGTAAGGGGGTACTGGTATATATATGTTTGGGTTGTACACCAACAGCTGGGTAAGGGGGTACTGGCATATATATGTTTGGGTTGTACACCAGCAGCTGGGTAAGTGGGTACTGGCATATATATGTTTGGGTTGTACACCAACAGCTGGGTAAGGGGGTACTGGTATATATATGTTTGGGTTGTACACCAGCAGCTGGGTAAGGGGGTACTGGCATATATATGTTTGGGTTGTACACCAACAGCTGGGTAAGGGGGTACTGGTATATATATGTTTGGGTTGTACACCAACAGCTGGGTAAGGGGGTACTGGCATATATATGTTTGGGTTGTACACCAACAGCTGGGTAAGGGGGTATTGGTATATATATGTTTGGGTTGTACACCAACAGCTGGGTAAGGGGGTACTGGTATATATATGTTTGGGTTGTACACCAACAGCTGGGTAAGGGGGTACTAAGGGGGTACTGGTATATATATGTTTGGGTTGTACACCAACAGCTGGGTACAGGGGACAATGCCACACTTTCCGGCTCCTTGTATATCTCTTAATCCATAATACTATTACTGATTTGTATGTAGTATAGGATTTGTTTTTGTGTTAATATGAGAGGATAGACAATTGCAAATTTGAATTCATCACTATCATTTACATTAAATAATTCTGGATTACATCCATGTAGATCTAGTTACTGATATCAGATCCCAGAAGAGTCTAGTCTCTGAAAGCTCATCAATTGTGAATTTAAAGTCATTTCTAGATCAGCGTTTGTGAAATTATGTACTTGCGAATATTTCTGAAGAGGTAAGTCTCTGAAATCAAATATCGACAAAATCTAAGTGATTTTTCAGGCAGGCAGTTATTACTACATACACTAGGTTAAAATGTTCACTTGGTTTATTTTTTTATTTTTGTTCGTTTTTGGTTTCACTTACACTGGGCTTACGAGGGCAATAAGCATGGTGTTAGTAGCTCTTCAAAATAGTGGTTTATTCAGGGTTTTCCATAAGAGCCGGACGCCGGCCAATTTGACCGGCTACTTTGATCATTAGTTGTAGTTGTATTCCAATGCTGTAAGCACAGAACTCAAAAAACAAAGTCATAATAGGTTTTGTAGCCTTTTGCTAAATCTGTTCCTTATTTCCACCAGGTATGATGAAAGAAGAGAGCGTTATGATGAAGAAAGGTTCCCTCCTCCACCCCCAATTCCCCCTCAAGGTGATGATCGAGGCCACTATGGACCAGGTAGGGCACCATTTGAACCTCCTAGGGGTCGTCCAGAAAGTTACGACAGGGAGCGTGAGAGAGATCGATACGGCAGAGAATATGGACAACCACCAGACCCAAGATACGGACCAGGTATGCCAGTCTGTTCCAGGTTTATCGTCAATTTGGTTAGAAAACATATTCCTAACTTATAGCACTCTTATCCGGGATATGGAATGGAAAAATTAATTAGGTGTCCGGATCAGGAATATCCCTAGAGATTCAATTAGTAAATAATAATATGGTCAAGAAAATGTATAAAAAAATGTTTGAAATGATACAAAAAAATGACAATGATGATGAGCAAATCAGATAGTATCTCTAAATTGTTTTTATTTAAAGTTATGGTTAGTTGTTTGTGTCTTAAGAATCATTGAGTTTCCATCTGTATAAATGACTGACAACGGTGCTCTGTTATAAGTTATAGGTCGTGTTGATCTTTAGTGGCTTTTGGTTCTGTGAGTTTTATTAACTCAAGAACATTTTTAAATGGAACTCTTAGATTTTGGAGATTTTAGGAAATTTTCACTCTTTCAAAAAAGTCACATTTGTGTTTTTATTTTTTCATGTTATGTATCAGTTTTGTTGATATATTTACATAGTTCCAAGAGGACAGTATGACAGAGGTCACCCTGACTATCGACACCCGAGAGAACTTCGTGATCCACGTGATTCTAGAGATCCTCGTGACTTTAGACCAGAACCGCGAGAACATAGAGGAGACATACAAGATCCCAGAGTGGACCCTCGTGATCAGAGGGATACTAGAGGTGACACGAGAGATATGAGGGATCCTAGAGAGAACAGCTGGGAGAGATCACGGGGTCGTGGGTCATGGACCTCACCACATGGTCCTCCTGGAGGAAGGGGAGGAAGAGGAGGTCCCCCTCCACCACAAAACTATGGTAAGAGTTAAGTTATGTGCTTAATCCTCTTATCTTGATATTGGTAGATACTGTCAGTTTTGGAAATAATTTACAGAAGATCTGATAGATATGGGACAAGGCAAAACCAAAATCCTCTCTTATTCTGTTCACACTAGAGCTAACCGAATAATCTTTTATTTCATCAGGGATTTTTGCTGACATTATGACAGTGGGAAAATCCTGTGGATATTTGACATGAAATATTCATTTAATGTACATTACTTATGTCTGTGTAGAAATTATCTTGTTTTACATAGAAAAGAAATCTGTGTTTTCGCTCATTTTGATCCTTATATGGGTTAGTGAAAGACTAGACATGGGAGTTCATTATAGAACAACATTAAATACAAGGGAAATTCCTAGGCTGAATATTGTAAGTGTACCGAAGGCTATAGATCAACTTAAAAATGATTTGTTGTCATTCTTTTTCAGGTAGTGGAAGAGGAAGGGGTAGTTTTGGTCCAAATGATCGCTATGGAAACGGCAAAGGACGAGGTATAAACATACAGCTTTGTAACATGTGTAGTTTACATACTGTTATTTTTTTAACTCACCTGGTCTCCAGAGTAAAGTGATGTCAACTTCTCTTTAAAAAAGATCCACCTCATTAACAGGTCAAAATTCAGGATATTTGACAGAAAAGTTCCTTTGATGAAACCTGACAAATTTTGTACAAAGTAATGACTGTCACTCATATTCAATGTTACAGAGGTCAAATTTCTTAAAACCTATATCATTGACCAAGAGAAAATTTTATGCCTAACTTAGTGATGTGTTAGCTCTGTAATGTATGGTATCAGCATCACTTTTTACACACATCATGAATCTTACTGCACATTCTCCAAATTATCATGTTTTATAATTTTTCATACTAGGAGGGCGATATGATCCAGGCCAGGAGCGTCAGAGTCGTCGAGGTGAATGGGAAAACCAACGACGTGATGATTTCTTCCCTGGGGGCGAACGACGAGATTGGAATGAGAGACGAGGGGAGGAGAGACGTGGTGACTTCTCTCGTGAGGATGACCGCAGAGGCGAGGACAGGACAGACGACAGAGGTTTCAGGTACTACTCCAACTAGAAATTTTGATTATTTCCTTAATATCCAAGCAACTTTTCACTGTATAAATTTTTCTTTTGTTACGAGGAAGGAACAGAAGTAAGACTAAAGTGGTTACTTGTCGATTAGCATTGGTGTCTTCATCAACACTGATACATTATGTTTATTTTAGCTGCCATGTTTGATAAAAAGTTAAGGCCTTGATGATTTACAAATCAAATCTGCAATTAAGTAGAGATTTGGAATTCTAGAGAGTTGGAATTCTTTAATCTTAATTTGAGGTGAAAAACATGAAAATTTGAGAGAATTAGCAAGCATTGACTGGTATATAATATAATTTTTCATTGGAGTTGTTCAAAATCCTGATACAAATTTAATTCAAATTGTTTATGTAGCCTTAGCAAATTATTTGTTTATTTTGATGAGAGTTTTTGTCTTTCTTTCCAAGGATGGAAAGGAGAGATGATCGTAGGGACAAAGACGGAATGAGAGATAGACCAGACGATCGAGAAAGCTCGCGTGGGGGTCGCTATGGTGATGATCGTAGAGGACGTGATGAAAGTATAGAAAAACGTGAATTTGAGCGGCGAGACCGTGATGGTATTACAGACTCAAGACAGCGTGACAGAAAGGATCAGTCGCAAGACCGAGACAGGCAGGATAGGGATGGAGAACTAGCAGATAAACCTGTGAAACATGAGGACAATGAAAAGGAACGTGACCGAATAGACAGTCGAAGATCTGAACAAGAAAAGGAAAAACAGAGTGATAATGTGAGTTCTGATGATAAGTTAAGAGAGACTGCAGAAGGGAAAGACAAAACAGCTGAAAAACGAAGATCTGTGGAAAGGACAGAGAAAGTTGATAGTGGTCCGGAAGAAAAGAGAAAGAACAAAAAGAAGAAAAACAAAGAGAAAGACAAACCAAAGAGTCCTTCAAAGTCAAAGAAAGACGGAAAAGGCAGCGGAAAGAGAGAAGATACAAAAACAGGGGAGAGACAAGGGGATGGAGGAGAGAAAGACAAGGGGTTTGAGGAGAAAGAAGAAAACGTTGATGGGAAGAAAACAGATGATGAATTCATTGAAGGAAAGACTGCAGAAAAAAGTGATGCATGGACAGATAGTATGGATAATAAAGATACCTCAGAAACAAAAGATTTCAAAGATTCTAAGGATTCTCGAAAGCGTGGTCTTGATGAGGAAGAGAGGTCAGTATCTCCAGCACCTTCTAGTAAACGAGTGCGTGACACATCTCCGGCCAACTCCCAGCGCAGTCGTGGCAGTAACGGAGAACAAGACAGAGATAGGTCACGAGGTCGTAGGCGTGATGATAGGGATTCTAGACGTGGCGATAGGTCAAGGCCACATAGTAGGGAATCTGACCGAGATCAATACCGTGAGAAGTCACAGGGATCAACAACAAGTCGAAGGGAAAGACGACGAGACAGAAGTGTAAGAAAAGATATTGCAATATTTTGAGATTAAATGTAAATTTAACATGGTGACCAGGAATTTAGTATTGTTAAATAAGTCAAAACAATGATTGGTGATGTAGTGAAGAGAATTTGGCTTATATGATACAGAGTAAATCATCATCATTTATGCTGTCAATTTCTGTCTTCAATTATTATCTACAGGTATAAATAACAGATAGATTTTATGAGTTTGATACGTTAAAGTAAGGTTAAGTCTATAAAAACTTTAAACAGACTTTGCATCAGTTTTTTAAATTTTGTGTAGATTCATGTGATCTGTTTAATCACTAGTAAAAATCTCAAAATTAAAAATGGAAATTTCTTGTATAAGGAAGATTAACTTTTTCCCCTCAATGTTTAAGTGTTAAATGTTAAATATACTTACAGCCAGAAGCCAGAGATTACGAGAGTAAAAGTTTTAGAAAAAGGTCAAGGTCTCCAGACTACAGACAAGAGGACGCGAAGGACAATGAAGATGACAGAAAAAAAAGAAAGATCACGGAACAGGAGGGTGGGGATTCAACAGGTTGGTATCTCAGAAATCCTGTTTGTATGATAATCCTCTTTATTTTACAATAGTCATTAGGGCCTTTATACTTAAATATAACAGGCACATAATGGTAATATGTTATCACTATTTTCAGCCAGTTATATTGGTTGTTACTATAAATCTGTAAAAATTGTGAATGTTTCACTGGTTTACAACTGTCCTTTGCTTCATATTATAAATAGAGATTGTAACATCCACATTATTTCATTTTTAATGATATGTATAATATATAGTTAAATGAGGTAAATAATGAGGCAGCTAAAGATTGAACTAATGTACCAGGATACAATTAATCCAGCTTTCACCCATTTTCATATTTGTTAAGAAAAAAGACTGGTCTTAATAGGTCAAGGTGATTTAAAATGGATGACAGAGTTATTCACCTTTCTGATGTTTTTTGTAGTTGTGTCTTCTTCAATGGAGGGAAGATCAAGAGGCAATAGAGGCGATGATCATCGGTTCAGCGACTGGACTGATGATTCCGGAGATGACTTGCTAAGCCATAAATCACAGTTAGCCTCAGGGGCAGGAGAGAAATCACCACTAATGGGACAGTCATCAGAGGTAAAAGGATTGTTGTCCTAGAGTGTGTGGTAGTCGTCAGAGGTAAAAGGATTGTTGTCCTAGAGTGTGTGGTAGTCGTCAGAGGTAAAAGGATTGTTGTCCTAGAGTGTGTGGTAGTCGTCAGAGGTAAAAGGATTGTTGTCCTAGAGTGTGTGGTAGTCGTCAGAGGTAAAAGGATTGTTGTCCTAGAATGTGACAGTCACGGAGGTAAAAGGATTGTTGTCCTAGAGTGTGTGGTAGTCGTCAGAGGTAAAAGGATTGTTGTCTTAGATTGTGGTAGTCGTCAATGGTAAAAGGATTGTTGTCCTAGATTGTGTGGTAGTCGTCAGAGGTAAAAGGATTATTGTCCTAGAGTGTGTGGTAGTCGTCAATGGTAAAAGGATTGTTGTCCTAGATTGTGTGGTAGTCGTCAGAGGTAAAAGGATTGTTGTCCTAGAGTATGGTAGTCGTCAGAGGTAAAAGGATTGTTGTCCTAGAGTGTGTGGTAGTCGTCAGAGGTAAAAGGATTGTTGTCCTAGAGTATGGTAGTCGTCAGAGGTAAAAGGATTGTTGTCCTAGAGTGTGTGGTAGTCATCAGAGGTAAAAGGATTGTTGCCCTAGATTGTGTGGTAGTCGTCAGAGGTAAAACGATTGTTGTCCTAGAGTGTGTGGTAGTCGTCAGAGGTAAAAGAATTATTGTCCTAGATTGTGTGGTAGTCGTCAGAGGTAAAACAATTGTTGTCCTAGAGTGTGACAGTCGTCAGAGGTAAAAGGATTGTTGTCCTAGAGTGTGTGGTAGTGGTCAGAGGTAAAAGGATTATTGTCCTAGATTGTGTGGTAGTCGTCAGAGGTAAAAGGATTGTTGTCCTAGAGTGTGTGGTAGTCGTCAGAGGTAAAAGCAGTCTTGTCATTATTGTGACAGTCTTCAAGGCAAAAGGATTGTTGTCCTAGATTGTGTGGTAGTCGTCAGAGGTAAAAGGATTGTTGTCCTAGAGTGTGTGGTAGTCGTCAGAGGTAAAAGGATTGTTGTCCTAGATTGTGTGGTAGTCATCAGAGGTAAAAGGATTATTGTCCTAGATTGTGTGGTAGTCGTCAGAGGTAAAACGATTGTTGTCCTAGAGTGTGACAGTCGTCAGAGGTAAAAGGATTGTTGTCCTAGAGTGTGTGGTAGTCGTCAGAGGTAAAAGGATTATTGTCCTAGATTGTGTGGTAGTCGTCAGAGATAAAAGGATTGTTGTCCTAGAGTGTGTGGTAGTCGTCAGAGGTAAAAGGATTATTGTCCTAGATTGTGTGGTAGTCGTCAGAGGTAAAAGGATTGTTGTCCTAGATTGTGTGGTAGTCGTTGGAGGTAAAAGGATTGTTGTCCTAGGTTGTGGTAGTCGTCAGAAGTAAAAGGATTGTCCTAGATTGTGTGGTAGTTGTCAGAGGTAAAAGGATTGTTGTCCTAGAGTGTGTGGTAATCGTTGGAGGTAAAAGGATTGTTGTCCTAGGTTGTGGTAGTCGTCAGAAGTAAAAGGATTGTCCTAGATTGTGTGGTAGTTGTCAGAGGTAAAAGGATTGTTGTCCTAGAGTGTGACAGTCGTCAGAGGTAAAAGGATTGTTGTCCTAGATTGTGTGGTAGTCGTCAGAGCTAAAAGGATTGTTGTCCTAGAGTGTGACAGTCGTCAGAGCTAAAAGGATTGTTGTCCTAGAGTATGGTAGTCATCAGAGGTAAAAGGATTATTGTCCTAGATTGTGTGGTAGTCGTCAGAGGTAAAAGGATTGTTGTCCTAGAGTGTGACAGTCGTCAGAGCTAAAAGGATTATTGTCCTAGATTGTGTGGTAGTCGTCAGAGGTAAAAGGATTGTTGTCCTAGAGTGTGTGGTAGTCGTCAGAGGTAAAAGGATTGTTGTCCTAGAGTGTGTGGTAGTCGTCAGAGGTAAAAGGATTGTTGTCCTAGATTGTGGTAGTCATCAGAGGTTAAAGGATTGTTGTCCTAGATTGTGTGGTAGTCGTCAGAGGTAAAAGGATTGTTGTCCTAGATTGTGGGGTATCATGGCCCTACATTTTTGTGGCAGTGTGTATGTAGTGGTCATTTCTGGTTTCACCCTCACAGTCATCATCCATAAAACACTTCATTCATATCTTCATGGATTTCAATAAAACTTTTTATATGTGTGTTATTCTAAGAAAACCTCAAGGTAAGAATTGCTATTTATAGAAATTGATCAATGTTTGATGCTAATGTACAGGAAGCAGTGACATATCTTACATTTTCCTATGACCTTGTTTTACTTCAAACACAGGTGAATTTATAGCAATTTTATCACCTGCTGAATTGTAATGATAAAAAATATGAATCTGTCTAAATATTTGGTCACTATGATAAGAATTAGATCAAAAGTCTCACTTATATCTCTCACCTTACATCCTTTGTTTCACATTGTTCAGGTTTGCTCAGCAATTCCAGAGCATGTCCGTAATGAAGGACGTGTCCGTAGCAACAGCCGCAGCAGCTACAACAGTAAACACAGTGAAAAAGGTCGTAGACGGTCATCACAAGATCTAGACAGTAATAGCCCAGATCCAGCAATGTCACGGGACCAAAGTCCATCTGGACCATCACATGATCGCAGCCCAAAACAATATTCACGTGACCGTAGTCCTAGAAGAAGGTCACGTGACAGAAGTCCACGACGAAGGTCAAGAGATCGCAGTCCAAGGACAAGGTCACGTGATCGCAGCTCAGGTCACAAGTCACGAGACTGTAGTCCAAGTGCGAAGTCACGTGAAGGTCACAGCCCAAGTTTGGTAACAGAAGATCAGGAAAAAAGGTATGTTGCCATATTGGATGTTATACACTAGAAAAGGCTTTTATTGTATCTCAATTCATTATAAGGGCAGCATCTTTACAGACTTAATGGACTTTTTTGTACCAATAATGATTTTAAAGGTTTTGTGCTTAAAATAGCCTGAGATGAAATTCAGGAATTTGATGAATGAAACACTAATTCGTATAATTTGCTGCTTGGCAACTGTATAAGTCATGTGTTAACAACACTTATGTAATGTTTTGTGTGATGATAGGGACGACCATCTAGAACGACAAATCAAGTCTCAGCTGGATGATCAAAAGGACTCAAACCAATCACAGGAGTTGTCACAAATGTCACAAGATAAGGACCATCAATCTGGAGGTTTGTGAAAGTTAAAAGAGAAAGACTGTGGAATATTTATCGCAGCAATATAACTTGAATATGATATCTCAGTTATTTCAAGAGGAATCAATCTCAACAGGCTTGAGGAGGGTTCTTTAAATTTATAGTATCAGGTGTAATGTCTACAGGGTTCAGCCTATGAGTCAGACTTCATCAGGACAGCATTACCTTCAGACTTATCTCGTAAAGTACTTAAAATGCAGGCAGATTACAATTGTTGGGTATCAGGTACAATAAATGAAGGAAGGATTACTCTGTAATAGTAAACGTTATGTAGAATCCTTCATGGTTATAATATTTTCATCATTAAAACTTGATGAATTAATGTTAATCTTAGCACACAATTCATGGACATCCTAACAGATAATTTATCATTCGACAGTTGACAAATTCCTTTCCCTCTGAAGAGTTACAGGTTGAGGCTGAATCAATCTTGGTTCAAGATACATCTTAGTTATTTAATGTGTTAATTTTCAAAATTCTTGGAATAAAAAATCTCAAGATAAGTTCACAAATAATGAAAGTACATTGCACCTTGTATGTCAAGATGAGAAGCTTAGAAAGAAAACTGAAATAAATGTGCAGCATCATTTCCAGGATTTCAGTGAAAATTTAATCATATTCTGTGTTCTGTGTAATGTCTTCATTTTGTGGTTTTTTTTTCTTTACAATTTTACAACAGTAGATGATGAAGAGGACAGAATGTCTTATGATGAGATATCCAGTGAAGAAGAGAGCATCATCGGTGATGAGGATCAGAAGGTTGTCGGTATGTACAGTATTGTAAATATGTATTGTAAATAATCATGTTGTAGACAGCTCCAGAAAACACTTGTCTAATGCTGTCTACACTGTCTGCACTGTCAACACTTCTTGGTACTAGACTTGATATTCCTTTTTGGAATCCACCATAGGGAGACTGTCAAACTAGCCAAACTGAAACGCCAGACATTGGATCTCATTTTCTTTGAATTGTAAATAGTTAGTTTATATATATGAAATAAATTATTATACCCCTTACATAGTTAAGTTTTCTTCCGCAACCAAACACCCTCTCTATATTTGTGTATCTCTATTAACTTTGTGAATAGGTAAGGAATAAATTAAAAAAGCAATTGTCAAAACCATAGTTATGTATGGGGAAAGTACAGTATGCCTACTAACCAAGATATACAGATGATTGTTCACATATAACCCCTTCCTCCCTGCGTGTGTACCATGATATCACACAAACCCTTGGACAGATGTAGTTCATATTCTAACCATAACATTACACCATCAAGATTCCTTCACATTCAGAAATCTGTTTCAATCATTAGATTTTCACCGTGTTTATATACCCATTGTTATTGTTTTCTGTAGAACTTGTTATTGTTTTCTGTAGAACTTGTTATTGTTTTCTGTAGAACTTGTTATTGTTTTCTGTAGAACCTGTTATTGTTTTCTGTAGAACTTGTTATTGTTTTCTGTAGAACCTGTTATTGTTTTCTGTAGAACCTGTTATTGTTTTCTGTAGAACTTGTTATTGTTTTCTGTAGAACCTGTTATTGTTTTCTGTAGAACTGTTATTGTTTTCTGTAGAACTTGTTATTGTTTTCTGTAGAACTTGTTATTGTTTTCTGTAGAACTTGTTATCGTTTTCTGTAGAACTTGTTATCGTTTTCTGTAGAACTTGTTATTGTTTTCTGTAGAACCTGTTATTGTTTTCTGTAGAACTTGTTATTGTTTTCTGTAGAACTTGTTATCGTTTTCTGTAGAACTTGTTATTGTTTTCTGTAGAACTTGTTATTGTTTTCTGTAGAACCTCCAGGTATTGTGGACGTGCTTCAGATTGATTTCTCCAGCTTCAAGAGTGACCCTCTTGTTAAACCAGTGGCAGGCTCTGCTCTCAACAAATACAAGCCAGCAGCCATCTTGTCTAAGTTGGGTGTTTCACGTGCCTTTGCTGGTGACAAATTATTCAAGAAAGTGGAATCTTTCTGTCAGGAAAAAGGTGAGTATGGGTCAAAGTTCACTCTAGTTTGTAGGATCAGGGAGTCGAACATACCATTTATTTCTATGCTGTAAATATTGTCTTATTTGATGTTTCAAATTTCATTGTTTTAGCAAACGTTTGAAGGAAAAAGGAGACATTTTGCCAAAATAATGAAACAAAATACTGTTAAACTGTTTGATTTATTAGGGCTTCATTTTCATTGTTTTCCAAACAAATACCATTCCACGGATACTTGATTCTGTTCTTCTTATTTTATCAGTTCATGGACACATGGATTCATGAATTAAGAGTACTCACAAAATCAAGGAAAATAATTCCCCACAAAAATCAATGGTGTTAAAGTATATAGCTTTTAATCTTGATTTCAAAAAATTTTTGACAATTTTATTCTGTCTTCAAAAACTGAAAAAATAGAACCCATCAAGAATAATTATATATAGGTAGCCCTGTACATGGAGGATCTTTACAGTGCAATACATGTACAATATGTAAGTTGTTTGATGGAAACGAATTTAAATTTTCAAAATTGTCAGCTGTGAAATATGATTCTTGTTTGGTAAGTATCATTTAGGACAAGAGGATGGATAAGGTAACAAGGTCTTTTATCCTTTCAGCTCAAGACGAGGAAAAAGAAGCTGAAGATGATAAAGAAAGAAAGGCTAGCCCAGAATTTCATTGGCACAATGATGTAGCAATGCTTCACTTGAACGAGGTAACACGTCAGCAGGAGAGAGCCACACTGATTCACAGCATCGGACCAAACCGCCATGGACTGTGTGCTCGCCGTGATCTCGATATCAGACGACAGCTATGTAAACTATACAAGGTATAATTGACATTCTCTGATTCAGAATGAAAATGATCTGGAATAATTGACAAAAGATGGCAAGCCTTGTTTTTGCCAACATCATAATTTTTACTTTGGGGTTGAGAGCCTCCATCTCCCCTCCAAGGGGAGGAAAAGTAAGTCTCACACAGGATGCTTCATATCAGCAGTAACATTATCATCGTATATAGTGTTACCTTGTGGTAATGTGGTAATCAGCTTCAACACACATTTTAGAAATGTAATGGAAACAGAACACAACAACATCTGAAATGTTACATCCTTATTTCGATGTATGTGAGAAAAATAATGAAACGTGAGTCCGTTTTATGTACAGGGTTATCTCAATCCTGATGTTAAAGTTTAGCTGGTGAACAGTGGTAAAGCTTTGTGCTGACCAGCCAGACTCTTTCAGTTGAGCCCTGTCCATACAACAGACCCATGTAAGATTCTATTTATCTCCACCTTTACAGTTCATACTACAGACCCATGTAAGATTCTATTTATCTCCACCTTTACAGTCCATACAACAGACCCATGTATGATTCTATTTATCTTCACATTTACAGGCATTTGTTTTTTGTTACAGAACCCAGATCACCTCCATTCCTATCACACACCAGTGTTCGACACAGATCTTTGTAAACTCAGTGTTCAATTATTTAAGGATGCAACGTCCGTGAAAATCAGGGAGGATACTGTGTGTGAACCGACAGACGTAAAAACAGAGGTCCCATGTCAATGATAACGTATTATAGGCTGTCTGTGAACTGACAGGTGTAAAAACAGTATGTCAGTGATGTCATAAAATACACATCAGTTAAAGTCCAGGATGCTTCCTGTAAACCGACAGACATGAAAACAGAGTATGTCAGTGATGTCATAAAATACACATCAGTTAAAGTCCAGGATGCTTCCTGTAAACCAACAGACATAAAATCAGAGTATGTCAGTGATGTCATAAAATACACATCAGTTAAAGTCCAGGATGCTTCCTGTAAACCAACAGACATGAAAACAGAGTATGTCAGTGATGTCATAAAATCTACATAAGAGGGAACAGTTTGATGAATATTTGAAGAAGAAAGACAGCAATATTTCAGTCATTTTATACTCGTACTTGTTATTATAAGTTAATGAAGAGTATTCAGAACCTATATGGTCTAAAAGAATTTTGATACATGCAGCATGTATTTGATTAAAATCAACTGTGTTTTATTAAAATATGATTGCAACAGGACAAGTTTTGTGCAGTGATGCAACACGACAAGATTTGTGCAGTGATGCAACACGACAAGATTTGTGCAGTGATGCAACACGACAAGTTTTGTGCGGTGATGCAACACGACAAGATTTGTGCGGTGATGCAACATGACAAGTTTTGTGCGGTGATGCAACACGACAAGATTTGTGCGGTGATGCAACACGACAAGATTTGTGTGGTGATGCAACACGACAAGTTTTGTGCATTGATGCAACACGACAAGTTTTGTGCGGTGATGCAACACGACAAGATTTGTGCGGTGATGCAACACGAGAAGATTTGTGCGGTGATGCAACACGACAAGATTTGTGCGGTGATGCAACACAACAAGTTTTGTGCGGTGATGCAACACGACAAGATTTAACGCGACAAGTTTTGTGCGGTGATGCAACAAGACAAGATTTGTGCGGTGATGCAACAAGACAAGATTTGTGCGGTGATGCAACAAGACAAGATTTGTGCGGTGATGCAACACGACAAGATTTGTGCAATGATGCAACAGGACAAGTTTTGTGCGGTGATGCATCACGACAAGATTTGTGCATTGATGCAACACGACAAGTTTTGTGCGGTGATGCAACACGACAAGATTTAACGCGACAAGTTTTGTGCGGTGATGCAACAAGACAAGATTTGTGCGGTGATGCAACAAGACAAGATTTGTGCGGTGATGCAACACGACAAGATTTGTGCGGTGATGCAACACGACAAGTTTTGTGCATTGATGCAACAGGACAAGTTTTGTGCGGTGATGCATCACGACAAGATTTGTGCATTGATGCAACACGACAAGTTTTGTGCATTGATGCAACACGACAAGTTTTGTACGGTGATGCAGCACGACAAGATTTGTGCGGTGATGCAACACGACAAGTTTTGTGCGGTGATGCAACACGACAAGATTTGTGCGGTGATGCAACGCGAGAAGATTTGTGTGGTGATGCAACGCGACAAGATTTGTGCGGTGATGCAACGCGAGAAGATTTGTGCGGTGATGCAACACGACAAGATTTGTGCGGTGATGCAACACGACAAGTTTTGTGCGGTGATGCAACACGACAAGTTTTGTGCGGTGATGCAACACGACAAGATTTGTGCGGTGATGCAACGCGAGAAGATTTGTGTGGTGATGCAACGCGACAAGATTTGTGCGGTGATGCAACGCGAGAAGATTTGTGCGGTGATGCAACACGACAAGATTTGTGCGGTGATGCAACACGACAAGATTTGTGCGGTGATGCAACACGACAAGATTTGTGCGGTGATGCAACACGACAAGATTTGTGCGGTGATGCAACACCACAAGTTTTGTGCGGTGATGCAACACGACAAGATTTGTGCGGTGATGCAACACGACAAGTATTGTGCGGTGATGCAACACGACAAGATTTGTGCGGTGATGCAACACGACAAGATTTGTGCGGTGATGCAACACGACAAGATTTGTGCGGTGATGCAATTTGTAATTATTTTAGATAAACTACTTCCGCATATTTTCTACTGAAAATTTAACATGAATTTAATCAGTTGTCATTAGCTCTTCAGATGGTGATTATTTATTAAATTACTTTGAGTTTAGATATAGAGAATTAAATTTGAGATGGAAAGCTAAAATTATAAAATATCAGTAACATTTATTTTGATACTATATGTGTGTAAGATGATTGCTTTAAGTGTTGGTAAACAAACAGAATTGTACTTGGATCTTGGAGATAAATGAGTGATATGAATGATTTTAAGAATGTTTCATTGACAAAGTCGTGTCATCACATTTTTATTCACGTTTACTATTAAATAACATGTGAAACATGTTCTCTGTTGAGGAAATCATTTCCTGCCTTTAATATTTTTTAACGTCGCTATTTTGTACATACAGAATATGTAAAATGCTATTGTTGATGTTGTGTCAGTACCAATTGTAAAATAAAACATGAAAAGATTTGTACATAAGGCTTTTGTTTTCTTCTTGTAAACCAGTCAGAATCTTTTACACCATACTTCAAAAATACTCATCTGATCATGAGACATGTATTAAAATCTTCACCGTCACGTTTGGCCTGTCACTGTAAACTACTAAATATATTAAAATCTTCACCGTCACGTTTGGCCTGTCACTGTAAACTACTAAATATATTAAAATCTTCACCGTCACGTTTGGCCTGTCACTGTAAACTACTAAATATATTAAAATCTTCACCGTCACGTTTGGTCTGTCACTGGTATTTTTTTTTTTAATGAATTTAGAATTATTTCACATTAACATTTCAGAATGTTCTCAATACTGTTTTTTCCAACCATAATCGAAGTGTCCATCAGGAGCCTGATATAGTTGTCAAGGCGACCATTTTGAAAACCTTTTTTCATGTATAATTCACGATTTTCCATTGGAATGAAGAACAGATAAACATTTGAAAGTTTGTCGAGGTTCAAAACATTTATATGTATACCCGAGTGTAACTTGAGGAGGATTTCCAGCTGCAGCTGTATACAGCCAATCCTGGTGTTCAGCTGGAGACTTTTCTGCTGAATTATCTCCCTTCTTATTAAAAATTATTGCAAACTGTGACTTGAATTGTTGGTAAATGAACCGTAACACCATACAAGACTCTTGTAATTATTTAACGTTATGGCAATGATCCAGTGATGCATCTGACAAAAAAACCCGTTTTAGTCTATAATCTATAGGTGGCCATCTTCCCTTATGACCTAGTATCTTCTTTCTACTCTGTGACTAATGAAGATGTCAGATGGTTGGCTATATATATTCAAACTGTCATGCAGTTCCTTGTCCATTTATCCTAAAATATTCACTTTATTCCGTGAGAAAAACTGAATGATTTTTTCTCAAATTTCATACGAAATTTCCCAGTGGTCTCTGTTATGCCCATTTGATTTCGAGACTGATCAAAAACACAAAATGACTGACAAGTGGCCATCTTGAATTTTAGTTATGAAAGATTCCAATCATAATTTTTTGAAAGTTCTCCGTGAATCTTTATCAAATTTAAGATTAAGGTTCCCCTGTGTCACTAATTCTACCTTTGTGATTTGAGGTTGATCAAACAAAATGGCTGACAGGCGGCCATCTTTGATTTTGATTATGAAAATCTCTCATTCTTGAGAACTACATGATAGGTACATTTAGGTATCCATTTGTTTGCTGTACTGTGATGCCTTTCTAAATTTTGTATAAGAACTAAAATGCTGACAACTAGTCCTCTTGATTTTAAATTAGTAGAGTTTCATCATTTGTTCTTAAAATTTATCTGTGATGTTTCCTTGGTCCTCTCAGTTGTAATCTAGATTGAGATTTTCCTTGTTTATTGATACTATCGTCTATATGACCTATTCGCCTGTCAATACAACAGGTAATAATGGATGATGAGAAGAGAAAAACTCGTACTTATAAAGATCCAAATGAAGATCATACAATGGTTGGCACCAAGATCCCTCTGGGATCTCTTATGAGGAAGAGCTTAATACAACCACAGAGACTTGGTGCGAATTCCCGACCCATGGTCCATATACATGCATTACTGTCACTATTCTGAAACATATACAATACGGTGAGGAATTCGTCTCTGTGGTGAAAACCAATTTAGAGCTGTGTATCTTTGTCTCCTATAATGAATACATGCAGTATACCAGTCAGAATCGAATATCAAATTTTGTGAATTGTGTTTTTTTTTCAAAATTTGATTTAAATGATTTTTTTTTTTTTTTTTTTTTTTGTTCTTTTATTTTACAATTTTCATTTTATATACAAAATTCGTTTTACTATTCAAAGTGTATTTCAAACAAATATTGCGATGGGCCTGGCATTAATCAGACAGCTAGCACAAATATTGGGACAGGCCTGGCATTAATTAGACAGCTAGTACAAATATTGCGACATGCCTAGCATTAATTAGACAGCTAGTACAAATATTGCGACATGCCTAGCATTAATTAGACAGCTAGTACAGACTTGAATATTTTCATTTACAGGACAAGGAGACTAAATCAACCACGAAAGGTTTTCCAAAAATTAAGCACAGCACGTGACCAATGTGACGTCACTATGATGGACATAGAAACAGTGATGATTCACCGTATAAAAGTCCGATTCGATTGAAGAATTATACGGTGCCTAATACAGGTATCGCATAATCTACTATTTATTTAATACACAGTAACATGTGTAGGGACTTTAAATACAACCACTGAAATGTCCGTGATTCTCAGAGTGGATGTTTGTTATCGCTTTTTCTTGAGAAGTGCGAAATAAATCTTCAAATTACATATGTAGGTTCCCGCTTGTGAAAATGATCATAAAGATATGAGTCGTCAGATAGCCATCTTGTATTTTGTGAATTTAAGTTGGTTATTGCTATTTCTTAAAAAGTACTGACGAGATCTTCTTCACAGTACATATGTATGTTCCCTTTGGTCCCTCGTTATTTCCTGTTAATTTAAACTAATCAGAAAGATATAATAGTCGCCTGTAGGCAATCTTGACAACGAAAAATTGTTATTTCATGATAAGTTACTAATTGATCTTTCACTTATTTCAAATTATCTCCCCCTTGGTCCCTAGATATTTGTTGTCGACATTTCACGAAAGGCTGGGTAGATGTTCTCAAATCGTACGTCCATTATTGTAGGTTGTCCTCGCTCTCTTGTTTTAATAGTTATCGTTAGTCTCTTGACAAGTACTGGATGGATTGTTCATTCCCTTTCATACCTAGACTTACTTTGTATTGTGTAGTGCTAGAACAATATGGTGGACTGGTGGCCATCTTGGATTTTAGAAATTCAAGTTTATTATCATGATTAATGAAAGAGTACTTAAGAAATATTTCTCAAGTTTCGGAAGTCGGTTTGACCTGTCAATACAGATTCTAGTAGTGAAGGAGAGATAAGAAGGAGGACGAGTAAATAAGACAGAAGGTCAAACTTACAGAGAAACAATAAAGATACTACAGGTTTGGACGCCATGATATCTCCGGGATCTCTGCTATAGGGTTTTGTATTTACACGTTTACTTTGACACTCTCTGAATAAAGTGAGTGGCGAATTTTGATCGGACGAGAAAATACACTTGTAAATCTTTGTGGGTGTTTCCTAGCTTTGCGTACGCGCACATGCATTACCAAAAAATGTATCTATACATATTTTCAGTGGATACAGTAAAATATGGTTAATTTGATACAATATCAATACGTTAACTGTTTATGCCCATAGGAAATGACTCATACCTACCACGCGAAAATACGACGCCGTATTTTGTATGTAACATAAGTTCATTAACTTTATTTGCGTGTTGTCAATATTTATCTGAAGCATACAGCATACAAAGTTCACTGTTTTAATATTTCTATAAAAAATACAACGATCTCTTGATTACAGAAATATAGGTACAAAGTTTTATCTTAAACCTGATATGTTGTTTGACCAGTATCTAAGTAAGCGACAAAAATACCTGGTTACTCATCAGTGGGTCCACGTCACTCAGACAACAAGTGTTTATCTAATAGTACTATACACCATAGGTAATGTACAGAAATACATTCTTACTAATAATCTGTGTAAACTTGTCCGTGGTAGAGAGCTTGAATATAAATATATCCTTAGTCATCACCTGTGTATACGTGTACATGTCAGAGAGCTACACACTATGTGTCAGAAATCTGTTTTAGTGACATGTGTATTAAAGAAAAATTATTACGCCGAAAAAGTGCAATTTCTCGTGAACAAAATCGGAATAAACTAGTCATTGCACCAATTACGCCAATTATTGTATTTTAATCTACATTAGCGAAGTAAAGATTACAATCTATCTCTCCCTCTCTCTCTCTCTCCCTCCCCCTCTCTCTGTCACTCTCTCTCGCCCCTCTCTCTCCCTCTCTCTGTCACTCTCTCGCCCCCCCCTCCTCTCTCTCCCTCTCGGTCTCTCTCACCCACACCCCACCCACCCTCACCCACACACACACACACACACACACACACACACACACACACACACACACACACACACACACACACACACACACACACACACACACACACACACACACACACACACACACTCACTCACACACACACACACACACACACACACACACACACACACACACACACACACACACACACACACACACACATACACACACACACACACACACACACTCACACACACACACACACACACACACACACACACACACACACACACACACACACACACACACACACACACACACACACACACACACACACACACACACACACACTATATATATATATATATATATAACAGTGTGAGATTTCATTATTCTAACGATAATATGCTAAATGAATCTAGATACCACAGCGATCTCTTGTTTCAGTGACTTACATGTTAAGTAGATTAAGTTTCCGATATTGATTAACGAATCTCCTCTAACCCATCTTAAATACCACAGAGTGTTGTGGAGAAAAACAGCACAAAATACCACAGAGTGTTGTGGAGAAAAACAGCACAAAATACCACAGAGTGTTGTGGAGAAAAACAGCACAAAATACCACAGAGTGTTGTGGAGAAAAACAGCACAAAATACCACAGAGTGTTGTGGAGAAAAACAGCACAAAATACCACAGAGTGTTGTGGAGAAAAATAGCACAAAATACCACAGAGTGTTGTGGAGAAAAACAGCACAAAATACCACAGAGTGTTGTGGAGAAAAACAGTACAAAATACCACAGAGTGTTGTGGAGAAAAACAGCACTCGGGTACACACTTAAATAAGTCATGATTTTGTAATCAGCCTCGGGCGCTTTTTATTTCGTTTTTTTCTGTCATATTTTTTAAATAATTGTTTATTGCTATTTCAGAAGTCTTACAATGACATTGGAGATTTTTTTTGTTATAGGATTATCAGTAAGATTAAATTTATTTTCTGAGTCACATGCGCGTACCTACAGAGACGTACAGCGTACAATGTCCACTAGTACATATATATGTACTAACACGTTATCTATAGACAGTACGTATCTGTCCTATATAAGGCGATAAGTGATGCTTCGTCATAACAGGCACTACAGCTTGGAATAGACAGAACGTTTATCTTGGTTCATACAAGTGTTGTTAGTTAAGAATAGTCATGCGAGAAATAATTCATATCCAAGCCGGACAATGTGGAAATCAAATTGGCTCAAAATTCTGGGAGGTGATTGCAGACGAACATGGTATAGATCCCAATGGTTTATATAAGGGGGATCTGGACCTTCAGCTCGAGCGTATAGATGTTTATTTTAATGAGGCCCAGGGGGCTCATTACGTGCCCCGAGCAGTTTTGGTGGATTTGGAGCCGGGTACAATGGATTCTATACGATCGGGACCTTATGGAAAAGTATTCCGGCCGGACAACTTTGTGTTCGGACAGAGTGGAGCTGGGAACATCTGGGCTAAAGGACATTACACAGAAGGTGCTGAGCTCGTGGAGGAGGTGGTGGACGTCATCAGAAAGGAGGCCGAGAACTGCGACTGTCTCCAAGGCTTCCAGCTGACCCATTCCCTTGGAGGTGGTACCGGATCCGGAATGGGCACTCTGATCATTTCCAAAGTCAGAGAAGAATTTCCTGACCGGATAATGAGTACCTACTCCGTTATGCCGTCGCCTAAGGTTAGTATGAAAGGTCATGACCCCAAAGCAGAATTAGTTATCATGTCTTTAACAATTACTGTTCAAAATACTCGTCAAAGGTGGTCAATCCTCCAAAACGACACACACCTAACTACACCAAAATCTAACAGTGTCACTGTATCATAGGCTAACATGCGTTCCAAATACGGGTAAAAGTCTACTAGTATATCAAGCAAGCTCTACTATACATAAATACACAACACTTAAAGGTGATAGTCAGACCCCGAAATAAACAACAATAAAAGGTGATAGTCAGACCCCGAAATACACAACAATAAAAGGTGATAGTCAGACCCCGAAATACACAACAATTAAAGGTGATAGTCAGACCCCGAAATACACAACACTTAAAGGTGATAGTCAGACCCCGAAATACACAACACTTAAAGGTGATAGTCAGACCCCGAAATAAACAACAATAAAAGGTGATAGTCAGACCCCGGAATATAAAACAATAAAAGGTGATAGTCAGACCCCGAAATACACAACAATAAAAGGTGATAGTCAGACCCCGAAATACACAACAATAAAAGGTGATAGTCAGACCCCGAAATACACAACAATTAAAGGTGATAGTCAGACCCCGAAATACACAACAATTAAAGGTGATAGTCAGACCCCGAAATACACAACAATAAAAGGTGATAGTCAGACCCCGAAATATATAACAATTAAAGGTGATAGTCAGACCCCGAAATACACAACAATTAAAGGTGATAGTCAGACCCCGAAATACACAACACTTAAAGGTGATAGTCAGACCCCGAAATACACAACAATTAAAGGTGATAGTCAGACCCCGAAATACACAACAATAAAAGGTGATAGTCAGACCCCGAAATACACAACACTTAAAGGTGATAGTCAGACCCCGAAATATATAACAATTAAAGGTGATAGTCAGACCCCGAAATACACAACAATTAAAGGTGATAGTCAGACCCCGAAATACACAACAATTAAAGGTGATAGTCAGACCCCGAAATACAGAATAATCAAAGAGTCCATTTCATGTTTTCGCCAGTTCCCAAAACACTCGTCTGCATTATCAGCTAGACCCCAGAATCGTACAGAATCGAAAAGTCTTCCTCGTGGTGACAGTACATCAATAATTATAGGTCACTGTGACCAACATTCCTTCATATTACTGCGCATGTTTATGTACTTGTTATGAGTTTCCTCCTGCTCAAACACGGAGCTCCAGGCTTTCTGAGAGACACCCTATTTCTTTATCCCGAAAAGTCCAAAGACGGTGTAAGCATATCAAATCCGTTATTTTATCTGCCAAAGTGCTTACAGAGAAGGTCGATGGTTTGTCCAAATGAGTCGCCGTATACGATGAAATAAGATAGTTTCCAAAAAATCCCCCCAAAAAATAGCACGTAGTTTCAAAATGACAAGTTTCCGGAAACCATGTTTCAGTGTGCCCAGTTAGCCGTTTCTCCAGAAAAGTTTCATGTTAAAGGGTGTCCGGACAGGAGAGTTTCCGTAAACAATATTTCAATGTGTTTGGATTGAAGACTTTCTAAAACGTAATGTTTTATGAGTTAGGACTAAACAGAATTCAATGCTTCCGGAATAGGTTTACACCAATCTTTTCCATGTTTGAAGTACTTGTAATCACAGGTTACATTCCCAAAAAGGTCGGTAAAGATTAGTGAGTTCACTCCAGTTAGATAAAGGATGGATCTGTGTAAGTAAAGTCCGTACATGTATCAACTATCGCTTCACATTCCCAGGTGTCAAATAATTGTCTGATTAGATAAACGAGATAAACACAAACATTCCACATGTATCCTGATTAAAGGGCGAATCACATGAATCACGTGATCTGATCATGTGACATCACTTCCGTCAGACTCTATACGATATGTAATGGTGTACGTACGTCCATCGTTGTTAGGTAAGTGAAACATGTGATGCCTTATCACATTAGCAACGTCTCTAACACATCCACGTTTTAGATATATACAAGTACATTAAAGTCACGTGACCCGGTTTTATCACCATGGTGGTAAGATACATCATCAACAGTGCAATCTCAATAGTTTTAAACAAACCACGTTTTGATTCGCATTGTTGATCAATGATTCATCCCGAAGTCCTGATGTGTAAATGTAAATGTAAATATACAAAATATCAGTCTACACTCTACACCTCTGGAACATGTCATGGCCAAATTGAAGATTCCAAATGCGATACATATATTGTAATGGCTTTGAAGTTTGGTGGCACTCCTTTGTAATCATGGAAAAGGAGCGCTTCAGCCTGTGATTGGTCAGTTTTTCTCTCTTGCAACTAATCAAACTACTTCGCTTGTGCCTTCGATTTTGCCATGACATGTTCCTGGAGGCAGAGAGTGAACGTGATTGTAACGACTGGAGTATCGAGGATGGTTCCACGGGTGCTGAGAGTGAAAGTGATTGTAACCCCCTCCAGTATCAGAAGATCCCACTCTAAGATAACACATTTTGATCCCCACAGTGTCACGAGACCACACTATTTGATCCTCACAGTCAGTTCATCACACTGTGATCCCCACTGTCAGTACACCACACAATCGTTTACTGCCCTGAGAATCTTTGATTCCACACTGTCAGTACACCACACAATCGTTTACTGCCCTGAGAATCTTTGATTCCACACTGTCAGTACACCACACAATCGTTTACTGTCCTGAGAATCTTTGATTCCACACTGTCAGTACACCACACAATCGTTTACTGTCCTGAGAATTTTTTATTCCACAGTGTCAGTAGATCTGACTGTATAATCCTTAGTGTTACATAACCGCTGTATCATTGTGTCATTGTCATTATAGAAGATCATAGTGCTGATCATTGTATAATTGGCTTAATTTCCGAAATCCAATTTGAACTGCTAAAATGATATCGTTACTGTATCAAAGGATGTATAAACAGGCTTACTTGACTTTCACTTTTTACGCCTTACTCTAAAGCATTGCAATAGAATCTTTTCACATGCGGGGTCTTGTTCTGAAGCGAGGGTGTGGTAGAATTTCTCACACTGATATCATATTTCCATTTAAATTTCACGCGTAGTGTTTTTATTCGACCATGCCCGTGCTAAACCTTCGATCATTTATATATTTTATGTCAACTTTTGTATTTTTCAGGTGTCAGAGGTAATTGTAGAACCTTACAATGCCGTCCTGTCTACGCACCAGCTGGTTGAGAACACCGACGAAACCTTCTGCATCGACAACGAGGCTCTTTACGACATCTGCTTTCGTACGCTCAAATTAGCTACTCCTACATACAGCGACTTGAACCATCTCGTCTCAACTACGATGTCCGGAGTCACCACCTGTCTCCGATTCCCTGGTCAACTGAACGCTGATCTCCGTAAATTGGCTGTCAACATGGTTCCGTTCCCCCGTCTCCATTTCTTCGTGCCTGGATTCGCACCTCTGACATCAATAAGGAGTATGCAATATCGTAATTTATCTGTAGCAGAGCTGACCAATCAAATCTTCGATCCTCGCAACATGATGGCAGCATGCGACCCGCGTAACGGACGGTACCTAACCGTTGCGGCCTTCTTCCGAGGCCGTATGTCTATGAAAGAAGTTGAAGAACAAATGCTCAACATTCAAAACAAAAATTCTGGTCACTTCGTAGAATGGATTCCTTGTAATGTGAAGACAGCTGTTTGTGACGTTCCTCCAAGAGAACTCAAAATGTCCGCCACTTTTGTTGGCAACACCACCGCAATCCAGGAGAGCTTCAAGCGTGTGTCTGAACAGTTCACAACAATGTTTCGACGTAAGGCGTTTTTGCACTGGTTCACAGGTGAAGGAATGGACGAACTGGAGTTCACGGAAGCTGAGTCCAACATGAACGACTTGGTATCCGAGTACCAACAGTACCAGGATGCCACAATAGACGAAGAGAACGAAGCCCAGTTCGAAGAGGAAGAGGAAGGTGAACCCGACGAATAGGTTTAATAGGCGAATAGGCCAAATATCGAAGACCGAGTACCAAGTATAAAACAGACTTTGAAAGGAATGTGAACCTTGCTTTACAAAACCTTTGCAAGCATGGTACCTTTAAAAAAACTGGGGGTGGGGTGGGGTTGATGAAGAAAAAAATGAGATGAATAAATGTTTCAAAAAACTTTCGCATTCCTCATCAGGTTTCGTTTCATTAAGATCGTCAATAAGTGATCATTCTACTGGATCTTGTTTCTTACACCAATTGAAACGTTTGTTCGATTGACTTTGCTGTTAATAAAATTATTTCTTTTTGTATACTTTAAATATGTTTCATTCTTTACGACTTTTTCCGGATTATTTTGTTCAACAACGGACGGGTTTCTAACCTTCATATTAACAAATACACCTTTGTCTGATTTACGTGTACACTGTACATATGTATAGACACTACAGCTTCACTGTATAAAACAGCAAATAAACTGAATAATTATATCGAATGTTACTATACAGCAAACTCATTATTTATAGGATTTCTGTTTAATCAAAGTTGGAAATCAAACAGAAAGCTATTGAAGTTATTTTTATTACAGATTCTCAAAGAATTCAGATTTTTTTTTCAACAAATAAATAGCAAGTTGTTATTTCAGATCTGGATGTTAATTATGATTTCAGTTTTACACCTTTTTTCTTACAATACTCTAAAGAAAGTGACGGTATGATGTAAACATTCTGAAAAAAAAACCTACACTGAGTTAAACGGGACTACTTTACGCAGATTTGGACGCAAACGTCTTCTATATTATATGCGCAAAAGTAAATAAGTACATGTTGAGGTAGGAAATAAATACTTCAAAAACAATGGCATGAAAATCTTTACTTCCGGAGAAAACTTATACAATAAGTAAATTAGATGGTGTACATTGTACTGCAATCGATTATCCTGCTGGTCGATATTGATGATAGGTACAAGGTCATGTCCAATATATTCAAAATGTGCTATGGACTTCAAACTCAAATGATGTCAGATTGGAAAAAGGACAAGGAGAATAAGACCACGTGTTTCGGAAGAGTAAGCGTCTTCTGATTCGTCGACGACATCCGCGAGGTAAATTCTGATCAGTCAAGAAAGTAATGTCACGTTCTCAAATGAGAACTAGGTAATCAACAACGGAACCAATAGGCAAACTAACGAATATCAAACACTTCGTATCGCTCAAGGGAATCTCTTTTTTCCCAAAGAGATCCTTATGACGACGATGAAATCTTCATCAACAAGGTCAACAACAACGTATCTACCTGGCCCTGGTTGCTGAAAGGTTAGATTTGACCAGTGGTAAGTGAAAAATTTGAATTGCTACCACTGACAAAACGAGAAAAATCAACTGTAAAAAGATACTTGACCTATCACAACAAACCTACAGTTGGTGATTAATATGTTATGTTCCTAACTTTGTTAAATTATGTTTGGAAATTTCCGCTTACCAATAATTATCTCTAGCTGCATTTTGAACAACCGAGGCCATGCGTCAACTCGATTACTTTTTTTTTGGCTTGAAACATGTACACCGAATGTCCGCATTTTGGTGCTGATGGAAATAAAAACTCGTCGTAGTGTGACGGCATCTTAATTAAATCTTAATCGTCGTAAGGAAAATCGTAGTTCACCGAAATTGTGATGTTTGATAGCATTCACATTTTAACCCAGGGGACCGAGATGTGTGACCAAACTTGGCAGTAAACCTAACAACTATCTACACTAAATAATCATGAAAAATAATAGCTACTTTAGGTCATGAATGGTCCAAAGCTGCGCGCCCGATATGGCGCCAAGCCCAAACGAAATAATCATGAAAAATAATAGCTACTTTAGGTCATGAATGGTCCAAAGCCGCGCGCCCGATATGGCGCCAAGCCCAAACGATCAGGTGCGATACGGCAATCTACGAAAGACCGCTGGAACAGCGCTAACCTTACTCCAGACTACCTTTGTTTAATTCTAATAAAATCCTAAACTAGCACAATGTGTTGTCCACGTGTGCAAAGGAGATGCCAATTGGCGATTTTTTTTCACTCTTATGAGACAATGGGAGTCGAGAATGTCCCATTGTCTTTTCTGAGCTGAAAACACCCCCACCATCCAACCTTTAGTGTATTAGTTATATGTGTTTCTTGAAGTCGACTGTTTGGGTTTAGACTTATTTGCATAAAAGGTGCTTGTAGTGAAAAATGTGATAGTTATCTCCCTTGGTTTGAACTGCCATGACTGGAGATCAGAAACAAACTTGTAGCGCTGGACGGTGCACTATATACATGGTGTTTCGAAATTAAGAAGGGATGATATCTCAATAACAATTTAATCAACACTAACCACACTTGATGTAGGCGCACAAGCGTTCTTACTGTTTAAGGAAATCAGAAAAAACCCATCTCCGTTCAGAGAAACGCAGTGAAAGACAATGTGTTACCAGTGACCTGGTGATGATAATGATGATGAGGAGGAGGAGGGTGGTGGTGGTGGCGGTGATGGTGGTGGTGTTGAGAATGCAACGGTGTCTTGAAGGAAACGAAGATGATGACGTAAAACATTATTACGTGTTGATATGTCGTCGTGTCTTGTGAAAATCTTGCAAAATTTAAGCAAATTGAAAACAAACAAACAAAAACAAACGCTTCAGTGAATTCATGAATTCGTCGGTTTAAAATGTGCATCTTTCTGATCGCATTGCTCGCATTTAGGCAGTGACTGTTTCAAATGACCCGTACACTCACGGTTATACATAGGTATCTGTTGTAGCCTCCGTAATAGTACGGTACATAACATATAAGACTTACTTTAAATTTGAATCCGTCATAGCATAAATATCCATGTTCAAAATCACAAACAAATAATAACCACAGTGAATTATTATTATAAAAATCAGAGTGTTACAATTCAGTTCAACAATGTCTGTTGATTAAAAATATCACGTTTTAGTGAATCACTGCATATGATCAGTTATTTCGAAGGACGCGCCATTAAAACCCCATCTGATGAGAACCCTCCCCCTCCATCCTGTGGTTTACGTGGACAGATATGAACTATAGCAATCTCCGTCATAAGCTTGTTTCTCTTTGTCGAACTCCATGTCTTATGTATGATTTCACACATAACTACAGTCAAGGTACGAAATAATCATCTGATTTTGCCTCAGTTTAAGAAGATATAGAATTATTACTGTAGTAACTTAAATTGGAATATTAACAAATGAAAACGTTTTATCAAGGATTTGGATCGAAAGAGATCTACAACATCTACCGTTAACTATATCTTAAAGTAACCCATTACACTAAGGAAAAGAATGACAATGATTAGAAATTGATTAACCACAGCATTTTTTTCTCTACTGTGTCAATGTTTCTATCCCGTAAATACACACTACAGAGCAAATCTCGAATTAATTGAACTCGTAAATTTTATTTCTCATTAAGAGTTATGAATTACATTTATAAATAGCAGTCAATAAGTCAATTCTTTTATGTATGTTATCCATTTGCTTGGTTGTTGCAACATCAATCGATGTTATTAATTTTCAAGCAACAAATCCGTGATTTATTTTTCGAAAGTCCAATATAATGATATGCGATACTAGCACGCCAACATAACTGATCTTCTATTAACCAAGCCTGAAAAGTCAACTATATCAGGTAAAATCTGAAACGTATAATAGAGGGATTTGAGAATTCTATTTGTCCTTGTTGTTTGAGATGCTAGAAACGCATGTTTGTATCTATTTTGATATCAAATTATTAAGATTGTCTCGAAACGTGCTAATGATAACGAATAAATGTATATGTTCTGTGCGATAATTTTAGTATGGAATGGATTGAATTGAAATACTGTATCAATAAGATTTAATTAGCATAACTGTGTTTATATGCCATTTTTCTCCAAAGTTCCAAACTTGTCTTTTCAAAACTAACAGTGTAGTAGAAATCTCAGTTTTCAAATCGATCGCGCTCACTTTCGTGAAAAATACTTTCTAATTACTTTACAATAAAAAAGAACAAAACAAACACGCTTTCTTGAGTTATGCACAACTGAAATATCACCAAATATTGAAGAAAGTAATTTGTAAATCATTGGCACAAAAAACTCAATCATTTTTGCGTTTGTCTACTGTGATTTTTATGATTCGTCATTTAAATTCATAAGAATTATTTTTGTTACAAAAAATAAGATTCCCTTTTCACTGACCGACAAATTAGCTCTGGTCTGACCAGTCAGTGTAAAGACAGCATTTATTTTGTTGTGAGTGGAACAAAGGTAAATAAATCACAGGCACTCGAGGCCAGGATATTATTTTTTAAACATTGATTTTTGTTTTAGCACTCATGACTGACGTTATTTAAACGAAATATCAGCAGAATTCAAGTTTATATGCCGGTTGACAAATCCGAGGTCCACGGTCATTAAAAATACAGTATTTTTAATGACCGTGGACCTCGGATTTGTCAACCGGCACATAAACTTGAATTCTGCTGATATTTCGTTTAAATAACGTCAGTTATGAGTGCTAAAACAAAAATCAATGTTTAAAAAATAATATCCTGGCCTCGAGTGCCTGTGAAATAAATGGAAGGACTTCATGGCTCAATGATCAAACACAAAAGCTAACACCTGAAAACCAACCACTATCCCTCTGAAAAAGGATCACTTCGTCCGATAGTTACTGACAAGGAATTGATGATACAAATTAGTTATAGAAACATGGATGTTGGTTGAGGAATATTTGAAAATCAAAGAAAGCAAACAGATAAAAAAAGTAATTAGCCGTGACTTGAATCACTTCCGTACATCTTTTTCTTTTTTTTTTTTTAAATTGTAATCGAATAGCTCAAACATCTAGTATTGTAGTATATGGACGTCTCATCCTACCTCTTTAAAATTCCAGAAAGTATTCACACCAATGGTTACTGATAAGTTTATAAATCTCAAGATAATTGCAGAGAGAGAGACGTAAAATAGCTAGGCATTAAAACTGCAGTGATTGTTGATATTCACATACGGTGAACTATGTTTTGGTTATAACTTTGCCAATATGTGGAAATGCCGTTTATATTTCATTATTCATTTCGTTAATTACATATGAAATCCTTTATTTCGAAGTTATGATATATACTTTGATCAGAAAATAACGTATCTGTTAACTTTATATAAACAGCAGTCCGTCTTAATGTCACATCGATATCCGTACATTGATGCCGCGTTTACCTGTACAGCGATGGGACTTTTCGTGAATTGAAATGATGTGACATTTCCACCTAAAAAATGACACAACTAATTTTTAATTAAAGTTTGTCAAAGTTATATCAATGTGTTGGGAGGATACTATATTTGATAACCAGAGGTATTCATTTGGAAATTTATAAATAATAATGTTTTTATTTCACATTGAAGTTTTGTTAAAATTTTGTAACACTATGAAGGAGATCCATGTGTAAGTTTCAGCTATCAAATGATACAACTAATTTTCATCGAAAATTAAAAAAAAAAAAAAACAAAAAAACAACGATATCTTTGTAACGAAGGAATGTTTTTGATTTTGGAATTTTTATTAACAAAACAATATATGAATATTTTTTCTGAAAGAAGGCATTGTTTAATCGACGTGTGTCAATTCTCTGGCGACGTGAGGGGGTGCTCCCCTCATGGGTTGGAGTCGACAGGGGGTTGAATGGTCTGTAATTTGGAGACGACTCCCTGGTCTAAAGGTAAATCTTGTGGTGATTATGTCTTGAATCCCGGCGTTGGAGGGGATCCTTGTCTTCTTTCCTGCCGAATCTCCAGGCTGTCTTTCTATGATTATTAATTTTTGTTTAGGGGAAATTTAGAAATCCTTTCCTAATAGAATAAAAATGACAGTAGGCCGAATGTTGTTTTAATTTGGGCTTATACGGGCTCATAGGCGGCGTTAAGCGCCTACTATTATTATCGATAACCGCGGGAGGATCTTTTTCGTGCGAGGTTGGACAATTCTCACACAGGTCACCGTTTAAAGTCCCGTCCGCCGGACTATGATTAGTTGTTAGTTTGGTGATTTTGTGAAATTTGTTATTGCACGTCCCATCTGGTTAACTTTCCATTCACACTGCAGGTAAACTGATCTGCTTTTCAAAATATCTATGGCTTTCTGTGTTTCCATTCTGATCCTTCAACATGGGTTGATTTACCTTTCCGACTTGTACCTAATTGTACTTAATGTGCTTGTTTTTCAAAGCGGTTAGTGTTGGTTTTGATTAAAGATGTTATGTTGGAGTAGAAAGTGGTATGATAGTATAAGGTTATTCAGGATGGATAGCGGGATTACTACTCAGGGTGGGATGGGTGGGGGATAAGATTATGTTATGTATTTAGCTGGTGTGTCATGTTAGTACTATTTTTTAAACGGATATTGTAGACAGAGAAGATAGGGGGATAAAAGAATGAGAGATTAATATATAATAATGATATTGATTAGTTAAAAGTCTTTTAAAAGTGTTTTATTAAAATGACTATCGGGGTTTAAAGGGTTTGGATAAAGTGGGCCTTTCTTTCTTTATTTTAACGGGTTTTACATCCACGATTTCGATCTTTCGGTCTTTCAGCGGACGAAAACAGATAAAAAAAGAGAAAGGGGGCGGGGCGGCGGGAAGTAGCATTGATGGGAGAGAGTTGGATATAGAGATGAGGTAGAGAAGGGCCGTCTATGCTACTTGTACTAATTTAAAAACTATCATTTAGACGGCAACCCCCGTTCCTAATGCTATACCTAGTCTACCATTTTAGTTTGTTTGTTTGTTTGTTTTTAGTGTATCTGGTAAGGATTTTTCATTGTGTGTTGATTTAGATGGTGTATTTTCGGGCGTTGTCTCAGGAGTGTTACGTGAGGAAGTAGTTGTGTCTTCTAAGGAAGTATGTGTGTCCCTATACCTTAAACGGTATTCTTATCATACTCGAAAATACGCTATAATATAGAGGTTTAGTCGCTCGACATTACTAATGTCGGTAAAACGGCCCTTTTTAGGGCCCACATACCTTAAATGGTATCCTAATTATTATGTAAAACGGCCCTTTTTAGGGTCTACCATACCTTAAATGTTGTCATAATTATACTCGAAAATACGCTATCATATAGAGGTTTAGTCTCCAGATATTACCAGGGACGTATCTGTATTATACGTCCCAGATATTACTGATGTATCTGTATTATACGTCCCAGATATTACTGATGTATCTGTATTATACGTCCCAGATATTACCAGGGACGTATCTGTATTATACGTCCCAGATATTACTGATGTATCTGTATTATACGTCCCAGATATTACCAGGGACGTATTTGTATTATACGTCCCAGATATTACCAGGGACGTATCTGTATTATACGTCCCAGATATTACCAGGGACGTATCTGTATTATACGTCCCAGATATTACTGATGTATCTGTATTATACGTCCCAGATATTACCAGGGAAGTATCTGTATTATGCGTCCCAGATATTACTGATGTATCTGTATTATACGTCCCAGATATTACCAGGGACGTATCTGTATTATACGTCCCAGATATTACCAGGGACGTATCTGTATTAAACGTCCCAGATATTACTGATGTATCAATTGAGTTTGGCCGAATCCTTGTTATAATTCTGTCTTCCTTTTGTGTTTGTCCGAAAAGTTCTGTGTTTTTTGGTAAGTTTAGTTGCCACTCTCCTGAGCTTATCATTACTGCTGATGTTCGTCCAAAAGTTTGTCCACGATAGATCTATTGATTTATTGATCATTGAATAAACTTCTTCTTCAGAAAGATCAGCTTTACAATGAATGAAGTTATTATCTAGAGATTTCTTTGCTTATTCTTATGTCATATCATGCACTGGTCTGTCTACATGTGTAGGTATGTATTCTAAGTTTATTGGTATTTTTTTTGGGGGGGGGGGGGGGGGGGAGGGGGGGTTGAAAGTCTAGTGTGCTCGTGATTGAGTGTATCTCTGTGGGCCTAGTGCTATTTCCTTTTCGAGTGTAAGGATGAGAGCTACATATGGTTCAATTATCATTATTCTTCACATGATGGTTGGTACGTCATGTAATTTAAACTGTATCATTATCATATACAGTATATATTGCAGGGGTACATATGTTTTACATCATCAATGTGAATTCCTGTATATATATTTCACATCGGTTGACGGACACTTTTTCAGTACTTGTACTAGTATCGATTTGTTTACGATATCAATTGCCGATGATACTGAACCTAGTTCATGACTGTGTTTTAAACTGTCATCTGATAAATGGTGTTGATGAATTGCACGGGTCATGATACTATATATTAGACCAGCTTACAAATATTGTTGATATTGTATAAATACATGATTGTTCAGATTACATCACACAAGTTCACCTTTCCGGCTTTGGTCCGGATATAAACAACCATATATGAGTTTTATTTTAGTCAGCTCCAAAATGGCTGCCCTCCTGAAGAAACGAGCGGTTGCAGAATTTAGTCAAGTTATTCAGGTAAATAAAGCCTAAAGTATTTTGTCATTCAAACGGAGATGTTTTATACATCATTACTTTATTATAATTGGTTATAAAAATGCGTGAAGTAAGATGCCTTTCACCGTAGCGTTTCAATATTGGACTGCATCCCCAGTTTTGACGGATGTACCGCAATCCGAAAAGGTTCCGATCTGCGAGGTACAATTATTAGTTATTAATTAATTAAAAGTATACCTGGCGAATATATAACATATCGTCATATTATTTACCTGGATTGCAGATATAGCTTGTTTGTTGTAAAATGTTTTCTTTGTCGGTAAAAAGAAAACTTTATAAATGTTTAGACTCAATAACTCAAAGAAGATATATCCCAAGAGAGCTACATGCACATTACGGAAAAACAATTTCTATATAAGAACTGTCAAGATATGGAACAGTCTACCAGAATCAATAGTATCCGCACCCAGTATAAATGCTTTCAAAAACGCCATAGATAATCACTGGAATAATCAAGAACTAGTATATAACTACAAAGCCGAAATAACATAATTTATATATGGAAAACAGAACTGTAATTTTTATTTTGAATGCTTTATTTTATACTCAGAAGTTACATATGTATTTTTTTTTATTTTGTTATGGAGCCTGGTATAGAGGACTACAACAGTCCTGCACCAGAATAAACTTAACTTAACTTAACTTTTAGACTGATATGGTGCTTTACCCGCCGACTTTAAGTAAGATGATATATACATTTAAAGTCTTACCGGTCATGACTTATCATACGAGAAAGGAAAAAAGCAAAGCTGTACATAAACAAAAGAATCGAACTGAAAACGTATTAATGAATAAACACAATATAACATTTATTGTCATTGGTATAACACAGTCACACTATTATTACTATACAGTATTTGTTAAAATTCCACGTGTGAATAAAGGAAATAAAAAGTAAAAGTCATGTCGCTTTTATAAAAATCTAGAAAAGGATTTGAGTATTATTTGGTTGATTTTTGCATCGTATAATGGTGTTGATATATCTTTATCTGCATCGATATATTTTCTGTGCAGTGAGTTATGTGATCAAGTTGTATACAAAATCGCTCTTTCAGATGCTAGCAGCTTGTGCAAGAATACTTGGTCAAAATATGTCATTAATTTATTCAAATGTAAAACATTTTTTAAATGAATAAGAATATACACAACCACAAATATGGGTAATATTCATGCATTTGAGTGACAGCTTTGAGTAATAAATTGCTTACTCAAATGAGGAATGATTCGAAATTAAAAAAACATACATGCTTTTAAAAAATTGCTACTAATTTAAAGGAGCTTCAACTATTTAACATGATCCACTGTGTTTATTTGTATAAGAAACAATAATTTCTGTTCTAATTTCTATTCTCTGTTGACTACAGTGCTTAGTTATTTGGAGCATATAATATTTCATCCACACTATCAGGAATCGAAGTGATTAATTTGTGATATTTACAAAAACCAGACAACTGAAATTGTTCAGTTTTTGTGTAAAAATGTATAATTATTATTGCATTTGATATTGCACCATGTCAAAAATATGACACTTTTTTTTGGCGCAAAAATCTAAAAGAACTTAATCAGTTGTTTCCATTTCAAATATATCCAATTTAATTAACTAATTTATTTTTCAAAGTAGTAACTATCATTCAGTTTTAGGACCATTATATTTAAATGGGAGGTTGTGTCCAGCCTGTTACAGTAAAAAAAGAATGCTGGTTTTGCTGATTTATTTCATTTTAGGTCATTTGACCCAAAGGGTTTAAGATGATCTATAGCCATTGTGCTTTGTCTGGTGTCATGCTCTGTCCATCATGGGTAAACTTTTTCTATAAAACCCTATTTCTCTTTCATGCCTGGATGGATTTCAGCTAAATTTAGTCTGATGCATGATTGGGTGAGGGTAATCATTTTAAAATTTTGTTTCTATCCTTAGGGTCCAAGGGACAGGGCCCTAATGAGGAAAGTGCAGAAATTTGATTTAAAACCCTTCTCCTCCTTTCTGCCTGAGTGATGTTCAAAAGCCTTTGGCCTGATTCATCAATTAGGCAATTATTTCTTAAATTAAGAAATTTGATTTGACCCCTTGGGACTTTGGGACAAGGCCCGAAAATGGAAAATAATCAATATTTGGCCTCAAAACACTACTCCTTATTAATTCATGAATGAATCTCAATGAAATTTAGTGTGAAATGTCATTGAGAGAGAGGAATCATTTCTTAAATTCAGAAAGATGATTCAACACCTTAGGGACTTTGGGGCGGACCCCAAAACGGGGAAGTAAGGCAACATTTTGCTGAAAAATGCTACTCTTCCTTAATGCTTGTATGGATTTCAACCAAATTTGGTATGAAAATCATTGAGAGTGGAGAATCATTTCTTAAATTCAGAAAGTTGATTTGACCCGTAGTTAATAGGAATGATCCTGATCTGCTTGAAAGGTCACAGGGATAAAATGTGTTAGAACTTTTAAATGACATTTTCTCAACAACCAAAAGGCCAGGGATGATGCTATTAAGTTATAGCATGCTAGGATGAAGAGCTGCCAACTTTGTCCATGTGAATGACATTGACCCACTTTCAAGGTCACACATATCAAATGTGTTGGCATGTTTAACTGACATCTCAATAACTAAAAGTACCAGGTTGCAGGTATTGGACCAACTTTCAAGGTTGTAGGGATCAGATGTGTTGAAATACTTAAGCAACTTCTTCTCAATAACCGAAAGGCCAAGGTTCATGATATTGGGCCTGTAGCATGCTTTTTCAACAAGCAATATGTCCGAAGTAATGGCATTTGTGTAGTGCATGTATAAAGAATATGATTTCATGTTTGCAGAAAATGTCTTGATGAACCAACAATGTCTTCTATATAAACTGTAGAGTAGTTGAGCAATTTATTTTAGGTCTATTTTTCTTCATTCATGTAAAAGATCTTTATAGTCAGATGACTGTTATGGTCCATGGACCTCTATCATATAAAGGTCTTTATAGTCAGATGACTGTTAAGGCCCATGGACCTCTATCATATAAAGGTCTTTATAGTCAGATTACTATTAAGGCCTGTGGGCGTCTTATTAACCTTTTCTTCATTTCACTCAAATTGTTTTAGAGAGTTATGACTGAATTATGTTAACACTGTAAAATCTGTTGCCAAGGCAATCAAAACTTTAAAAAAAAAACCTGTTAAAAGCATGTGTGTCATGTAGTAATTGTTGTAGGGTTTTTCTATCGAGTCCATCACCATTTCCAAAAGTTTGAAGATTCCAATAACAAAGAAATATAGAAGGTTCTCTAAATTTTAATGAGTTCCTCAGGGGAATCTCTATTAGATAATACTCATCATTGGTTGCAAAATTCCCTGATATAATTGCACATTTAATGTTTTTGGAATGTCAGGAGGAGCCCAAACCTGTTAAACGCTTGAAGCTGATCCAGCGTCCACCTCCTCAAGAAATCAGTCTAGACTTAGAAGGTGCAACAAGTACATATGACACTCTTCAGAGGCTGTTGACATTTGAGGAAAGCTTTCCAGTGCGCGGTGAGGACGTAACTGGTGTGGTTCGTGAGCTACTAGACCACTATCCTCGTGAAAAGGAGGCAGTGTTGAGATGGAAGGTTGCATCGTTACTAGCTCGTCTTGTACAACTTCCGGGGTACAATGCCGAGGCACTGACTGATGACATCATCAGACTCCTAAAGACAGAGAGTAAGTCATTTGTGTATATTGTGTGTATCAATGATTATTTATATTACCACACAGAAAAGTAGGAAAACTGTGAAATAATTTTTAAACCATTGAAGAATTAACGCATCGCTAGCTATTTTTGCTGTTTCACAGTACATTAATATGATTATTCAACAATTCTTTCTAGACTATCACTAAGATATGTTATACAACAATTCCTTATGGATCACCACTAAAAATTTATCTTGTAGCTGGTGAATTTTAATTGTTAAAAATTATAAGCTTTCTAGATGTCTTTTGCTCTTTAACACATTCAGGTCCAATTTTCACAGATTTTGATTTCTGATTTAGAGCAAACTTGATGTAGGAATAACCATGAATTCACATTTTACTCGAATTCTAGTAGAATTTTGGTAGAAGGTCCTTGATAGTCAAAAAGTGTGTCATTCTTGTCATTTTCAATATGTCTTGTTTTTGTTTGACAATCAGAGTCCAACAAGGCCATTAGTCAGCTCGTGGAAGTTTTGAGAAAGATTGGAATGTCTTCTCCCTACAATACTTCTCTACATCACCAGCTTATTATCACAAGTAAACAGGTGAGAATACCCAATCAAATTCACTGATTTGTTTAATGTAATATTGTGCTATCCTTTAGATCTGTTGTAAACAGGTGAGAATACCCGATCAAATTCACTGATTTGTTCAGTGTAATATTGTGCTATCCTTTAGATCTGTTGTAAACAGGTGAGAATACCCGTTCACTGATTTGTTCAGTGTAATATTGTGCTATCCTTTAGATCTGTTGTAAACAGGTCAAAATTCACTGATTTGTTCAGTGTAATATTGTGCTATCCTTTAGATCTGTTGTAAACAGGTGAGAATACCCAATCAAATTCACTGATTTGTTTAATGTAATATTGTGCTATCCTTTAGATCTGTTGTAAACAGGTGAGAATACCCGATCAAATTCACTGATTTGTTCAGTGTAATATTGTGCTATCCTTTAGATCTGTTGTAAACAGGTGAGAATACCCGATCAAATTCACTGATTTGTTCAGTGTAATATTGTGCTATCCTTTAGATCTGTTGTAAACAGGTGAGAATACCCGATCAAATTCACTGATTTGTTCAGTGTAATATTGTGCTATCCTTTAGATCTGTTGTAAACAGGTGAGAATACCCGATCAAATTCACTGATTTGTTCAGTGTAATATTGTGCTATCCTTTAGATCTGTTGTAAACAGGTGTAAAATTCACTGATTTGTTCAGTGTAATATTGTGCTATCCTTTAGATCTGTTGTAAACAGGTGAGAATACCCGATCAAATTCACTGATTTGTTCAGTGTAATATTGTGCTATCCTTTAGATCTGTTGTAAACAGGTGTCCAACAATCCTTCTACATTCCTCCCTTCCTGCAGTTTAAACTGAAAGTTACATCTTTGGAATTTTGATTTTTCAGTATCTCAGAAACACTGGCCACATAGCTAGGTGTAGTTGCTTGGATTTGATTGGAGATTTGGGATCACCTGACCAGCTAATTGAGGACAGCAACCAATCAGGCAGTAACAATATGACAATACAGAAGTTACTCATGGGTTTTACACAGGATCACGATCCTAGAGTGAGGTCACGAGCGTTCCAAGCGATGGTAATTTTTTGAAAATATTATTTCGAAATAAGATTAAATAACTTACAAAAATGTGATAATTTTTTATTCACATTTCCGACGTGTTTAATTTTCTCTCCCAACTGGTTTGTTTGTTTTACAGGGTTGTATTTCTCAGTTTTACTCTCAATTTTCCTTATGTTATACCACAGTTAGTTTGATTAAAGTCCCAATCCCTAATAAACAATTCCTGCCCAACTATCTTCTTATTCAAACCAGAAGAGAGCTTATTTTGCTGTAAAAACTGTCCATACCTTTGCACTTGAAGTCTAGTTAAAGATGGCTGCTATATCCGAAACAAACCATACATATAAATAACAATTCAATGAAATCACCAGAAAGAGGGTACTGTATCTGTTTACACTAGTCTGAGTTCAGAGTTGAGGTTAAGGACTGACCTACAGATTTTAACATCTTTATTCCACCATCATCAGATGCTTTTTCAGATCTCATTTGTAGGTTTCCTCAGTCCGTACTTTTGCCATTTTGATTTTAGGGCTAATCAGAAAAACAAAATGACTGACATCCGGCCATCTTGGATTTTGACAATGGAAGTTGTTATCTCTATTTCTTGAGAAGAACTGGATGGATCTTTCTCAAATCTGATATGTAGGTTCACGGTTCTCCTTGGTCCCTAGTTATGCCTATGTGATTTTGGGACTGATCAGAAAACCAAAATGGCCATCTTGGATTTTGAGAATGAAAGTTTGTTATCGCTATTTCTTGAAAGGTATCAAATAGATTTTACTCAAATTTCAATTTTAAGTGTACTTTTGTCCCTAGTTATGCTTGTTCAATTGTGGAATTGATCAGAACAACAAAATGGCTCATAGGAAGCCATCTTAGAATTTGACTAGGAAATATTTTCATCTCTATTTCTTGATAAGTACTTAATGGAACTCTCTCAAATTTCATATGTAGATTCCTCTTGGTAGCGCATTGTGTTATTTCTTTGTTTTTTGAGAAATGTTTAAATTAAGTAGAGCAAAAACAGAGAAGAGAAAAGAAAAGAAGGGAAAAGATTCAAGTTTCAAATAACAAATAAAGATCAAACAATGGTGTGTGCCAAGAGCCCCCTGGTTATAGTTCGGAAGCACTGGATTTATCGTTGTCAGATTTCATACGCTCAGGTTCATTATATCATTATTTCTCCAAGGGAACTTTCAATTAAGATAAAACTTGTAAAGATGAAATAATGATGTGTGTCACGGTCCTGCCCGGATCTCTTGTTGGATAGTGTAAAGGATCCAACTTTAAAGAATGTCACGCCAAATGAATGTTTTATTAGATCAAAAAACAATCATTTTGTCCTGTAATCATATTCAAATCTTATAATCATGTTACTTTGTTTTCTACCATTTTTCCTTTTTCTCAGACAATTGTACAATTTCCTACAAATTTTACATTTTTTCTTCACACATTACCACATGTCTTCATGCCCATAATCTTATTTCCTTCAAATACTATTATCCTCGGATGTGGACTCTAGAGAATCAACATCAATTTAACAAAATTATGATACTGATCAGTTCACAGCTGTAGGGTTGAGATAAGTCAGATTGATGTATTTTGAGTGTGAATTTTGCTTTTCTCTCTCCTTTTTATTCAGTGGCAACAATGAAAATTTTTCACTGACCACTGAATAACTCTAGCGAACCTTTGAATAACCAGGGCCAAGAAGGTATATTGTGTTTTCTTTACAGCTCCAGTTTCATCAGCGAGGTCTGCCCCTGGGGGAAGGGATCTACCAGCATGCATGCTCTGCCCTCACAGATGATTACCGGGGAGTCAGGCTTGCTGCCATCAAACTTGTCTGGGTCCTTAGTCACCTTTACCCAGAAAGGTCAGTCAGTGCTTGTTCCATTTTATAGGGTGACCTGATGTAAGGTGCATTATTTTAGGTGTACCTTGCATAGTCAATACTTTGTAATTTTCTGTCTTGGATTTTGGAATCTACTAACAGTGATTCGTTTTTTTTTTTTTTGTGTTTAATTTTGAACAATGCTGTTATAAATACTATGACCTTTTTGTACTGACTTCAAAATCTCATTTACAAATATTCATGGTACAGTGAACTTCATTAACAATAGATAATGGACTGCACAGGTATTATATTATATAGTTCTTAATCTCAGTCTCTATGATGCTAAATCTCAAATTTCAACAAGAACTTTACTAGTTTACCGATATACAATCGAACCTTGTTATCTCGAACTTGTATACCACAAAGACTTTTAATTTAAATTTTTTAAGCAGTCCTAGCCAAACTGAACACCAAACATTTGAAATTGTTTAAATTGAATGCTCAGATTACTTGAAGTTTTCCTGCAGTCCAGGCGACCTAACAAGGTTCGACATGCCTGAAGGTCTGTTTTTTAACATACTGGATGGTATTTGTAGTAGTGATTGGACAATGATTGGATATAAGCAATTATCTTATTGTTGAACATCATCTGATGCGATGATCGACTGTGATTTTTTGGACATCAGTACCTTAGTATTTTCTTCTGTTTTAACAAAAACAAAATTCATATTTTGCATTTTAGAGATTCCAATTGCCAATAACATTCTTACGCAAATTCTAGGTAAATGGTATAAGGTATTACCTTATAAGTATGCATCCACTTTCCGCGTATATTGAACACACAGCCAGCAGATTATGTAATCAATTTACGACATTCGAAAGCCGGTCCGATTATAACTGATAATCGAAGATGGTATGGATTTTAACTGATTTCCCATCAACAATTTGAAGGTCTCTTTCTGGTTCATTCTGGTCTTTAATGTAACAAATTTTAACAATGGTTAGAGAAACAGAACGTTACATTTTCATGGTTCATTTTGTTACAGAAAGTGTTTCTTTAATAAATTTCATGCTCAATCATTTCTTTATTGATTCTGATTGGTAGCCTTATTCCCGTCCCTGACTCTGATGAGAAACTACGATTAGTGGATGATGGCTTCACAAAGATCTGTAACATGATCAACGACATCTCGATGATTGTGAGAGTGGAGGCTGCTACGTTACTGGTAAGATAACAGCCGTAATGATATTACTTCCTGTATAGAGGCCCAGGTATCTTTGTTCCGGGTCATTCTTGGGAAGGAATCATTCTAGAATGGTCACTACCAGCCGGCTATTCATCTGTCTGAGGTGTCAGTCGAGACATTCACCAGATCACTATTTCAGTATTACACAAAAGTGTTAATAGTGTCAGAAAGTACATAGAGGGTGTAGATAGTAGTTCAGTCTGATAGTATTGATTGCTGCCACTTCACATCTCTGGTTTAAATAAACATTGGTATGGGTGATAGGCTACCTCAAACTTCCATATGGCTAAAATATATTTGTCTACACTTTCTCCAGTATAACTGTATGTTGAGAACTCCATTGTGATACAATAATCACCACTTTCTGGAGATTATATAAACTTTATTTATATTACAACTATTACAAAAAAAAATTAACAGTTTATCTCTCCCGTTGGCCAAGATGGAAGTGTGGTAACTGTGGGAAGAACCAGTGTACTCTGGGAAAACTGACATGGACAGGCAGCAGACAGTTTCTGAGGATAATGTATATTAATACCAATTATTGATGTTTGCTATAAAAAGTTAAAGTTACCTTACTTCAATAATTTTCATGAATATACACCTTCACTTTTAAAAGCAAGGTCCTCTTGTGATATGGCAGAGAGTTTCAACTGCCTAATGTCTAGGCATAGATAGATATTATTTTTTGTAGTACCATATGTATGACTGATCATTGATTAATGTTTGAATGTTCTAGAGAAGGCAACTTATGATTGTATGTGAATCTATTCCTCTATATATAAATGGTTTCAGGGATCTCTACATCAAGTCAGTCCAAAGTTCCTTGAGCAGACCCTGGACAAGAAGCTGATGTCTAATATGAGAGTAAGTAACACTCATAATATGAAGATACCATCATTAACTTCAGATTTATTTATATAAAACACTATTTCTTAGATTTATAAATAGGAGACTGTGTGCGAAACAGTCAAAGATTGAACCTATATAAGTTATGAATCGGGTTAATCAGAAGTGATATTTAGATACAACTTGTGTTTGTGACATAATGAATCGGATTAATCAGAAATGATAATATCTGGGAAAATAGTACACAGTGAATTGACTTTAATTTAATACCTGTTTGTGTTTATAGAAGAAGGAGAGTGCCCACGAGAGGGCAAAGGAGCATTTTTCCTCGGGCCAGTGGGCAACAGGTCAGAAATGGGCAGACGATGCTCCGAAGGAGGAGGTGGATCCTGATGCTGTCTCACTGATGAATATTGGAGCTTGTGGGGCTTTTGTTCATGGTCTAGAGGATGAGTTTCTGGGTAGATACATTCATAATTTATCAGTGGAAACAATGTTTGATAACTTGTCATAAGTTTAAGAATTTTAGAAATTATCAGGCTGTCAACCGATTCCTATATTTTCCTGTGTTTTGGTTCAAAAACCTGTATTTTGAAAGACCACCTATATTTCCTATATTTTCCTATTTTTTGAAAAAATATTTCTTTATTTTTCAGGAAATTTGTTGCCTCAAAGCAAGCAAAAACTATCTATATTTTGTTGAAAAATATGCCTATATTAATCCTATATTTTGAAGAAGACTTAGTTGACAGCCTGAATTATGGAAAATAAAAAGAATATATGTTCTGTTAATCTGAGTATCAGATCACATTTACTTTTTCTTGTGACAACTTTATGATATAATGATTAATGAGATTCTCTCAGTCTGCTGTTAATAGCGTCCCCAGTGAAATGATTCAGCTAAGGTGTCTGTTACAGTCATGTACAGTAGTATGTATATATGTAATTTGTATTAATTAGGTGTAGAATGATCGTCTGCATTATTTGCATCGAGTCGTAGAGTTCCATGACACCAGAAGTTTTCCTTGTATAAATGGCTTTGTCCTTCAAATTGCATAAATTTTCCCTGGGAAATCACATATAAAGAAAATTCTCTAAAAATGAGAATTAATTTTATTTATTTCAAGAAAAGTTTTTTAGTCAGAACCAAACCTAGTGCTTGCCATGCCTTCTGCTGATATCTTTAAATTGATCTTTGACAGAGGTGAGAAATGCATCCTTGGATTCATTGTGTGAGCTGGCTGTACAATCTCCAAGTTTCGCTGCGCTTTCCCAAGACAGTGTCATTGACATGTTTAATGATGAGATCAAGAGCGTACGTCTCAATGCCATCAACAGTCTCCGCAAACTCAGCCATCTTCTGACACTTAGAGAGGATCAGTTGGAAATCATACTGGGAGTTCTACAGGTAAGTCATATCATACTGGTAGTTCTACAGGTAAGTCATATCTTACTGGTAGTTCTACAGGTAAGTCAGATCATACTGGGAGTTCTACAGGTAAGTCATATCATACTGGGAGTTCTACAGGTAAGTCAGATCATACTGGGAGTTCTACAGGTAAGTCATATCATACTGGGTATTCTACAGGTAAGTCATATCATACTGTGAGGTCTACAGGTAAGTCAGATTATACTGGTAGTTCTACAGGTAATTCATATCATACTGGGTGTTCTACAGGTAAATCATATCATACTGGGAGTTCTACAGGTAAGTCATATCATACTGGGTGTTCTACAGGTAAGTCAGATCATACTGTTAGTTCTACAGGTAAGTCATATTATACTGGGTGTTCTACAGGTAAGTCAGATCATACTGGAATTCTACAGGTAATTCATATCATACTGGGTGTTCTACAGGTAAGTCATATCATACTGGGAGTTCTACAGGTAAGTCATATCATACTGGGTGTTCTACAGGTAAGTCAGATCATACTGAGAGTTCTACAGGTAAGTCATATCATACTGGGAGGTCTACATGTAAGCCATATCATACTGGGTATTCTACGGGTAAGTCCGATCATACTGGGAGTTCTACAGGTAAGTCATATCATACTGGGTATTCTACGGGTAAGTCCGATCATACTGGGAGTTCTACAGGTAAGTCATATCATACTGGGTATTCTACAGGTAAGTCAGATCATACTGGGAGTTCTACAGGTAAGTCATATCATACTGGGTATTCTACGGGTAAGTCCGATCATACTGGGAGTTCTACAGGTAAGTCATATCATACTGGGTATTCTACAGGTAAGTCAGATCATACTGGGAGTTCTACAGGTAAGTCATATCATACTGGTAGTTCTACAGGTAATTCATATCATACTGGTAGTTCTACAGGTAAGTCATATCATACTGGTAGTTCTACAGGTAATTCATATCATACTGGTAGTTCTACAGGTAAGTCATATCATACTGGGAGTTCTACAGGTAAGTCATATCATACTGGGTATTCTACAGGTAATTCATATCATACTGGTAGTTCTACAGGTAAGTCATATCATACTGGTAGTTCTACAGGTAATTCATATCATACTGTTAGTTCTACAGGTAAGTCATATTATACTGGGTGTTCTACAGGTAAGTCAGATCATACTGGAATTCTACAGGTAATTCATATCATACTGGGTGTTCTACAGGTAAGTCATATCATACTGGGAGTTCTACAGGTAAGTCATATCATACTGGGTGTTCTACAGGTAAGTCAGATCATACTGGGAGTTCTACAGGTAAGTCATATCATACTGGGAGGTCTACATGTAAGTCATATCATACTGGGTATTCTACGGGTAAGTCCGATCATACTGGGAGTTCTACATGTAAGTCATATCATACTGGGTATTCTACGGGTAAGTCCGATCATACTGGGAGTTCTACAGGTAAGTCATATCATACTGGGTATTCTACAGGTAAGTCAGATCATACTGGGAGTTCTACAGGTAAGTCATATCATACTGGTAGTTCTACAGGTAATTCATATCATACTGGTAGTTCTACAGGTAAGTCATATCATACTGGTAGTTCTACAGGTAATTCATATCACACTGGTAGTTATACAGTAAGGATGTGAAATCAATTACAAAGGTAAATAACAAATGCAGATCTATGTTATGATATACTGTATAACATGAAATGGAATTCAATACTTTCTTTTGTTGTTTAAACCTAAACTGTTCTTTTAGTAGTAAAAATCTTAAAGATACACTATAACATTTAACTTTACACTTTGTTCAACTATCTGAAATTGTAATTGTTTGTAATTTTGTGATTTTTCAATCGCCACAAAATGAAAATGGATTTCCACTCAGCAAATATATCATGTTATGCAGTTTATACAACAGAGAAAGTGTCAATGAATCATTAATCAAAAGTTTTAAAAATTAACAAAATAAACACATCTTTAAATTATATCACTGAAATTTGTATTTCCTAGGATTTCTCAGGCAGCACACGAGAAGCTCTGCGGAACATGCTGTGTGAAATGAGGCTTGCTACAAAAGAGTGTCTGAACACCAGTGTTATGAGTCTGTTGGATAACTTAAGGCGCTATCCCCAGGATAAACTGTCCGTGTGGCGGTGTATGCAGCATCTTGGCAAGCACCACGCCCACCTTATTCTTCCCCTTGTTCCAGAACTTCTCTGTCTCCATCCTTACTTTGACACGCCTGAACCAGACATGGAAGATCCTGCCTGTATCCTTAACTGATAGAGTGTCTAACTACATGTAATGTAATTGTGTGTGTATACACATGTAATCTAATTGTGTGTGTGTACACATGTAATGTAATTGTGTGTGTGTATACACATGTAATCTAATTGTGTGTGTGTACACAGGTAATGTAATTGTGTATGTGTACACATGTAATGTGATTGTATGTGTGTACACATGTAATGTAATTGTATGTGTGTACACATGTAATGTAATTATGTGTGTGTACACTTGTAATGTAATTGTGTGTGTGTGTACACATGTAATGTATATGTATGTGTGTAGACATGTAATCTAATTGTGTATGTGTACACATGTAATGTAATTGTATGTGTTTACACATGTAATGTAATTATGTGTGTGTACACTTGTAATGTAATTGTGTGTGTGTACACAGGTAATGTAATTGTGTGTGTGTAGACAGGTAATGTAATTATGTGTGTGTAGACAGGTAATGTTATTGTGTGTGTGTACACATGTAATGTAATTGTGTATGTGTGTACACATGTATTCTAATTGTGTGCGTATATAATGAATAAACAGGTGGTATATTACTATTCAAGACAACAGCTATATGCTTTCATCTACCATTTGATAACTTCCGCAAATTCATCAAACTAAAACACTTTGCATCCATATTTTATAGACATTTTCTAATTAAGTATTACTGTTACACCTAATGAAGTTTTAAGTCACCTGAGACAAACCCTTTTTGTCCGCAGCCGTCCAGCATCTGTCGTACATCCCTTCTACATCCGTCGTACATCCCTTGTACATCCATCGTCCATCCCTTGTACATCCGTTGTCCATCCCTTGTACATCCGTCGTACATCCCTTGTACATCCGTTGTCCATCCCTTGTACATCCATAAGCTTTCTATATTTTTGATTTCTTGTGGAAATCCCTGACCTGATTTCAATGTAACTTGGCAGAAACCTTCCATGGCCAAAGGTTACTCAAAATGGTAGATTATGGGTCACCAGCCCCAGGGCTTGAGGGCCAGGGCCAAAAACGGTCAGATTGACTGAAATTTCAAAACTTTTTTTCTCAATAATCAAAAATGGTAGAATGAAAAACTGGATGAATGATGGATGGAAGGGTGCTTTAACAAAATTGTAAATGTCATGACCTCAGGGTCTCACATTAAAGCTTGCTTTAGTTTTATAGGAAAATTGGATTTTTGAGGATGAAGTTGGATTCTCTAGGATCTCATTAAAATCTCGGTTTTCTGGGTCTAGAGTTTCTTGTAAGGGATAGATATCACACAATGACTGGTGCTTGTTTATCATTTTAATGTGACTTTGGGTTACTTAAGTTTGTTTTTTTTGAGGAATTTTAAAGTCTTATCTAGGCACTTTAGATGACACCAGGAAACTGCTTTCTGTAGACCTGCTTTTATTTTCAAGAAGAAAGTTGTTTTCACTCACTGTTACAGTACAGTGAATTTGGTGGTCAATAAGTCAAAATTTACATCACATGATTTCTCAAGGTAAATAAAATTGTTGCCAGATGTTTTGTCAGGTATGATGTAAACATTTTCAAATGTATTTGCATATGACACCAAATATTCTATTCTATTCTGTTCCATTTGATTTTAGGAAATGAATTGTTACAGTGAATGTTAATTTATTACATTATGACCTTTAACCCCTGATTCCAGACATTAGTATACTATTACTAGTTTTTAACTCGGCTGTGAATACGCCCACCATGATGCCAATGTTCCAGGGCCATGTGTGGCGTCACTATCACTACCTCAAGGAGAGTGTTCCCGACATGCTTCCTGTCCTGCAGGTGAGATAATTACAGTTGTGACTTAGACTATCCTAAGGACAACTGTCCTGACATGTTTAACAGGTGAGATAATTACAGGTGTGACTTCCACTATCCTAAGGACAACTGTCCTGACATGTTTAGCAGGTGAGATAATTACAGGTGTGACTTATACTATCCTAAGGACAACTGTCCTGACATGTTTAACAGGTGAGATAATTACAGGTGTGACTTCCACTATCCTAAGGACAATTATCCTGACATGTTTAACAGGTGAGATAATTACAGGTGTGACTTAGACTATCCTAAGGACAACTGTACTGACATGTTAACAGGTGAGATAATTACAGGTGTGACTTAGACTATCCTAAGGACAACTGCCTGACATGTTTAACAGGTGAGATAATTACAGGTGTGACTTAGACTATCCTAAGGACAACTGTACTGAAATGTTTAACAGGTGAGATAATTACAGGTGTGACTTACACTATCCTAAGGACAACTGTCCTGACATGTTACCTATTTAATTGGTAAACAAGTAACATGATTACAGGTGTAGCTAACACAACTACAGGAACAGCATGTTTATATTCACCTGCAAAATTTCTGCCAATAAATTTTTGTGAAGTAATTTTAGTAAAACATTTCTTTGACAGGTACCTGGTAAAATTTATGGTGAAACTGTTCAAACGGAGCGGGTCAAGTCTGACAGTAATCAGTTTGTTCAACAATCTCTGCGACAACTGGAAAACATAGGCACCATGGATCTCAATGCTGCTCATGGGTTGCTGGAGATGTTGGTTAGGTGTGTACTTCAGGATTGTTAGCATTTAGCTTCAAGGAATCATCCATTATTTGTGTTTGTTGAAGTATTAGGGCCTATTAAATATTTTACATTATTTCCTTGGGGCTGCATTAACTGAGCGGTTAAGGCATCTTACTGTTTTTATCACAACCCCTTCACATCTGGGCCGCAGGTTCAAGGCCTATGTAGGACAGGTGCCAGGTACTGACTACAGGGTGGTTGGTTTTCTCTAGAAACTCCAGCTTGCCTCCACCACCCTAACTTGACACTTTCTTAAATGACCCTGACTGTTAATAGGATATAATTTAAAAGCAACAATGCACTATACTCAATGTGTGATATGACTGTCTTATCTATGTATTATTGAAGTATATTTTAGAAAGATAAATTTTAATTTTGTTTGAATATTAACATAACCTTCTGTCCACGTCATTGATGATCAAACACACAAGTACTATTATAAAATTATTGTAAAAAATTTCATTTTCAAGGGGTTCAAAATTTCACTGTTCATTGATGGAAGCAAATTAAAAAAAATTAAGATACCTTGAAAATAAAATTGATAGAGAGAGCCATATTCCTTTTTATTACTTTGATAAAAAATACATTCCTGTTGAATTTTTTGTTAGATTGAACCTTCAAATATATATTTTTTGATGACTTAAGTTTGTATTGACAGAGACCTACAACACATCACCAAGCTTGATGACAATTCTGCAGCCTCATCGGAATGTATGTCTCTCTTCCTAAAGTGTCAACTCCTTCTCATCAAGGTGAGCATTTCTATATACCAGTCAGATATCTAACTATTACACCACTCAGATATCTAACAATTCAGTATACACCACTCAGATATCTAACAATTCAGTATACACCACTCAGATATCTAACAATTCAGTATACACCACTCAGATATCTAACAATTCAGTATACACCACTCAGATATCTAACAATTCAGTATACACCACTCAGATATCTAATAATTCATAATATACCACTCAGATATCTAACAATTCAATATATACACCACTCAGATATCTAGCAATTCAGTATACACCACTCAGATATCTAACAATTCAGTATACACCACTCAGATATCTAACAATACAGTATACACCACTCAGATATCTAACAATTCAGTATATACCACTCAGATATCTAACAATTCAGTATATACCACTCAGATAGCTAACAATTCAGTATATACCACTCAGATATCTAACAATTCAGTATACACCACTCAGATATCTAACAATACAGTATACACCACTCAGATATCTAACAATACAGTATACACCACTCAGATATCCAACAATTCAGTATACACCACTCAGATATCTAACAATTCAGTATATACCATTCAAATATATACCAATGTGTAGTAATATATACCAATATGTACCAATTAACAGCTTTTATATTGAAAACAAAACAAAGGCACCTGAAGATGAAATAGAATTAACTCTATTGTTTAGACTGTCTAAGATTCAAATCAGTAAGATAAATCCTGTATTTGTAGCTGATGAAGCAGGAACAGACACTGCCTGGCAATAGTAGTGTGGCTACCGACACAATCATGTCTACAACAGACAAGGTAATGTTCATTTGTTTATATATAGAGGATATAGTATCAGAGTTATCTCCCTTATACACCAATGTATACTACGGGAAGTAGGTATGCAACAGTGGGGTTTTTTTAGCCCACCATCTAATAGATGGTGGGTTATTCAAATCGCCCTGCGTCCGTGGTCCTCCGTCCGTCCGTCCGTAAACAATTCTTGTTACTGCTATTTCTGGAAAAGTACTGGATGGATCTTTCTCAAATTTCATATGCAGGTTTCCCTTGGTCCCTGGTTGTGGATTGTACCTTTTTTTTAACTGATTCGCATTCAAGATGGCCGACAGGTGGCCATCTTGGATTTTGGAAGTAAAAGTTTGTTACCGCTATTTCTGGAAAAGAACTGGATGGATCTTTCTCAAATTTCATATGCAGGTTTCCCTTGGTCCCTAGTTGTGGATTGTACCTTTTTTTAACTGATTCGAATTCAAGATGGCCGACAGGCAGCCATCTTGGATTTTGGAAGTAAAAGTTTGTTACTGCTATATCTGAGGAAGTACTGGATGGATCCTTTTGATATTTCATAGATATTGGTTTCCCTTGGTCCCTAGTTGTGCATTGTACCTTTTTTGGACTGATTTGAAATTAAGGTGACCCACAGGCAGCCATCTTGGATGTCGACAATAATACAGCACAAGCATATTGTCCATTATCCACCTGTAACTGACTGCTATCTAATAATACTTTGGGATCTTTTTCAAATGATATTTGCTAATAGGTGCTTAATAAAAATATCTAGTGCCATCATTGAGTACATTCAATGAAGACCAGTTCATGAACATTTACAACACCTGTAACAAACAAAAAATAAACAAATCTTCAAGAACTGAAAACAGATCCTCAAATGGTGGGTGCCAAGATCCCTCTGGGATCTCTTGTTCACCATCTAAAATCACTACCAACCATGAAATTTACATGCAACTGCAGTGAACTTTAGAAAAATGTTTACTGTTAAAATGTAAAAAGCTGTAACCAAGTGTATTAGGGTTGTGGAGCAGTGTATCCACTGAAGTGGAACATATGATTTTCTCAGATATTCCATCGTGAATTTAAACAAAATATTAGTGTCCTGATTTAGTGTTAAGGAATTAGTGTTATATCACTCTACTTGTCGTTAGTATTCCAAAATATCTTATTTGTTGTTAGTATACCAAAATATCTGTGGTTTGGGAAATGACGCTGTAAAAGTTTTAAAAAATTGTTACTTTTCATATTTTTTAGCAATTCTCTTTGCCAGGATTCAAAACTATATGATGATTTAAGAAATGAGAAATAATTCAATTTACCTGACTGATCTTTACCATGTGATTTTAGTGATGTTCTGTATCGATACGTCATAGATTCCTAGCTGATCTTTAACATGTCAGATGTTGGTCTCAGGATATTATTGGTGAATAGAGTTTAAACATCCTATGTTATTTACAGATCCTAAGTATGACCCAACGTCTACAACATGTGTATCTGGGACTGGGAAGTATAGAACTTTCACTTGTCAGACAAACTGAGTTAAAGGCCCGTACGCTACAGACGCTGTCACGGCTCGGCGACTACCAGGAACTCACCATTGTCAGGGACCGATTTAACCAACAACTCAAAACACTACACAAGTAAGAGGATAAACATGTGATTAATTATGAAACTATGTAGGTTATGTTTATTTCTGTCACTTCCTATTGATGATGTGAAATCTAATGGTTCCTGATTTCTATAATACAATACATTATGTAAAAAATACTTATATATACATTTATATCTAAAAATAAACTTGAAATATCATTTCCGTAACTTTCACTTTACACATATAAAATTTTGCAGCTTTTTGAAAATGAAAGACATGATTTCTGTGACATTGTATGTATTCTATCTGATGTCAATGGCTGCTTTCACTTAACCTGGTTGAAACAGAAACATTCTATTACAAATGAATACACAGATGTTTAAAATGTTTTATGTCATATCCTGTCAAACATTAAAACAACAAAACAATAATGAAATATCATTCATGTTAACTCAGACCTAATTTCACGACAATTCTGAAATATGTCTACACCGAATGTTTTATGAAGAAATTCTGAAAACTACTGAGTCAGCAAGTTAGTAGGGGACAGGTAGAGCCGCCCTCCTCAGAATGCATGTGCTAGATATTCATCAGTTCAGTCTTGGTCCTGATCTGTGCCTCTAAATTATCTCCCTTGACTTTGCCTAATGGTTCCTTTTGTCACTTGTATGATTTTTTTTGTGAAGGGAACACCCTTTTTTTTAAACCATTTGTTTTATCAAAGACAAAGAAATACAAGTTAATCTATAATTTATCAACATAAAAAGATCAATATTTCTCAGCAGTTTTGTATATATATTGGGTCTTAAAACTTAAATTTAATTTTTAGTTTATCAATATAAAAATATTATTTCTTCTTTGTGATTTTGTGGTGTATATTTGGTCTTTAAACTTGTCTCAGATAGAGAAATGTATCTGTTATCAAACATGTATATCAGCATCACTGCGAAGTTTTTCATAGTTGATGTAAATCCATTCCAGTGTAAGCTGTTTTTGAAAAGATATCTTTTGGTAAAATTTTTTTAGGCAAGCCCAAAGATTTTTTTTTTCTTATTTATTTAAGCCTTTTAATTCAGAGACATAACATGATATAAAAAAGGCAAGGTCCATAACAAGATAAGAAGTTGAGGGCTTTGACACTGGAGTGCCAAAAGTCATGTATCTTCTAACTTTATATTCTTTACAATAAATGAGTATCAGGTAATGAAAAAGGTTTGATACAAATTTTACAGGTACATGACCACACACCAGATCACGCCCGATTCCTTCAGCACCTATTTATTCTCCGTCCTAGACAGTCTCGATTCCTGTAGTGATACAGAATTCCGGAAACACCTCCAGTTCTCGCTGAAGTCCGTGAAAGCTTGTGCCTTTCCTATGATCAATAAGATCCGTAAAGCCGGTGTTGTGCTCCACGAACCGACAGGAACATCAGATAACCCGATAAAGTTTGCTGCGGGCCTCACATCAGCTGTAGCTGTCGATGCCACATTGGAAAACATTAAGTCGCCTTGTCACGTCAAATTACGGGTGAGAATGGTTTCATAAGATTGTTAGAATATGGCAGAGTAAGTCTGTTTATGTGGACAAACTGATTCATGCTTAATTTAGATATTACACTTCAAGCATAAAGTAGGATTTTCCTGTAAATATGCTTTAAACGTAAAGAAGGTATTCAAGATTAGTATCAGGTATGTCAGGTTTCAGGGAAATATGTTAGATAAGTGGTTGGATGTTTGCTTACACAGCAGTCAGCAAAGCGTCCTTCCAATGTTGCCATACACCTTATCTCCAATCATTGTTCATCATATAAAATTTTGACTCCTCGGTAAACAAAACTTTGTTCCTTCGCTGTAAAAATCATTGTCATTGTCGTGGAACCCGACCTCTGTGTATGCCAATAGCCCTTTCCCTCTTGTCTTTTGCCAGAGATGGCATTGCATTAATCTGTAGAATTTAAAACTAAATGATGATTTTTGAGGTGAAAAGGTTTTGAGATAGTACATATGCATTTTATGAAATTCAACTGAACAAATGTAGAGTAAAGTAAAGGAATTGGTTTTGTTCAATGAGACAACCTTTGAATTTCACACCTTACTGATTTAAAAAAATGTTGGTGGAAACTAGTCTGGGGATTTCCACAAAACATTAGTAGCTGCAAAATATCTGTATAATTGACCAACGTCAGTGTACGGCAAGGTAACTTTTTTTGGCCGTAATTTGTTAAAGATATTCATACTGGCTTTGAAAAGTTAAGGTGAGACTTGTTGGGAAGCAAAATAAGATCAGAAGGTTTGTATTGTCCTTACTTCTTAATGAATAAACCTGGTCCAACTAGTCACACTGATAAATGGAAAGGACTCTGGTAGCACACTTTGATTCTTCGTTCAGTCTCCAATGTTTTACTGAGCAACAAATATCTCCTGCCACTTTTTACTTCAGTTATGTTGGTGGAAAATCTTTCTCTGGGTTGATGAATATTTTCTTAATTTATGCAATGAAACAAACTGATAGAAAACAATTATTGGAGGTTTTGATAAGGTAGATGATAATGTTAGACAGCAATATTTGTGGATTTCAATTCCTTCTACATCGATGATCATCATTTATCAAAAAAAAACCCAAAAAAACAAAGGTTTTCATTTTTGAAATTAGTTTTAATGCATTTACCTGTATCATGGCTGTTTTAAATAAAGGTGAAATATGCTGATCAACAAACACAGCTCATCACTCTCAGTCCTGACGCGTTCCAGAGACTTGGTCAGCTACGACATCGTCTTCAGTCCCAGGTGCTACTCTCCCACGCCCCTTGGTCAGGTAAATATCACTGTTGGTGATTTCTGTATCAGGATCATTAATATTGATGTTTTAATGGAAAAGATTTCATCCACGAATTCATATGTCCATGAACTGTCATAATTAGTACATTTATAGTGCTTACACATGAAGTTAACTGTTCACGAAATAGTGATTTTTGAAAAACCACAGAATCCCCTTGAAAACATATGATTTTAGAGTACTCAAAAGATGTTGTAGTAAAAAGCACAAACTAAAGACAGTTTGTTTCCTTGAGAGAGAAACAAAACTTTCAAATATTTGTTAGAAAATAAATTATGATGGATTTCTTTTGCTTTACAAAAAAGACTGTAAAGTAAAGAAATATTGATGTGTACAGTATACCAGTATATACAGAAAAGTAAAGAAATATTGATGTGTACAGTATACCAGTATATACAGAAAAGTATATTGATGTGTACAGTATACCAGTATATACAGAAAAGTAAAGAAATATTGATGTGTACAGTATACCAGTATATACAGAAAAGTAAAGAAATATTGATGTGTACAGTATACCAGTATATACAGAAAAGTAAAGAAATATTGATGTGTACAGTATACCAGTATTTACAGAAAAGTAAAGAAATATTGATGTGTACAGTATACCAGTATATACAGAAATATTGGTGTGTACAGTATACCAGTATATACAGAAAAGTAAAGAAATATTGATGTGTACAGTATACCAGTATATACAGAAATATTGGTGTGTACAGTATACCAGTATATACAGAAAAGTAAAGAAATATTGATGTGTACAGTATACCAGTATATACAGAAATATTGGTGTGTACAGTATACCAGTATATACAGAAAAGTAAAGAAATATTGATGTGTACAGTATACCAGTATATACAGAAAAGTAAAGAAATATTGATGTGTACAGTATACCAGTGTATACAGAAAAGTAAAGAAATATTGATGTGTACAGTATACCAGTATATACAGAAAAGTAAAGAAATATTGATGTGTACAGTATACCAGTATATACAGAAATATTGGTGTGTACAGTATACCAGTATATACAGAAAAGTAAAGAAATATTGATGTGTACAGTATACCAGTATATACAGAAATATTGGTGTGTACAGTATACCAGTATATACAGAAATATTGGTGTGTACAGAAATATTGGTGTGTACAGTATACCAGTATATACAGAAAAGTAAAGAAATATTGATGTGTACAGTATACCAGTATATACAGAAAAGTAAAGAAATATTGATGTGTACAGTATACCAGTATATACAGAAATATTGATGTGTACAGTATACCAGTGTATACAGAAATATTGGTGTGTACAGTATACCAGTATATACAGAAATATTGATGTGTACAGTATACCAGTGTATACAGAAATATTGGTGTGTACAGTATACCAGTATATACAGAAATATTGGTGTGTACAGTATACCAGTAAATACAGAAAAGTAAAGAAATATTGATGTGTACAGTATACCAGTATATACAGAAAAGTAAAGAAATATTGATGTGTACAGTATACCAGTGTATACAGAAAAGTAAAGAAATATTGATGTGTACAGTATACCAGTATTTACAGAAAAGTAAAGAAATATTGATGTGTACAGTATACCAGTATATACAGAAAAGTAAAGAAATATTGATGTGTACAGTATACCAGTATATACAGAAATATTGATGTGTACAGTATACCAGTATATACAGAAATATTGATGTGTACAGTATACCAGTATTTACAGAAATATTGATGTGTACAGTATACCAGTATATACAGAAATATTGATGTGTACAGTATACCAGTATATACAGAAAAGTAAAGAAATATTGATGTGTACATATACCAGTATATACAGAAATATTGATGTGTACAGTATACCAGTATATACAGAAATATTGATGTGTACAGTATACCAGTATATACAGAAATATTGATGTGTACAGTATACCAGTATATACAGAAATATTGATGTGTACAGTATACCAGTGTATACAGAAAAGTAAAGAAATATTGATGTGTACAGTATACCAGTATTTACAGAAAAGTAAAGAAATATTGATGTGTACAGTATACCAGTATATACAGAAAATATTGATGTGTACAGTATACCAGTATTTACAGAAAAGTAAAGAAATATTGATGTGTACAGTATACCAGTATTTACAGAAAAGTAAAGAAATATTGATGTGTACAGTATACCAGTATTTACAGAAAAGTAAAGAAATATTGATGTGTACAGTATACCAGTATTTACAGAAAAGTAAAGAAATATTGATGTGTACAGTATACCAGTATATACAGAAATATTGATGTGTACAGTATACCAGTATATACAGAAATATTGATGTGTACAGTATACCAGTATATACAGAAATATTGATGTGTACAGTATACCAGTATATACAGAAATATTGGTGTGTACAGTATACCAGTATTTACAGAAAAGTAAAGAAATATTGATGTGTACAGTATACCAGTATTTACAGAAAAGTAAAGAAATATTGATGTGTACAGTATACCAGTATTTACAGAAAAGTAAAGAAATATTGATGTGTACAGTATACCAGTATTTACAGAAAAGTAAAGAAATATTGATGTGTACAGTATACCAGTATATACAGAAAAGTAAAGAAATATTGATGTGTACAGTATACCAGTATATACAGAAATATTGATGTGTACAGTATACCAGTATATACAGAAATATTGATGTGTACAGTATACCAGTATATACAGAAATATTGATGTGTACAGTATACCAGTATATACAGAAATATTGGTGTGTACAGTATACCAGTATTTACAGAAAAGTAAAGAAATATTGATGTGTACAGTATACCAGTATTTACAGAAAAGTAAAGAAATATTGATGTGTACAGTATACAAGTATATACAGAAAATATTGATGTGTACAGTATACCAGTATATACAGAAAATATTGATGTGTACAGTATACCAGTATATACAGAAATATTGATGTGTACAGTATACCAGTATATACAGAAATATTGATGTGTACAGTATACCAGTATATACAGAAATATTGATGTGTACAGTATACCAGTATTTACAGAAATATTGATGTGTACAGTATACCAGTATATACAGAAATATTGATGTGTACAGTATACCAGTATTTACAGAAATATTGGTGTGTACAGTATACCAGTATATACAGAAATATTGATGTGTACAGTATACCAGTATTTACAGAAATATTGATGTGTACAGTATACCAGTATATACAGAAATATTGATGTGTACAGTATACCAGTATTTACAGAAATATTGATGTGTACAGTATACCAGTATATACAGAAATATTGATGTGTACAGTATACCAGTATATACAGAAAATATTGATGTGTACAGTATACCAGTATTTACAGAAAAGTAAAGAAATATTGATGTGTACAGTATACCAGTATATACAGATAGTGTGAGGATAGAGAATCATAGGAATCCTACACACATGAATACCACAATGGCATTGTATGTTCTTTTGATACGACAGGAATTATAAGAATAAGAAATCAGTTAAATAAATGAAAATTACAAATCACTATTTCGTGAACAGTTAACTTCATGTGTAAGCACAATAAATGTACTGATACTAATAATGACAGTTCATGGACATATCAACCACTGGATCAAAAGTGTCCATGATATCAATGAAAATAAATCCCTCATGTAATTGATGACAGTAGTCTGTGTAAAGAAGTTGTAGAATCGTACTTAATAGCTTACGATGTTAAATCATCTGAATGTTTGCTGATGTTGCACCATTACACAGAGAAAAATATAATCGTGTTGTGTTTAAAAGATAATTATCACAATTGATGTGTAAGTATATAATTGTGATGTATTTAAAAGATATCACAATTGATGTGTAGGTTTTGTTGTGTTACAGATTCTACCCATGTTGAGATCAGCGTTGTACTAGATACACCATCATTCTCCGGTGACCAAGACAGCAAGGAGTCTGTCATCGAACTCTGTAAACCTGTCAAAGTTTTGGTGTCGCCCAAATCATTCAAGAGGTGAAAATAGATTATTGTTTCAATATAGAATACAGAGACTGTGTATTTGTCAAATGGTCAAGTGACGTAAACTACATTTAAATGATGTAGGTCAAATGGTCATGTAATGTAGGTCACTCTAAAACTATGTAGGTCAAACGGTCAAGTGATGTAGGTCAAACTGTCATGTGATGTAGACCAGATCATCGATCTTTGCAAAATAGTACACAAGTGTTGTTTTGGACGACAATGTCAAGGCTGCACCTTTGACTACCTACAATTTTGTGGTGCTCAATATGTGTTGTGAACAAGCAGTAAATAGATACAGGATTTTCCATGTCATCTTTTCACTTACAAAAACTCTGCTGACATTTCAGGAAGCTCCAGACCGGACTATATATATATACTTGATGTGTATAGAAAACTTGAAAAAATTTCTTTTGCAAAGTTTGTCTGTAATTACCTATGAAGTAAAATCCAGAATAATCATCGGGGGAAAAAAAACGATCAGCAGTTTAAAGCAAGAAATTTGATTTTGCTGTAACTGTTGGGGAAACAATAAAGAAAAGTATGATAAAACCTATGAAAAGGTCTGTGTTTTGTTTGTTAGATTAAACAAGATCATTTGTTTTTGAAAGAAAGATATACTGATGAAAATTTCCTTTCTGATGATCTGTCTAAACAGAAATTGTGTGACGACCTGTTTCAGTTTATGCTAGCTTGTCATCTATTAGAGATAAACATAATTATCCATATAAAAAAACATGATGATGATGTTTGTGGTGAGGAGCTGAAATCAGGACATTTGAGTGTGGTCCTGTGTGATCAACAACAGAAGTGCTGCTGTGATTGTGTGAACCTAAATATAATTAAATAACTATGGTTAATAAATACAATTAATGTCTAATTGTTTTATGTTATTGTTTTTATTGGTGTCAGCAGGGAGGTTTGTTTTGTTTCCACAATTTTACATATTCTGTGAGCTACCCACAAACATTTCTGTGTGATTCTAAACTTCTAAAAGTAATTTCATCTTTATCAACCAGTGACCTAGTGAAGTGCTTTGTCATTGGATCATAGTGCCCTTTGACCTCAAGGTCAGATGTCAAATAAGTGCTAATTGATGATATGGTTACCAGTCCCTGACAATGGCCATCATCTGTACCAACAAATTTTCAGTTTGGTAAATTATTTAAAATCACCATCTGCTTTATATAGTTTTATTTAAGTCTTGAATTCCTTCCTGTTTCCTTCCCTATCTGCTTTCTTTCTCTCTTCCTCTCTCTAGCCATCTGCCTTCTTTCTCTCCTCTATCTAACCATTTTCTATCATAATCTGTCTCTTCTCTCCTTTTTTCTTATATGTATGTATGTATGTATGTATGTAAGGGCGTGTGTGTGAACTTCTTTGTGTACATACAATGAAAAAATGCAAAAAATAAAATAAATATAAAAAAAGTTGATTATTTATGCTGTACATTAGATATATGATGAACACTCACAATTTGACAAATCCGTAGATGATGATGATGATGATGATGATGATGATGATGATGATGATGATGATGATGATGATGCATGTTAGTGATGATGTGTATGATGATGCATGCTAATGATGATATATATGTGTATTAGGATGATGTGTATGATAATACATGTAAGTGATGATGTGTATGATAATACATGTTTAATGATGATGTGTATGATAATACATGTTTAATGATGATGTGTATGAGGATGATGTGTATAATAATACATACATGATATGTATGATGATACATGTTAATGGTGATGTGTATGGTGACGATGTGTATAATAATACATGCATGTTTAATGATGATGTGTACGGTGATGATGTGTATAATAATACATGCATGTTTAATGATGATGTGTATGATAATACATGTTTAATGATGATGTGTATGAGGATGATGTGTATGATGATACATGTTAATGGTGATGTGTTGTATGATGATGATATGTATGATGATACACTTTAATTGTGATGTGTATGGTGATGATGTGTATGATAATACATGTTTAATGATGATGTGTATGACGATACATGTTAATGATGATGTGTATGATGATGATGTGTATGAGAATATATGTTTAATGATGATGTGTATGATGGTACATGTTTAATGATGATGTGTATGATGATGATGTGTATGATGATACATGTTTAATGATGATGTATGTGATGATAATGTGTATGATGATACATGTTGGACATATGTATGTATGTAAGGGCGTGTGTGTGTGAACTTTTTTGTGTACATACAATGAAAAAATGCAAAAATAAAATAAATAAAAAAAAAAAAAAATAAGTGCTAATTTGATTATGGTGGGCTATCCATATCACCCTTCATGGTTGTCTGTATTAAATATGATTTCTTTAGAAATGCGACACTTTTCCATATATTGCCTTGCTGAGACATAACCTATGACTTACCACACCCTGCCTTGATAAGACTTAAAATATGACTTACGACACCCTGCCTTGCTGAGACTTAACATATGACTGACGACACCCTGCCTTGCTGAGACTTAACCTATGACTTATGACACCCTGCCTTGCTGAGACATAACCTATGACTTACGACACCCTGCCTTGCTGAGACTTAACATATGGCTTACGACACCCTGCCTTGCTGAGACATAACCTGACTTACGACATGACTATACCTTGCTGACACCCTGCCTTGCTGAGACTTAACATATTTCGACACCCTGCCTTGCTATGAGACACCCTGCCTTGCTGAGACTTAACATATGACTTACGACACCCTGCCTTGCTGAGAATAACATATGACTTACGACACCCTGCCTTGCTGAGACTTAACATATGACTTACGACACCCTGCCTTGCTGAGACATAACCTATGACTTACGACACCCTGCCTTGCTGAGACTTAACATATGACTTACGACACCCTGCCTTGCTGAGACATAACCTATGACTTACGACACCCTGCCTTGCTGAGACATAACATATGACTTACGACACCCTGCCTTGCTGAGACTTAACATATGACTTACGACACCCTGCCTTGCTGAGACATAACATATGACTTACGACACCCTGCCTTGCTGAGACATAACCTATGACTTACGACACCCTGCCTTGCTGAGACATAACCTATGACTTACGACACCCTGCCTTGCTGAGACATAACCTATGACTTACGACACCCTGCCTTGCTGAGATTTAACATATGACTTACGACACCCTGCCTTGCTGAGACATAACCTATGACTAACGACACCCTGCCTTGCTGAGACATAACCTATGACTTACGACACCCTGCCTTGCTGAGACTATAAGACTGACCACACCCCTGCCTTGCTGAGACATAACATATGACTAACGACACCCTGCCTTGCTGAGACATAACCTATGACTTACGACACCCTGCCTTGCTGAGACTTAACATATGACTTACGACACCCTGCCTTGCTGAGAATTAACATATGACTGACGACACCCTGCCTTGCTGAGACTTAACATATGACTTACGACACCCTGCCTTGCTGAGACTTAACATATGACTTAGGACACCCTGCCTTGCTGAGACATAACATATGACTTACGACACCCTGCCTTGCTGAGACATAACCTATGACTTACGACACCCTGCCTTGCTGAGACTTAACATATGACTTACGACACCCTGCCTTGCTGAGACATAACCTATGATATACGACACCCTGCCTTGCTGAGACTTAACATATGACTTACGACACCCTGCCTTGCTGAGACTTAACATATGACTTAGGACACCCTGCCTTGCTGAGACATAACATATGACTAACGACACCCTGCCTTGCTGAGACATAACCTATGACTTACGACACCCTGCCTTGCTGAGACTTAACATATGACTTACGACACCCTGCCTTGCTGAGACTTAACATATGACTAACGACACCCTGCCTTGCTGAGACTTAACATATGACTAACGACACCCTGCCTTGCTGAGACATAACCTATGACTTACCACACCCTGCCTTGCTGAGACATAACCTATGACTTACGACACCCTGCCTTGCTGAGACTTAACATATGACTTACGACACCCTACCATGCTGAGATTTAACATATGACTGACGACACCCTGCCTTGCTGAGACATAACCTATGACTTACGACACCCTGCCTTGCTGAGACATAACCTATGACTTACGACACCCTGCCTTGCTGAGACATAACCTATGACTTACGACACCCTACCATGCTGAGATTTAACATATGACTGACGACACCCTGCCTTACTGAGACATAAACTATGACTTACGACACCCTGCCTTGCTGAGACTTAACATATGACTTACGACACCCTGCCTTGCTGAGACATAACCTATGACTTACGACACCCTGCCTTGCTGAGACGTAAAATGACTTATGACACCCTGCCTTGCTGAGATTTAACATATGACTTACGATACCCTGCCTTGCTGAGATTAAACATATGACTGACGACACCCTGCCTTGCTGAGACATAACCTATGACTAACGACACCCTGCCTTGCTGAGACATAACCTATGACTTACCACACCCTGCCTTGCTGAGACATAACCTATGACTTACGACACCCTGCCTTGCTGAGACTTAACATATGACTTACGACACCCTGCCTTGCTGAGACATAACCTATGACTTGCCTTGCTGACGACACCACCCTGCCTTGCTGAGACATAACATATGACTTACGACACCCTGCCTTGCCTTGCTGCCTTGCTGAGACTTAACATATGACTTACGACACCCTGCCTTGCTGAGACTTAACATATGACTTACGACACCCTGCCTTTCTGAGACTTAACATATGACTTACGACACCCTGCCTTGCTGAGACTTAACATATGACTTACGACACCCTGCCTTGCTGAGACATAACATATGACTAACGACACCCTGCCTTGCTGAGACTTAACATATGACTTACGACACCCTGCCTTGCTGAGACATAACCTATGACTTACGACACCCTGCCTTGCTGAGACTTAACCTATGACTAACGACACCCTGCCTTGCTGAGACTTAATATGTTACTGACGACACCCTGCCTTGCTGAGACATAACCTATGACTAACGACACCCTGCCTTGCTGAGACTTAACATATGACTTACGACACCCTGCCTTGCTGAGACATAACCTATGACTTACGACACCCTGCCTTGCTGAGACATAACCTATGACTTACGACACCCTGCCTTGCTGAGACTTAACATATGACTTACGACACCCTGCCTTGCTGAGACTTAACATATGACTTACGACACCCTGCCTTGCTGAGACTTAACATATGACTTACGACACCCTGCCTTGCTGAGACATAACCTATGACTTACGACACCCTGCCTTGCTGAGACTTAACATATGACTTACGACACCCTGCCTTGCTGAGACTTAACATATGACTTACGACACCCTGCCTTGCTGAGACATAACCTGACTTACGACACCCTGCCTTGCTGAGACATAACCTATGACTAACGACATCCTGCCTTGCTGAGACATAACCTATGACTTATCACACCCTGCCTTGCTGAGATATAACTGACGACACCCTGCCTTGCTGAGACTTAACATATGACTACGACACCCTGCCTTGCTGAGACCCTTACGACACCCTGCCTTGCTGAGACATAACCTATGACTTACGACACCCTGCCTTGCTGAGACTTAACATATTACTTACGACACCCTGCCTTGCTGAGACTTAACATATGACTGACGACACCCTGCCTTGCTGAGACTTAACATATGACTTACGACACCCTGCCTTGCTGAGATTTAACATATGACTTACGACACCCTGCCTTGCTGAGACTCAACATATGACTTACGACACACTGCCTTGCTGAGACTTAACCTATGACTTACGACACCCTGCCTTGCTGAGACATAACCTATGATATACGACACCCTGCCTTGCTGAGACTTAACATATGACTTACGACACCCTGCCTTGCTGAGACATAACCTATGACTTACGACACCCTGCCTTGCTGAGACTTAACTATGACCTTACGACATGCCTTGCTGACTTACGACACCCTGCCTTGCTGAGACATAACATATGACTTACGACACCCTGCCTTGCTGAGACATAACCTATGACTTACGACACCCTGCCTTGCTGAGATTTAACATATGACTTACGACACCCTACCATGCTGAGAATTAACATATGACTGACGACACCCTGCTTTGCTGAGACTTAACATATGACTTACGACACCCTGCCTTACTGAGACGTAAAATGACTTACGACACCCTGCCTTGCTGAGAGACTGACGACACCCTGCCTTGCTGAGACTTAACATATGACTTACGACACCCTGCCTTGCTGAGATTTAACATATGACTTACGACACCCTACCATGCTGAGATTTAACATATGACTGACGACACCCTGCCTTGCTGAGACATAACCTATGACTAACGACACCCTGCCTTGCTGAGACTTAACATATGACTTACGACACCCTGCCTTGCTGAGACTTAACATATGACTTAGGACACCCTGCCTTGCTGAGACATAACCTATGACTAACGACACCCTGCCTTGCTGAGACATAACCTATGACTTACGACACCCTGCCTTGCTGAGACATAACATATGACTTACGACACCCTGCCTTGCTGAGACATAACATATGACTTACGACACCCTGCCTTGCTGAGACTTAACATATGACTTACGACACCCTGCCTTGCTGAGACATAACCTATGACTTACGACACCCTGCCTTGCTGAGACTTAACCTATGACTTACGACACCCTGCCTTGCTGAGACATAACCTATGATATACGACACCCTGCCTTGCTGAGACATAACCTATGACTTACGACACCCTGCCTTGCTGAGATTTAACATATGACTTGCCTTGCTGAGACTACGACACCCTGCCTTGCTGAGACATAACCTATGACTAACGACATCCTGCCTTGCTGAGACATAACCTATGACTTATCACACCCTGCCTTGCTGAGATATAACCTATGACTTACGACGCCCTGCCTTGCTGAGACTTAACATATTACTTACGACACCCTGCCTTGCTGAGACTTAACATATGACTTACGACACCCTGCCTTGCTGAGACACCCTGCCTTGCTGAGACTTAACATATGACTTACGACACCCTGCCTTGCTGAGACATAACCTATGACTTACGACACCCTGCCTTGCTGAGACATAACCTATGACTAACCTATGACTTACGACACCCTGCCTTGCTGCTTGA